TGTCTGCATAACAGCTGGAGCAGAGTCTGCACCAGGTTGACTTTTTAGTCGACTCAAAAGTCAACCCGCCCTCACCCCTCAGGCCCGCGGTCCGTCGGTGGACGATCTGCTGATTCTGCACGACAGCCACAGCAGGGTCTCCACCATAACGACCTTGTGAAAAAAGGAGTGTTTTGAGACGTCTCAAAACCTTGCCTTGCTTCCGTGCTCTCAAGTTCTCGCTCCTGTGGGGCTAGGTGTTCCCACCAATCTCATCCTCCCCCCCTCGCTCCAGACTGGTGGCCCATCTACACAACAGCCAGAGCGTTGACTTGAACGACCTGGCCATTCACGCGCTCATACGCACATCCTTGCGAATCTTCCATCCCACACACTCCCCACCCTCCAGGCTAGTAGACCATCTACACAACAGCCAGAGCGTTGACTTGAACGATCTGGCCATTCTGGTGCTGGACGAGGCAGACAGGCTGCTGCAGCTGGGCTTCCAGGAGGAGGTGATGGAAATAGTAAGTGCTGCCAGAAGTAGAAAGTGCTGCCTGAAATAGTAAGTGCTGCCAGAAGTGGTAAGTGCTGCCAGAAATACTGCCTAATAGTAATTGCTTCCTGAAATATTTTGTCCACCAGGCTTCTCCTGTTTTCAGCTGTTATAAAAATAGGAGGTGGTGCTCCAGGAGGAGGTGCATAAACGCTGCAGCTGACCAGACCAGTCTCTTCCCTTCCCTCGCTCCCCCCCCTCGCAGGTCTAGGTGTGTCCCAAGCGCCGGCAGACGCTTCTTTTCTCGGCCACCATGAGCACGGAGGTGCAGCAGCTGGCAAGTCTCTCCCTCAACCAACCGTCCACCTACAACACCTCCCATTCTCTCTCCTCCTTCCCTCTGCTCCCCTTCGCAGGTCCGGGTGTGTCCCAAGCGCCGTCAGACGCTGCTCTTCTCGGCCACCATGAGCACGGAGGTGCAGCAGCTAGCGAGTCTGTCGCTCAACCTGCCCGTGCGGCTGTCTGCTGATGCTTCCATGCAGCGCCCACGCACACTGGACGAGGAGTGAGTGATGGGGGGAAAGGAGGGAGAGTGAATGGGGGGTGGGTGGGAAGGGGTGGTAGGGTGGGGAAGGGCGGAGAGGGAGTGGGTGGGTGGAGCAGCTCGCGAGTCTGTCCCTGAACCTGCCCGTTCAACTGTCTGTTGATTCTTCCATGCAGCGAACGCGCACACTAGAAGAGGAGTGATGGGTAGAACAGTGAGTCGCGTGAGTGAGTGAGTGAGTACGTGAGTGAGTGAGTGAGTACGTGAGTGAGTGAGTACGTGAGTAAGTGAGTGAGTACGTGAGTGAGTGAGTGAGTGAGTGAGTGAGTGAGTGGGGAGTCTGAGTGGCTGTAGGTTGAGTGACAAGCCTCAGAAATCATCCCCCCCAGTCAGTGCTTCCCCCCCTCTCTCAGGGTGGTCCGGGCGCGATCGTTTCAAGAAGCAGACAGAGAGCTCTCGCTGTGTGCTCTTTCTGCTCTCTCCACTCCAAAACTTAAACCTCTTACTCACTCCTTCCATTGGCGTCCCCTCGTCCTCCCCCTCTCCCTCCTCTCCTTCTCCAGGGTGGTTCGGGTGCGATCATCCCAAGAGGCGGACAGAGAGGCCATGCTGCTCGCTGTGTGCTCCAGGCTCGCCCAAACCTCCGGAGCAGGCTCGGAAGGAGGGTCGGAAGGAGGTTTGGAAGGAAGAGAGGCAGGAGATTCAGCAAGAGGGGAGAAGCGGAGTAAAGCACAGGGGGGAGGTGGAGTGATCGTCTTTAGGTGAGCTTCGAGTTGACTTTAAAGTCTCTGTAAACTTAGGGGGTGTAGTTCTAAGACTTTTTTTTAAGAGTCATTCAGGGAGAGGTGAGCAGAGGAGGAAGCCACAAGAGGGAGGAGAAATGATAATCTACAGGTGTGTTTTTCCAGATGGGGTGGTGTGGTGACACACATATGCGTAAAATGGTTCTGACGTGTCAACTGGTGCTGCTGACGTTGCTCCTGTTGATCAGCATGTTCCATTGCAGGCTGTTCATTGGTGGCTGTTCATTGGTGGCTGTTCATTGGTGGCTGTTCATTGGTGGCTGTTCATTGGTGGCTGTTCGTTGGTGGCTGTTCGTTGGTGGCTGTTCATTGGTGGCTGTTCATTGGTGGCTGTTCATTGGTGGCTGTTCATTGGTGGCTGTTCATTGGTGGCTGTTCATTGGTGGCTGTTCATTGGTGGCTGTTCGTTGGTGGCTGTTCGTTGGTGGCTGTTCGTTGGTGGCTGTTCGTTGGTGGCTGTTCGTTGGTGGCTGTTCGTTGGTGGCTGTTCGTTGGTGGCTGTTCATTGGTGGCTGTTCGTTGGTGGCTGTTCATTGGTGGCTGTTCGTTGGTGGCTGTTCGTTGGTGGCTGTTCGTTGGTGGCTGTTCGTTGGTGGCTGTTCGTTGGTGGCTGTTCGTTGGTGGCTGTTCGTTGGTGGCTGTTCATTGGTGGCTGTTCATTGGTGGCTGTTCATTGGTGGCTGTTCATTGGTGGCTGTTCATTGGTGGCTGTTCATTGGTGGCTGTTCATTGGTGGCTGTTCGTTGGTGGCTGTTCGTTGGTGGCTGTTCGTTGGTGGCTGTTCGTTGGTGGCTGTTCGTTGGTGGCTGTTCGTTGGTGGCTGTTCGTTGGTGGCTGTTCGTTGGTGGCTGTTCGTTGGTGGCTGTTCGTTGGTGGCTGTTCGTTGGTGGCTGTTCGTTGGTGGCTGTTCGTTGGTGGCTGTTCATTGGTGGCTGTTCATTGGTGGCTGTTCATTGGTGGCTGTTCATTGGTGGCTGTGCATTGGTGGCTGTTCATTGGTGGCACACCACTATCATATGCTGATGTGGCACCCGTTTCTCCCTCCTGGGGGCATTTTTGTCCTTTTTGCAGTGGCCGCAAGGTAGAGGCGCATCGGCTGAAGATTATATTTGGTCTGCTGGGATGGCGGGCGGCGGAGCTACACGGGAACCTTACCCAGGCCATGAGACTGGACGTGAGTGTGACTAGTGAGCGCAATGTGACTGTAATGGAAGTGACTGCATGTGGTGCTAGTGCATGCTAGCGATAAGGGCAATTGCTACTTGCACGGTGGGCGGCGGTGGTGCTAGAGATTCCCAGGCCGTAAGAATCTTACCCAGGCCGTTAGACTGGACGTGAGTGTGATGAGTGAGGGGGATGACACTTGACTGTAATGTAAATGTTTGGTGTGATTGGTACTAGTGCCCTGATTCCACTGGTTGCACTTGTTTAGGGTTTGCGAAAGTAAAGTGTTTTATGCCTCCTTCCCTGCCCGTGCCTCCATTCCCTGCCCGTGCCTCCTTCCCTGCCCGTGCCTCCTTCCCTGCCCGTGCCTCCTTCCCTGCCCGTGCCTCCTTCCCTGCCCGTGCCTCCTTTCCCTGCTCATGCTCAGGCCTTGGAGCGATTCCGAACGCACGACGTGGACTTCCTGATCGCCACTGACGTCGCCGCAAGGGTGCGTGCGTGCTCAGTCCAATCAACAAAACAAAACAGAACAAACCAAAAACGCCCTCTCTTTCCCTCTCCCTTCCCCCCCTGGGACGTCTTCTGTATCACAGAATGAGGTCTAACAGTACGAGGTCTTTGTCACTTTCGTGCCTCCTTTGTCGTTTCCTTCTTTGGCTGGCTCGACCATGTTGCTTCTTTCCTTCATCCTTTGCCTCAGTTAATCTCTTCTTTTCAAATATGCAATCTCCTCGTTTCCTCTCTCTTGGCTTTCCTCGTCACATTTCCCTCCTTTGTTTGCATCCCATGCCATTCAGGGTCTGGACATTTTTGAGGCGCCTCAAAAGTCATTTCCCTCCTTTGTTTGCATCTCATGTCATTCAGGGTCTGGACATCGCAGGAGTGCAAACGGTTATCAACTACCACACGCCACGTGAATTGAGACGTCTCAAAAAACGTGTTTTGAGACGTCTCAAAAAACTCCCTCCCTTGTTTGCATCCCATGCCATTCACATTCAGGGTCTGGACATCGCTGGAGTGCAAACGGTTGTCAACTACCACACGCCACGTGAAATCACCAAGTGAGTGAGCGGGATACTTAAAGATCACAAACTATTCCCTCCATTCTTTCCAGGGCCTCAGCCATCCTTTTCCTTCTCTCCTACCCCTCCTAGCCCTACCCTATGGATGGTTATCCATCGTCCCCCAACCGTCTTTCCCACTCCCAGCTCCGTGTGTGTAGGTTGGATGATGCATTTGAAATAAAATGAAAGAAAAAAAAAAAACAGCAACAACAACAACAACAACAACAACTTCCCCATCTCTCCTTGTCCTCTCCTATTGCCGTTTCTCCCTTGATTTCTCTTCCTCTTCTCCCCAGCTATGTGCACCGAGTGGGCCGGACAGCACGAGCCGGGAAGCTAGGATCGGCCGTGACATTCGTGGGGGAGAAGGACAGGAGGCTGCTGAAAGCGATGGTGAGAGCGAGGATTAGGGCGAGGATTAGGGCGAGGGGAGCGGGTGAGATGGGGAGGTGAGGTGGAAGGCAGGAGACTGCTTTTTTTTGTATTAAGATGTGGCAGAATGATGTGATGTAACCTCCTTAGCCCATCACTCCTGTTTCTTCCTGCATCTCCCTTGCCTCAGACGAAGCGAGCAGGCAGGAAGCTGAAGATGTTTTGAGACGTCTCAAAACATCACTTTTATCACGTGGTGGTTTTTGAGAATTCTCAAAAACCAGCTGAAGATGTTTTGAGACGTCTCAAAACATCACTTTTATCACGTGGATATACTTCTTCCTACATCTCCCTTGCCTCAGACGAAGCGAGCAGGCAGGAAGCTGAAGCAGCGGCAGATAGCCCAAGCGGCAGTGGAGCGATGGAGGCAGCGAGTGGAAGGCATGGAGAGGGACATCGCTGCTGTGATGAAGCAGGAGAAGGAGGAACGGGTGCTGAGGAAGGCAGAGATGGAAGCAGTTAAGGTGGGTGTGGTGTGGGATGGTAGTGGGTGGGTGGGTGGGTGGGTGGGTGGGTGGGTGCGTTTTTTACACACACTGTTCTGGTACTTGCTAGTTTGGAACCAGTTTTTTTTCTCCTTGTTCAGCTCTTTTAGAGTTCGAGACGTCTCAAAAAACAACATTCCAACTGCTACTTGCTTCTCATCTCTTCTTCCGCTTGCTCACTCCCTCCCTGCTGCCAAGTCAGGCTGAGAACATGCTGACTCACCGCGACGAGATATTCGCTAAGCCCAAACGCACGTGGTTCCAGAGCAAACGGGAGAAAGAGGCAGTGGCAGAAGCGGCTAAGGCTGCTGCTGACGCTGAGGCTGAGGGTGGGGAGGGCGGCAATGGGAATGGCAGAGGGAAGGGCGGAGGGAAGGTGCTTTCGCTAGAGGAGGTGCAGGAGAAGAGGAGAAAGGAGAAGCTGAAGAAGCAGCGAGAGGTGAGCAGTATGATTCTGAGAGGTGAGCGGTGAGAGGCTGAGAGATGGGAGCAGAAAAAAAAATTAGGGTGGATGACGCACGACTCAAGGCTGGAAAGACAAGAGGCAAGGCACAAGCCTCTGGGTCCCATTCGGTCCTCACTCACTCTCCACTTCCCCTTTCCGTTTCCCATTCCCTTTCCCTCTCCCTCTCCATTCCAGAAATCCCTCCCTAGGAAGAAGCGCAGAAAGCTAGAGGCAGAGAGGCAGGCACAAGAGGAGGAGGCAGAAGCACGAGAATTTGGGCTGGATGATGCATCTGATGGGCAACCCAAGGCTGGAGGAAAGACGAGAGCTGATCTTGCTTACCGCAAGGCCAAGGCAATCAAATCCGCCGAGCGGCTCCGGGCAGCTGGGAAGATCGTCAGCCTGCCCAAGCCGGGCGGCCGGGCAGCTGGGAAGAAACCGAAGCAGCAAACGCCGTCCCGGTCGCGAGAGATGAAGGATTTGTTTCAGACGGATATGGCTAAGGGGAAGGGAGGGGGAGGAGGTTCTGGGGGGGAGGTGAGGGGGAAGGGGAAGGCTGGAGGGACGTTCAAGAGCAAGAAACGGTGAGTCTGTGTGCCGTTGCCATGTTGAGTGAATCTATTCATATGTGCTGCCCTTACCACCCCCCCCACCCCCCCCACCCCCCCCTCTTCCTTTGCCTCTCTTTAGCATTAAATTCCAATCTGAGAGGCTTGATTAGAGGTGGGTGCATAGCTGTTCTGCCTTGTGTATGTGTCACAAGACTCATGATGACTCATGCATGTTAGATGCACTCTGTGATCACTTCACAATTGAGTGCTCTGACTCGAAGCTGATGCATGTGTCAGCCTTTCCTTTGTTTTGCGTCGGGCAGGTACAAGAGGCGGTGAGACGAGATTAGAGATGACCGGGGTGCTTAGGCTGCAGAGGACATTTGATCTGAAGGGCTCATGCAGTTGAAACAAGCGCACCAGGCTGTTGGCTCGTGCGATGATCACAGTTACCGTCAGCCCCCGGATAGAAGCGCCCCTGGGGGTATAAAAAAACACTGTTTTTTAGGGGGTGCGCTTATAATTGAGGAATTTTATAAGAGCCGGCGCTTATAAAATGGCAAAGCAAGTTTATATTTGTTTTACACCAATCTGTACACCTTGTTCTGCCAATTGTAATCGAGTCGAATATATCTGGGGTCGCGAATCTGATTCTCGCGCAACTTACGGTAGCAGGGATGTATTCCCTGCCAACACATGCTGACTAAGCGACAGCAAGTGCTGACTAGACGCGCAGCAAGTGTGATGTGAGTGGGAAAGTGGACCTGTACTTCGATTCCCTGGTAAAGAGAAATTCGTTTCTGCGTTTCGACTGATTTTCAGATTAAAAAATAGACATGCGCTTATAATAAATCAGAATTTTTTAAGGGGTGCGCTTATAATCGAGGACCGGATATAAGCGCCCTCATCCTTTTATAAGCACCGGCGCTTATCCGAGGCCTGCGCTTCTATCCGGGGGCTTACGGTACCGCCGCCAGTCATATCATACGTCCATAACTGTTCATCAAGTCTGCACCTACCCCAACTCTTGTCTGCAGTGTAGTCCATTGAAGCACAAATGCACTGCACCCAGTACTCTTTCAGTCTTGGTACTCTTTCAGTCTCATCGTAAAGCACCCTGCAACAAACTTCCTAAGGATGCTACGCAACTCACAACATGGGACCACCAAACCATACATGCACAACTAGTAACGCTGAATTGTTACCCCATACATGCGACAAGCTCTGAACTCCCGTTCTCGTTCCTCGTCCAGTTCATCTGTGCACCCACCAAACCTAAAAAACTGTAGCATCTCGAGCTCGGAAAAATCTTCGGGCAGACTCTCCAATCTCGCACACCTGTACAGGTCCAGGCTCTTGAGCCGGGTCAGCTGCGCGAAGTTTCCTGGAAGTGAGCGGATGCCGGTGTTTCCAAGATTCAGCTTGTTCAGGCAGGCGAGCTGGGTGAAAGAAGCAGGGAGACTTTCCAGGGCGGTGCAGTCAAAGATAGCAAGCTCCTTTAGCCGGGATAATGCACCGATGCTGGTGGGAAGGGAGGCCAGCTTGGGTGCATGAACGTCCAAGGAGGTCAGATGCCGAAGCTGAGAGATCAATTCCGGCAGCTCATTCAACTCTGGAGCATTCTCTATCTGCAAATGCCGGAGCTGCTTCAGGTCCGCGCCGATGCTGCCTGGAAGCTTCTCGATGTTACCAGCCCTGGAGATCTCCAGGATTCGCAGCTGGGGGAGAGAGGCCAAGGGGAATGCAAGCTGCTCTGTATCTTCTGCCAACACCAATTCCAAATGCTGTAACCGAGGCAATGCACTGGTTAAACTCTTCCCACCCTCCACATTAACCAAATTCAATGTCAGCTTCTTGAGATTCGGTAGCGTAGGAAGGTCCGGCAGAAGAATCGTCTGGTTGTAGTTCCCCAGGCTCAGGGACTCGAGAGAGGACGGCAGGGAGATAGGAGGTCTGTTCAGCCATAGATCATGGTGACATCCAATAATCTCCAGCCGTTTCAGATTGAAAAGAGCATCTAGTCTATCGGGAAGTGACACGAGCTGGCTGCACAACCCAATAGTGAGGGTATCCAGATTAGTCAGCTCTGTCACGGAATATGGAACCTCCCTGAGATTGAAACAGCACTGTATGTGCAGCTGCCGCAGCTGATTCAGCCTCCCCATGCCCTCGTCAAGATTCTCATCCAAACTGAAATCCAGGTCAAGCCTAGTCAATGAAGCCAACTGGGTGAGTGAACCCGGGAGTTGCATCTGATTGAACACTTCTCCCGGAAAAATCCTTCGAATGGCAGCCATTCCCCCCAATCCAACTGGAAGCTTCAATTCCGACTGCTTCACCATGCACAGCGTCTTGAGAGCTCCTAGGCGGCCGAAATTCGCTGGAAGCTGGCGGATTTCGCGGCAACCAACCATGAGCAGTGACTTCAGGGAGCTGAGGTAAGGAAAGGATTCCGGAAGTTCCGTGAGAGGGAGCATGTACATGGTAATCTTTTTGAGGGATCCAAGATGCCCGAATGAGTCCGGGAGGTTGGTCAGAGACATCTGCGCAGCACCAATCTTTTCAGGGCAGATAAGCGGCCGAAGTTGTCTGGCAGGCTGGAAAGATTGAGGCAAGAGGATATATTCAGGCTCGCTAGCTGGGTCAGAGACGTGAAATTCTGAGGCAGCTGCGTGAGTCCTGTGCACCAGCTAAGCGTCAACTCACGAAGACACGGCAAAATCTCTCCAAGGTCGTCCGGAAGCTGGTCAAGAAAGGAACCCGCTATCACCAGCTGCTCCAGCCTGGTGCATGGCAGTGCCGAGGTAAGAAACCAGAAGAAGGGAGAAACCTCTCCCTCGAGTTGCAGAGACTCGAGAAACGGCAGCTGTGAGACGGAAAACGACCCCGTTGATTCCTCTACCTCGGGATCGTAGCTGATGCTCAGGCTGGTGAGCCGCGGCAAGTGGACGAGATTCTCAAGATGGTGAAAGATCAGGTTCAGAGAGGTTATGCGGATCGAGCTGAGAGACGCCAGGGTTGAGAAGCCGGGAGCGGTCAGCGCTGACGCGTCTGGGAGAACGAGAGTGCGGAGCCGCGAGAGACGGAAGAACGAAGCCGGAAATACGATGTTCGGGTGAAGAGCAGATCCAAGGCGATCTAAGGAGATGACCTCCAGCTGCGTGCATCCCTGGAAGAGACGATCCAAGCCGGCTTCGGTAATGGGGTGTAAGTGCTTCCGCTCTTGGATTTCCGCATCTTTCGTGATCCTGCTTCCCACGTGAAGACTTTTGAGTCGACTCAAAAGCCAACTTCGGTAATCGGGTGTAAGTGCTTCCGCTCTTGGATTTCCGCATCTTTCGTGATCCTGCTTCCCACGTGAAGAACCGTTAGCTTAGGGCATGACGAGGCGAGGTGAGAGAGGAACGCGTCGTCAAGGGTTTCCACACTTCCGTCGCACAGATGCAGGTGGGTCAGGTTCGGGAAGCAGGAGACGGCGTTGGCGAGGTCTTGGCGAGAAACGGCGAGATTTTCCCTGACGAGAAGCGTCGAGATGTAACGCTGGGAGAAACAACGCCAGCGACGGCAGACAGAAGCGATGAGGAGACTAAGAGCTGCGTCGGTGAAGGCAGGAGGAGTCGATACGAGAAAATCTTCATCGTTACTGCTTGATCTCTCTGATGAAACTTCACTCCAGTAGTATTTCTGCCTCGGATACAGAGAGTCGCATGCAGAATTGTCATGTGCCGCGTCGTCGTATGTGGCATCGTCGTTTGTAGCATCACCATCGAAAATAGTGGACACTGGTGTCTTGGAGGTATACCATAGAATCCTTATAATCAGGTCATCAGACAGCCGGTGGATGTGCGTACAAGAATCCATGGTTGGAAACTCGGCTCAAATCGATACGCTTTACTGCTGGACACAGAAGCAACTAAACTGAATCACAATAACTACCTGGCATCTATACTAGTCGCTCGAGTGACTGAATCGCTGATGTACGCGGTCGAGGATGTCAAGCCCCCACAGCCATAGAGGACATCCATCCGTCAGTCAGCTACCAGAAAACGTCTACGGTACTCTCGCTAGCTCTCGCTGAAATAATGACGCGCTACGGTCAAGTAGCTGTTGGTGAGCTTTGGAAAGGCGGAAACCGAACTCCTACTTCTCCCGTCACAGCAACACCCGTAGGCAAGTCCATGCTACAGGTCTTGATAACGGTGCGTTGTAAATGATGACACTGCACTTGCTCCAATATGACTTAAGCTTGTAAAACATATGTAGCTGTAGAACATGCGGTAGGTGCGTTTTTGTCCAATCATGCCCTTTGGGGGACAATACATCGCCACAACGTGCTGCATAACTGAGGAAGAACTTCACCAGCATCGCCAGCCATTTAGTGATTGTGGTGGACGCAATTCTCTAGAGATTCATGTGCTCGGAGGGTGTGGAGGTTGCATGGAAGAGTAGGGGAGGGTTAATGTAATACGGTATATGGGCTCCCATTGGCTGTGCAGTCACTCTTGCATGCTTTTAGTGTTGAGGATATGGGCCAAGAATGGATGACTAGAAGCAGTTGGGATACAAATGTGAACCCTATAGTGAGTTGTACCCCATGTGAGCTACCCCACTACAGCCTACCAACAACATTATAGTTTAACATTTAGGTGGATTGGATGGGTACAGTGAAGTCATGCTGCTCAAAAGGATACACATACACTGAGGTTTGATGAGATTAAAATCAAATCTCCACAAGTCACACTTACGGACCAGGCAGCGGCCGGCAGCGGTCAATAGCAACAGCATTCCAGCATGCTGGCTGCATCACATGCCTGCATCCCACTGCCCACATGGCAGTGCGATTCATGCTTGGACAACTTTCAACGAGTCACAGGCATGGCATCGGTCGGCATCAGCAGCATTTTCTAGCGTGCACCTGTGGCATGCCCACATTGGTCCCATGTCAGCACTGTCAGTAGCAGCCCCAGCACCAGCAATGTTTACAGCGGTAGGGTTATCGTCGATTAGAATGGCTACACTGGCACTGGTACCAGCAGCAGTCGCTGAGGCACCGCGATGGATAGGCCCGGGAGATGGTCGCACTGCAAGGCATGCCTCGCACTGAAGCACTATGCCCTGCACGAGATATACACGTGCACAGGGAGAGAGCGAGAGCAAGGGGTTCAGTGCTGCATCAACACTGGTACGGCTGGCATGCGCACACACGCACGCACACACGCACGCTCACACACATCCACACACACACACACGCACACACACACGCACACATGCGCGCGCGCACACACAAATGCGGTGCTTCTCACTTACCCGGTTGATCAAAGTGCAGACATGACATGTCCATGTGTCTTCTCCGCTTGCTCGCTCCTCTCCTCCTGCAGCATCCTCTCTTGTGAAACCACCAGTAACTCCTGTGCTCTGTCCGGTGCACTTCACCCCTCCTGCTGCACCGCCAGCAGCAGCATTGCCACTGCCAGAAATCACCTTTCTACTCCTACAATTGTGCTCCTCAGCCCCACGTGGTCGCTTCCTTGCCCCGCCAGCCTTGCCCACATCCCCCGTTTTAACACCATTTGGAACTTGTACAGAGTCACAACCACCGTTACAGTCACAGCCACCACTGCTGTTGTCATGATCCCTAGACACATCACCCTGCGCATTTTCACTCCTCACCCTCCCTCTGCCTTCCCCTCTTTCATCCCCCTCCAGCCCAGGACCAACAGCACCACCATGACCTTCACCCACAGCCATTCCTCCTCTACCATCATCCCTACCATCGGGTCTACCATCGTTTGCACGCTGCTGTGGCCCATCAACCCCCTCTCCCACTTCCCTTGCGCTCTCCCATTCCTCCTCTTCCTTCTCCCTTGCCCCGCCTTGTCCCCTATTCCCTCCGTCTTCCCCCTTCCCTCCCTTGCTCTCACACCCGCCCCCACACCACACATCATCCCTCATCCTTCTTTCTGCTGCCATAGCAGCTGCCTGCACCGGACTCAACACCCTCATAATCTCACTGTCGCCGCCCAATCGCCGCCCGCCAGCTGGCATCATGATCCGCTGCTGCTGCCGCCTCCGCTCTGCCGCTGCTGCCGCCGCCTTTCTGCTTGCCGCGTCAGCGGCAGACGAGGCAGAAGAAGCACCAGCTACACCACGAGAAGGGGCAGCAGGTGAAATAACCCCAAAAGAAGAAGAACCAGCAGCAGCAGCAACAGCAGCAGTGCCTAAGCGGACTGGGCGGATGGAGGGGTAAGCAGAAGAGCCGAGGCGGTGACCAGAACCCACAAAGGGCGTTCCTGTTATACCGCGTGCTATGAGGTCGTCACACTCCTGCTCCCATGGGGTTGAGCAAGGGAAGGCACAGACAGGAGGGAGAGTGGAAGCTGGGGAAGGAAGCACGGATGACACTGTAGCACAGACGGGCAAACAGTGTCGTGTCACTGTACAATCTTGAGATGCTGTGCTCGTTGTACAGGAGAAGGGAGCACCGAAGCAGACTGACTTTTGAGTCGACTCAACAGACGTGCAAACAGTGTCATGTCACTGTACAATCTTGAGCTGCTGTGCTCGTTTAGCAGCTCAGGATTGGATAGGCGAAGGGGGCACTGATGCAGGCACAGCACAGGCTACTCACTGCATTGCACATTAAGACCTCTCAAAACAAGCCCACTCACTTACCTCATTGAGTTCATCTAGTAGTTTGTAGAACTTGGCGTCGTGGGGCCCTCGTTCGATGTGAGTGAGCTCGTGAAGCATCGTGCCCAGCACATGCTCGTATGGGAAGAACGAGTCCGGCTTGCCTGCTCAGTCAACCAAGAATTTAGTGATAGAAGAAGACAACGTAGAAGAAGACGAAAAAAAAGAGAGAAGAAGACGAAGAAGAAGAAGACGAAAAGAAGAAAGGAATGGGCGCCTCAAAAGTTGCTGTCAGTCAGCTAGTGTGAGAGCTTGCAGAATGCACGTGAATTGACGCGGTGTAAGCAGGTAACTATGAACAGATGTGAAATATGGTTCCTCGCAGTTCTCACGGCTTGCCTGCGGGTCTGAGACGAATTCGAATCTCCCGCCCTCGGTTTATGTTGAGACCCAAAAGCCGCGCATTGCTTGGACTGTGGGAGGGAGGATTGGGATTGGGACAGTAAAAAGCTAATCATGGCGCGGGTGTGAACGAGAACGATGGAGAGAACGTGAAGTCCGCAGCATAAAGGAAAACGAACTTGCTCGTCATTCGATTCACACCTGAATTCAGAGAGCAGAGGGACTTTCCATTTGCGGCGGGCCATAATCGGCTCCACCTGCTTCGCCACTCGCTCCAGCAGGCTTCTCGCCTCGTCGCTGCGCTTCTGCCGCTTCAGCGCTCTGATCTCCCACACCTTATAAAGACTCGACGATCCCGACGCTCCGCTACCCGCTATCGGTGCCATAATTACACACACAACTACATATACATATAAAGTACCTAATTTATGACATTCAACGCTTAGTAACTGGACAGTTCCGACGTTCCGTTTCCCTCTAATTATGTCGTAACCTTGAAGACTGGTACATACTCTACATCCATAGAATAACGTAGTCGATTATTTCGCGGCGTGGCTTTCTGGAAATCAATATTCTGGGCACAATCGTGTCCCTATCGACAACCACTATCATGTGGCACATGATAAAGAACAAACCCAATCTCGCAGGCAGTACGACTTAGAATCAGAAAGATGCGTGACCATAATAACAAATAACATAGCACAACTCTGACGATGCTCGCCCTTATCAGGGACCGATCTGCTTCAAGCTGACGCCATCTTATGCTGCTGGGTATGCTGCTGGGCTGGGCTTGGGTATCTCATCTGAATTTGATGCATCAAGATCCGTGAATCCCAAGAATCCGTGGGTATGTACGTTTTACCCTCCAGGTTACCTACTTGGGATCGCCAGCTGGTTACCCGCCGGCGCGAGACTCGATTCAGCAGCACGCAGGACCCTTCGCACGATATGACCTTCGTGGCTTCTGACGGACGGGCAGCATATTCTTCTCGTAAGTGTTGGGGCCAACAAGCTGGCCGTCTAAACTAACCCCTCCACTGCACAAAGCAACAAACTTCAAATGTAACTGTGCACGTGTAACGATGACACCATCTACGAAAATGGACGGCTGGAAGCACCTCGATTTCAGGCACGTCTTCTTCTGAAGCCCATCTAATGACCCTGAAACTGCCCCATCAGTCAGCGTCGTGCCGCATGTGAAATTTGGCATTCCAGTCCCATCCGTCCTTCGTGTGACGTGTCACAAGTGTACAACCTCCAGATCCTGACTGCCGTACGATGAAGAAAGATCGTCGGCTCTACTAGTTCGCGATAATTGCACACCCTCTACCATTCTTTCCATAGGTAATAGCCCAGAGACGTGACGGACACCCAGAGATTGTGGGACTTGAATAACCCGAATATTATCTATAAAATGAAACTTGAACTTTGGTGTTCCGAGAGAGGGGTTCGGGTAGTTCGGGTTGCTTTGACATTCCTGTTGCTCCCCACCGATTCGCGAAAGTATGTCGACCTCACCTTAGAATTTCATAAACGTCGGTACCTACCCTTTGGAAACGTTTCAATCAAGGTAAATACCCCAGGGTGTGCGAGGTTGGCTTGCCCAAGGGTTCCACGAGGGGCTGGTTACGAGGGGTTGGAAAACAGAGAGTCGATAATGTTCGCTGATTGTTACTGCATATAAAGACAACAATCAGATGGGTGCGAAGACCATTCACGACAGGACCTTCGTACACGAAGAATGTGCGAAGTTTGCAGGTTGCCGACAGCACCGAATCCTTCACGAAGCCAGCCCGCCATGGCTGTTCCGCCAGTGTTGGCAGATAGCTCAACAATCAGGAGACAACAGACGCCCCTTGCCCCGCTTGCATTGGCTGACACTGACAGCGAGCCAAGCAGCAGGAAACCAGCTCGGAACGGCCAGCCGACTCAGCAGGGCAGGCTTGCAAGCTAGGCTTGATGCACAATTGCTTTTTGGTGATAATTATCTGACACCATTGACTTCCCTAATTTGAGCTAACCTATCAGTTTTGCAGTGACGCTCTTGCATTCACCGTTGTCGACTCATAGATTACTCTCAAAGCGCTAAGGGCACACATTTGCTAAGGCTAATCTCCACTTAGCGCTTGTGAAGCTACGCCTCTTATTTTAACCTCGACAACGCCGCTTACTTATATATCTCGGTCTAATTTCTGACATAGTAATACAATGGCGACTGCGAGTGCAATCCATACAGGTTGCTCGCGGAACCGCACATGGCTGCTTGGTCGAGTCGGGACCCCAGGCCCTAACGATATCTCGTGTCCCACGTCGTTGGTCGAACTCGCGTTCGGCGCGCTTGTCCACGCAGTAAGCGGATACCATTCGCGAGAAGCCGCTAGAATATTGCAACCTTCAGAACCGACAACTGTTTCTTCTGAGACGTCGCAAAACAAAGACGCGGGAAACGCGCTCGCGCAATCCGCGGAACCGTCGGTCGCGAATGCGGCGAAGGAGGCGGAGAAGGCGGAGAAGGATGCGGAGCGATACGGTGCGCGTGTGGCGTGGAAGTGCGAGCGACTGCTTCAAGTCCTCAACGCGTGCCTTTCGGAGCTTGACCCTTGGAATGACGCGGACGGAGACACAGGTATTGATCACCTTAGAAGCACCATGATATACTAATCAGTCTATGATGAAACTCTTCGAAGATAGGGTCCTCACACGTGCCTTTCGGAGCTTGACCCCTGGAACGACGCGGACGGAGACACAGGTATTGTCACCGGATAAGGACCACGGTATGCAAGCCAATCCTTTTTAGGGACTCAATTAATAAACTCCTTAACGCGTGTCTTTTGGAGCTTGTCCCCTGGAACGATGCGGATGGCGACACAGGTGATTTCATCGTACAAGGGAAGCGGTGATATCACGGTTTAGAGGCCTATAATCTAATTTGTGATTTTATTTCGAACCGAAGGCCTTACGTTTTTGTGTGACTTTCCGTGAAAACCCAAAAATAAATAAATAAATAAATAAATAAATAAATAAATAAATAAATAAATAAATAAATAAATAAATAAATAAATAAATAAATAAATAAATAAATAAATAAATAAATAAATAAATAAATAAATAAATAAATAAATAAATAAATAAATAAATAAATAAATAAATCTTACTTTGCCATCTATTTTTTCCATGCCTTTGGCGCGATGCCAGCTCCGTCACAAGCAGTCTATTGTGGATATTTTTACTGTATATTTATTTACCGTAGAACTAGGTAGATACTGTGTAAAGGTGATTTGTGCTCGTATGGTAAACGTGCAGGTGCCACAGCTACTGCGTTTGTGTTCGCTCTTTAATCTCCATCGTTCTTTCGCTTGTTTCTTGCAGACGACTATAATCGCAGCGTGATTGGTCAGAGCCACATGTCTTCCTCTATAGTCACCTCCAGTTCTATCGCCAGCAGCAGCGCGCGCGGCAGCAGTATGTGCGGCGGAAGCAGGGGGGTCCTTAGCAGCAGCGCCACCCGCCCATACCGCCCGTCCACGGGAACAGGCGGAGGGGCAGGCGGAGTAGGCGGCGGGGGAGGCGGAGGAGGGGGAAGGATCACTGGCATTGCGAGGGCGGTTAGTTTAGGGAATGATGTGGGGACAGTGGCTGTCCCCGTTATTGGCAAACAGCAGTTTCAGCAGAAGTCTGGCGGGACAACTCCTGGCGGGAGCAAGGGCACGTCCCCGATACACAGTGCAGACGGTCCCGTTATAAGGACGGAGCCTTTCAGTAGAGCGGGCGCTGCTGCATACCTGCAACGGTTCCATTCTCCCCAGGTGGCCTCCCCTGCTCCAGCAGGAGCAGCAGCAGCAGCAGGAGCAGGAGGAGCAGGAGCAGGAGCAGGAGGAGCAGCAGCAGGAGCAGCAGCAGGAGGAGCAGCAGCAGCAGCAGCAGGAGGAGCAGCAGCAGCAGCAGCAGGAGGAGCAGCAGCAGCAGCAGCAGGAGGAATTGCCGACACCCCTCCTCGCATGCACGTCCGCCGTCGATCCGCGGACTTGCGTTCGAACCTCTCCCTGTCGCACTCCTCCTCCGTCCCTGATGGTTCCACAGACTCCACAGCCCCTACCCTGGCTAGAGCTGGAGGATCGGGTCCTATCATGCCCCATCTGCCCGCTTCTGCTTCCGTCCCCAGTGGAAGGGGAGGGGGAGCGGGCGGGGCAGGGGGAGGGGGAGGGGGAGGGGGAGGGGGAGGGGGAGGGGGAGGGGGAGGGGGAGGGGGAGGGGGAGGGGGAGGGGGAGGGGCAGGGTCTTCAACGAGTAGTCCGGGCCGGGATTGGTCGGAGCAGCTGTCTGTGACTGACGCGCCTTTCCTGCCTGGTAGGTGCCAGCCAGCCACCCCCTGTATAGACTTGTCACCACGTCCCTCTTGCGTTGACCTCCTTCCAGCCTTCCCCTGCGTTGTCCCCACTCCCGACCTCACAGCGTGTCCCTCATTGGTAATAGAGTGGAACGACCTCTTGCCCTCACCGTCTTTGCTTCTAGCTCCCCTCCCTCCTCACCTTCCCTCTCAGGTTGTTCCTGCTTCGACCTCACAGCGTGCCCCTCTCTGGCGTTGGAGTGGAACGACCTCTGGACCCTCCTCATCAACTCCGTCCCCATCTCCCTCCCCCTATCTTTGCCCCCGCTCCGCCCTCTCCCTCCCTCTCTCTCCTCTCTCACAGGTCCCTCCTGCTTCGACCTCACAGCATGCTCCTCTCTCTCATTAGAATGAAACGATCTCTTTCCCTCACATTCTTCGTTCCGCACTCCCTCCCTCATCTTCCCTCTCAGGTTCTTCCTGCTTCGACCTCACAGCGTGCCCCTCACTGGCGTTGGAGTGGAACGACCTCTTCTTCGCCGTACAGGACGCCATGGCTGCTTACGACACGCTGCTGCTGGCGCCGCTGACCACTGGCGTGCTGCCACGTGGCAGCGAGGTGAAGGAGCTGCAGCAGATGGTCGATGAGCTGGCAGGCATGGCCCGGGACAGGATGAACGGCTCAGATGAGGTGAGAAATGATGATGAACGGCTAAGATGAGGTGAGGGGGAGTGCGTTAGTGAAGTTCTGGATGGAAGCACCCAAAGATGCTGCTGGGTTTTTGTTAGAATTCTCAGCACCGTCTATTTGGCCTGCGGGTGTAGCACGATGACTTTTGAGTCGACTCAGAGGAAGATTCTGCTAGTCTGTCTCATTGGCCTGCGACATTCCAAAGCATTTCCAAACATTTCCCCCTTGTTTCTCCTTTTCCCCTGTTTCCCCCTCCCCCACTCCTCTCCCCGTTTCTTCCCTCTGTCATCCTCCTCTTCCCCTTCCTTCCCCTCCTCTCTTTCAGGGCGACGCTCGCCGCTGCCCCCTGCTGCTAGTGCGCCTCTTTGCTCTGCGGGTGAAGCATGAGACACTGCAGCTGCTGACCGTGTTTCCAGAGGCTAAGGAAGAGGAGCAGCAAACACCAGAGGAGGGGGCAAAGGGAGAGGATGGGGAAACGAGGAGAGAAGGTGGAGCGGGGAAAGTCGAGCAGGCAGCAGAGACAGCAGCGAAAGCAGAGGCAGAGGCATCAGCAGAGGCAGCAGCAGCAGCAGTATCACAAGGGACCTCAATGGCAGAGAAACGTCAGCAGCAGTTGAAGCAGCTGCTAACACTCCAGCAGGAAGCTGCCTCATCTCTCCTCTCAGAGATTTCAGACGAGATAGAGGAAATCTTCTCAGCCTGTAAAGGCTCTCTGTACGGTCTCGGCATTACCCATGCCCGCTCCCTTGCCCGCCTCTCCCTCCTGGGAAAGGCCGTTCGCGCAGCAGCAGAAGGGGCAGGGGAGGAGGATCTCACGGTTCTGATGGATAGTCAGGAGTTGGGCGGGGTTCAGAGGAAGGTGGGCGGAGAGGCGGTGGGGGCAGCTGGGGAGGGTGTATCTGCGTGTAGGGATGGTCTGGGGGAGGTGGGATCTGGTGCAGGGGTAGGTGGTGGGAGGAAGGAGGTGCCTCTGCTGGTGTGCCCTCAAAACGACTGGGCTAGGCTGAGTGCTGAGTGTGACAGTAACGAAGGGGGCGTCTTAAAGGAGGTGATTGTGTGGGAGGACGGAATGGGAGAGCTGCGAAGCCTGTTCAAGTCAGCAGCAGCTGCCACTGCTGCCGCCACTGCTGCTGCTGCTGCCGCGGCTCCTAGTCCAGCTAGTGCCGCTGCTGGTGGGTTCAGTAGCGGGATGCTGTCAGGGAAGGATGAAGGGGAGGAGGGTGGGTACAGCAGCAAGGAGTTATCGCCCCGGTCCCCCAGAGGCCCCTTGGCTCGAGATGACGAGAGCAGGAAGAGCAGCAGCGGTGGCAGCACCGCTGGCAAACCGGCAGCAGCCTCACGCGGAGCTTTTAATCATGGTAATCACGCTTCTATGCATACTGCTCTTTGTGTCCGTCTACCCTGTTACTCGTGCTTTTACTCTCCTGCTTATCCTACTGACCACCCTTGGTCTCCCCCATGTACTCACTCCCCTCACCATGCAGGGGCGTCTTTTTCCATGGCTCAAAGCACCACTCGCCCCAACCAGCGTCTGTGCTCACACATGTTGAGGCACCTCAATAATAAGCCCCTCTACTCATCCATCTATTCACCCTTCGCCTCACCCATTCTCCTCCCCCATGTACTCACTCCCCTCACCATGCAGGGGCGTCTTTTTCCATGGCTCAAAGCACCACTCGCCCCAACCAGCGCCTGTGCTCACACATGTTGAGGCACCTCAAAAATAAGCCCCTCTACTCATCCATCTATTCACCCTTCGCCTCACCCGTTCTCCTCCCCCACCAACTCACTCCCCTCACCATGCAGGGGCGTCTTTTTCTATGGCTCAATGCAGCACTCGCCCCAACCAGCGCCTGTGCTCGCAGATTTTATTAGATCGCATATCAGATCTGATTTGGTACACCAAGTGGGTGGGGTGTAGCGACCCAGACGATCTCCCCCTGGCGTGTATCCCCTCTGTAGTGCCGGTGACTATGCTTCTTAACGAGTTGGGGGCTCCCAGGTCTAAGGAGTCCGATCTGCTCATGTGTCACCGCTCTGAACTCCTCCGTCTCGTGCTCCCGGATTTTAGGCAGAAAGTGCAGATGCGATTGGTGGAGAGGGAGTTGGGTTGGATGAGTGAGGGCGGTGGGGTAGGAGGAGGAGGAGGGGTAGGAGGAGGAGGAGGGGGAGGAGGAGGAGGGGTAGGAGGGGGGAGAGCAGCAGCAGTGAACGTTAGGGTTTCCAAATCCGCAGCTGCGGCCGCTGCTGCCGCTGCCTCTGCCGCTGCTGCTGCCGCTTCAAGTGGTGCCGGCACACCCACTGGCCGATCCCCCTTTCCCGGCACCCCCACCACCCCCTCTGCTGCTGCTATAGCAGCCCAACGGGAAGGGAAAATGGGCGGGCAGATTGGCAGTACCATATTGGAGAGCGGCCGAAGCGATGCCACAGGTTCGGACGGCAGCAGCTTCAGCTTCGGGAAGCTGTCCGGCCGTGCCTCCGACCGAGCCTCCGACCGAACCTCCTGCCCGACCCCGGGCCTGGCACAACCCGGTGCCAACCCTTGGGCACGCATGGGCGGGCCCTTTGGAACAGGCTCGGGAAGCATGGGCATGGGCATGGGGATGGGGATAAGCATTGGAGTGATGGGTGCAGGGCTGTCGCGGCAAATCCCTTTGGAGGAGATTTTAGCAGCTACAGACTCGTGGGATCCGAGGAGGAAGCTTGGAGAGGGCGGGTTCGGATGTGTTTATAGAGGGGATGCTGCTAACGGGGAGGTGTGGGCGGTGAAGCGTGCAAACACGGTTTTCTGACGAGCAGCTTGAGGAGTTTGAGAAAGAGGTGAGAATTTGTGGAATGAGCTATGTGTCAACTTTCGAGGCGTGCGTGAAGTATGAGTGAGGTGTGGGAGAGGTGAGGTATCAAGGTAAGCATCAAGAGCTGCTCCGATGCTAATGGAGAGGTGTGGGCGGTGAAGCGTGCGAACACGGTCTCGGATGAGCAGCTTGAGGAGTTGAAAAAGAGGTGGGAGTCTGTGGATAGGGTCCATTACCACTCCTTGCCACTCCTTGCCACTCCTTGCCACTCCTTGCCACTCCTTGCCACTCCTTGCCACTCCTTACCACTCCTTGCCACTCCTTACCTCTTTGTACCCTCCTTACCTCATGCCTGCTCTGTCTCTTCATCCTTTGTACCCTTGCACCTGTGTGCCGCTCCCTTCCCCTCCCTCCCCCTTTCCCTCCTCTCCCTCTCTCCCTCCCCCTCCTCTCCTTCCTCCTCCCTTCTCCCTCTCCCTCTCTCCCTCGCCACTGCATGGCCCACCAGCACCTGGTGCGACTCATAGGCTTCTGGGCGGACTGTGACGAGCGCATTCTCGTCCACGAGTTCATGCACAGCGGCATGCTCTCCTCCCCTCCCACCTGCACTGCTTCTCATCACTTGGTACCCTTGCTTCTGTGCGCTGCCGCTCCCCTCCGCTTCTCCCTCTTCTCCCTCCTTCCCCCCTCCGCTCTCCCTTCTCTTCTCCCTCCCTTTTCCCTATCACCCCCCCTCTATCCAGGTGTCATTCATGAGTCGCATGGCCCACCAGCACCTCGTGCGACTCATAGGCTTCTGGGCGGACTGTGACGAGCGAATCCTGGTCTACGAGTTCATGCACAACGGCATGCTCTCCTCGCGCCTCCACCGTACCTCCTCTCATCTTGCCTCCTCCTCTGAAGCCCACGCCAAAGACAACAAGCCGTTTTTCAAGCTCTACCCGACTTCTGCCTCCACCAGCAAGGCCACTTCTGCTGCTGCTCGTGGATCTGACCTCCCTCCTCCTCTGACGTTCGACGAGAGAGTGAGCATCGCTGTAGGGGCGGCGGAGGGGCTTCGGTATCTGCATGATTTCGCTGCCGATTCTGTGATCCACCGCGATATCAAATCAGATAATATCCTCCTCACCGATAAGCTCCAGGCAAAGATTGCGGATTTTGGGCTGCTGAAATCGGCTGATCTGGGAGGACCAGGAGGGGGGTGGTTCGGGGGTAAACCACACGCGACTCATGGGTACCCCGGGGTACTGCGACCCTGAATACTCGAAAACCTACATTGCGTCGGCTAAAAGTGATGTTTATAGTTTTGGCGTGGTGCTTTTGGAGCTGATTACAGGGCAGCGGGCGATTTTATCTGAGAATAGGAAGAAGGGAATTGCAGGCAGCATGGCGGCACTGCTGTGGCTGAGACCGGGCGTGGGGGGAAGACGCAGCAGCAAAAGGAGATGGAGATGCTTGGCTTTAAGAAGAACAAGAAGTCGAGTATGCGAGCCATCACGACGCTCGTCAGCTGGGTGAGTCTTTCGGTTGTTGTGATTATTGTTTGTCTTATTTCTGTCTGTACTGTCACTGCCGCACGATGCTGGGCTTCAAGAAGAGCAAGAAGTCGAGCATGCGAGCCATATCGACGCTCGTCAGCTGGGTGAGTCTGTACTTTGATTGTTGTTATTTCCGTCACCGTTCGTTACTTTAGCACAACACTTCCTAAAGTTTTGGCGTAACATTGTAGATTCAGAATCTTCCCTCGTATCCCTCTCGTCCTTCAGGCCATGCCTTTGATCGCAGCAGGAAAGCTCAAGGCCGTAGTAGACCCTGCCCTGGAAAACAACTACTCCTGCTCAAACCTGTCGACTCTACGCTGTCCCTTGTCTCCCTCTTGCTAGCCCGCTCCTTTCCTTCCTTCCCCTCCGTCCAGGCCATTCCTCTGATCGCAGCAGGCAAGCTCAAGTCAGTGGTCGACCCGGCCCTCGAAAACAGATGCTCCTGCTCATACCCCTGCTCAACTTTGTTCCTTTGCTCAACTCCCCTCACATTCGTCCGTCCAGGCCATTCCTCTGATCGCAGCAGGCAAGCTCAAGTCAGTAGTCGACCCAGCCCTCGAAAACAACTACCCACTGGGAGCAATGAAAGCCCTCGCCAGCGTAGCAGCCATGTGCGTCCAAAAGAGTGCCGCTCAGCGGCCGACCATGGCTGAGGTGGCGACTCGCCTGTCTGCCATCCAGCACAAGGTGCAAGACCTGCATATCCAAGGAGAAGAGCCTAAATACAATTTTCAGCCCACACTTGCCGGCCCTTTACCTACTTCTGCCTCTACTGGTGGTGGTGCTGCGGCTGGTGGTGCTGCTGCTGCTGCTGCTGGTGCTGTTGTTGCTGGTCGGTGGGGGAGTGGGGGAGGAGGAGCGGGTGGGGGAGGTGGAGGAGGAGGAACAGGGGGGTCTGTTTCAGGCAGTAGCAGGAGTTTCAATCGAACTGTATCCGCTCCTGCTCAGAGGGTTGATGAGGCAGGGGGTGGGAGTGGGAAGGAGAAGAAGAAGCATCGGTATCAGGAGGTGGGTAGACCAGCAGGGAGCAAGGAGGGGACGGGAGAGAGTGGGAAGGAGGGTGCTCTTGGAAGGGATGGGAAAGGCAAGGGGCTGTCGCGGCGGGGATCGACTAAAAGCGCGAGTAAAACCAATCTTCCTCTTCTTTCGGCTGGTGATGCTGTAGAGTTTAGCTCGCAACATGTTACAAACAGATACATGGCTGGGGGGGCTGGGGGGTTTTAACTGTATCTGTGATTTGTTGCACATTACCACATCGCAACATAGTGTGTAACGGCCCAATATGAAATCCTCAAGATGTGCATAGCAGTGGGAATGCACCTACTGTTGGAATGAAACGGAATGTGGTGGTGACGGTGTCTCATATAAAACCATAAAATGTTGTTGAAATGTATACAACCGAGATGCACCAAGGGGTGGCACTTCAGCAGTTACGGTATTCATACGGTATGGTAGACACAAGAGCAGTCCCAAGCGAGCGATGCATTTTGGATCTTCTGCCTCTCCATTCTCAATCTCCTTCGTATACTGATGCCAGGGTGTGTTTCTACACCTCGTATCAGACACACCTCGTTGTCAGAGGTCCACTGGCGATCCCCGATTGATAATAGGGAAGGGTTGCTTGCACGTTGGCCTGGAGGGTTATGGGCGCACTCACCCGCTACACAAAAAAAAAAACAAAAACAAAAAAAAAAAACAAAAAACAAAAAAAAAAAAACAAAAAAAAAACTTTTATCCCAGTTGTTAGTGGCTGGGATTCTGACATGTTATGAGGGCGGAAATCTCGAATTCGAATCCCAGTGTGTGCACCTCGGGCATCCCAGTACGAAGGGGTGTCACAGGTCCACTGGCGATCCCCTAGTGGCTGGGATTCTGACAATGGTATCAGCTTCTCGTTGTTAAACGCGTTTTAGTGTGTTCGACTGCGCTTGGATGCGTTTTAGTGCGGTTCGACGCGAATCTGATATGAAGTTGTTTGACAAGAGGCTGTAAGAACACGCCCTCATTTCAACCGCCTTGTTCCAAAGGGTTCCAAAGGCTTTCTCCATGTTCCAAAGGGTTCAAAAGGTTTTCTCTCCGTGTTCCAAAGGGTTCCAAAGGTTTTCTCCATGTTCCAAAGGCCTGGCTTTGTTGGCGGTGTCCCCCGGCTTGTTAGCTTTATATCTATATGTAACTAGATTACTGCTAGATTAGAAGTGTAGTATCATGTAGATTTTCCTGTAGTGTTCTGATCACACTACATATAGATATAAAGCTAACAAGCCGGAGGACACTGCCAACAAAGCCAGGCCTTTGGTGGTGTAGAATAGAAGTGTAGTATCATGTAGATTTTCTCTTGGTGGTGTACCCCCCTTCCCACCTTCCTAACTCTATATCTTGTATCTTTCCTATCATTGAACTCCTCTTCTTTGGCCAACTCCCTCTCGCTACTCTGCTTCAAACCTAAACCAAGGTTCTAAGTTACTATGTGATTCTAACATGGTACAGAGAAGTTAAAGATCCTAAGGACCAGGTTTTTTTTTTTTTAGACATGGCTGCTACAGCACCTGCAAAGGCGCTCGCTCGTTGCCCGCCCTGCACTACCCGTCCCGTCGCGTCGCGCCCGTCCCATCCCGTCCCCTTGCGGCCGTCGCGCCTGCCCGTCCCGTCGCATCTCGCCCGTTCCGTCCCGTCCCCACGTCGCGTCGTGCCTGCCCGTCTTGTCGCATCGCGCCCGTCCGTCCCGTCCTGCACGTGCGCCGGCAACCATCGCTAGAGCCAGCGCCAGCGCCCAGCGCCAGCGCAAATGACTGCGCCAGCGCCCAGCGCCAGCGCCCAGCGCCAGCGCAATGACTGCGCCAGCGCCAGCAGCAGCCCACCCCCCCCCCCCCCCCCCCCCCCCCCCCCCCCTCTTCCGCAACTTCCGCCGTGGGGGGGGATGTGGGGGTGGCGGGTGTGAGCAGCCAGCAGTTTGTCCCTCCCCTCCCTCTTCCTATCTCCTTGCAGCACTTGTTGCTGTGTGGTGGGGGGGGAGGAGAGAGGTTCAAGGGGTGGTGAGAGAGGTGGAGAGAAAGAAAGAGAGAGAGAGAGAGAGAGAGAGAGAGAGAGAGAGAGAGAGAGAGAGAGAGAGAGAGAGAGAGAGAGAGAGAGAGAGAGAGAGAGAGAAGAGAGAGAGAGAGAGAGAGAGAGAGAGAGAGAGAGAGAGAGAGAGAGAGAGAGCGAGAGAGAGAGAGAGAGAGAGAGAGAGATTCTTCTTTATTTTTCTCGTTTCGTTTCTCGTTTCGTTTCTATCCGTCGTATCTGGGCTGTGGTCGCCCCTCGTCGCGCTCACCGGAGAACATTGTGCACTCCTGACAGCAAATGAAGCACACAGTATCGAAGCTGGAACCGAACTATCAGAGTTGACTCGAAGCGACACTGGCAGATGGAAAGCATCTGGATCGTCGGCGTCAAACGATATCGGCAACTGTAAAGGCGAAGGAAATGGCGGGAACGGTTTCGTAACTGTTCGAGTCGCACGGTTGGGTTTGAATTCGAATAAGGGAATGTACCCCTTAGAGTACATGGCTAGCTAGGTCGCTTCGTATTCCCCTGTACTACTACTTATATGCTCATGTTTGTATGTTTTAATCATCTCAATCATTTTACATTCACTCTGAATTGAGGTCAAGGGCCCACCACCAACTGCACGACTCTATGCTTACTTTCCCGAGACGATCCTAGGTCACGATCAACTTTTTGATTGCAGCATGGCATGAGAGCTACTCGGGAATCCTTTGCAACGCCACTACCGAAATCATCGGCGAATTAAAGTGGCGTCTGGCACACGCTCACGCGTAAGAAAGACCGGAGGATCTGGAGGTCAAACGAATCTGACGGTTGAAGCGCAACCCAACCCGGTTGCGACAAACGAGGCGATGACAACCATTGGCACCGCGGTCCTCGAACAACTGCTTCAGCGACTCACGAACTTGGAGCAAGGACTCCAAACACTGCGGAATGGCGACGCGGGAACATCTTCCCAACCCTCTCAACCAGCCTCGAACGTCCATAATACCGCCCCGCACACCTTCTCCCTCGACACAAATGGCTCAACTCCCAAGACTCCCCGTCCCAGCGAAGAAGCAATTCTCTCTGCGCAATCAAGGTTTCTCAGCATATCAAAAATAAAGACAAGTGTGTGCTTTGACGGCAGAAACTTCCATACCGGAGCTTCGAGCTGGAGCTGCTACTACAAAACGCGCACAAACCCACTATCTTGACAGGAGCTACGCCGGGCCTGCAGAAGATACCGCCGACGCCAGGGCGCAGTGCTTCAATGAATCGCTGATGACGAACGGCAACCTGCTCAGAACATGTCTCCGGCGGAGCAGCTGAGCATTCAATCATACAAGACATCGTCTGCTCCAGCCCTTGACGCCTGGCGGCACCTAAACGGACGGCGTGTACCAACCGAAGGACTCCGTTTCTTTGAGTCGCCTGCTCCAGCAGCTACTGGAGACAAAAATGGCCCCAGGGGAGAAGGCCAACAGCTACATCAATCGGTGTCTGAGCTTACACAATCAAATCGTGGAATTGGGGAGCACGACCTCAGAGGAGATCTCTGTGAACACCGTGCTCCTAAGGCTCGACCCAGGGTGGCGACCTTGTAAGGCGCTTCTCCGACAGCAGGGGGTCATCTTGGAGGCCACCCTATGCGGCACCCTACTCGTCGAACGGAGAGACATAGACCAGCAGCGACCAGCGCTGCGACGAGAAAGGGAACGCCTCGCCTTCTACGCGGACAACACAAAAGAGCGAAGGCCGCGGCGCCTTTACTGCAAAGTCTGCAGAAATTTTGTGCACCTGGCAGATCGATGCAAGTTCCGATATCGCCCTCGCTAGACCAATCCGAGCACCTGGTCCGGCCGACAAGACGCACGATACGATACGCGTCCAGCCCAGGGGTACCAGCCCCCATCGTGCAACCTGAACCCAGCGGTTCAGCATCAGCAGCAGCAGCTGTCACTGCCTGGCCCAGTCCGCAATGTCATAGGGAACATGACCATGACGGGCGGATCTCGTCGTCCCCGCGAGCGCACACCGTCTCCGGAGCCAGCACGTCACCCAATCGGGGCATTCACGGAGAACAACACGTTCAGCACGCGCCGCGATTTCAACGACGACGACGAACAAGACTGGAACCTGCCAGTCCCGCTGGTTGAAAGCCCCCCGCACGTACCAGATTCGCGGGCGGCACCGATCGATTGTATCTCGCGCGAACAATTCCTAAAATTTGACACACCACACATCGACACGCCGCGATTGGCACTGCTCGCACGTGACGACAACAAGCACTACAATACCTTGTACCTGGACAGCTGCTGCGGCCAGCACATGGTGGGCTCCGAGCGTTTCGTCTCCAACGCCGTCCCAACCCCCACGGTCACCTATGTCACCGTGGCCAACAACAACCGTCTGCGCGCAAGCGCGCAAGGAATCGTCGTGCTCAAAGCACGCGGAAGCCGCACGCACATCACGCTCAACGATGGGCTCATAGTCCAGAACCTGCGCTTCAACCTGCTATCCGCCGCTCAACTCATAGATTGCAGCGTCGAACTCAGCACGGATCCTCGCACACGCGACATCCTGCTGTACTACCCATCGCTGACAAAACCACGTAGGCAGATTTGACGAGCGCACTCCGAGAATGGGGTGTACATCATCGACTTCGACATTCCCGACTACAGCAGTGATTCGAACGAGCTGCTTGATCTCGTTCCACTGCGCTTCGAGCACATTCATCGCTCGGACTGGAAACACCCTGACGGACAACCGTGGGTACCACATCACCCTCACCCACGCGAGCTGGCGCTACACGGCCCTGACCCCGACGGCATCTGCCGGGTTTGTCACACGCCCACTGCCTCAACAAGCGCCATCACCGGCCGCGGCCTTGCCGCCATCGCCGACGCTGAACGAGCCATGCCACCTGAAGAAGGGATGTCAGCACTGGAGCTGGAAGTCGCTTCTCACCACGTCTTCGGCACCGACCAGAGCCCACTCGCAGGCTCCCCCTCCCAGCGGCTCGAAACCATCCTACGCAGTCAACGTCGCGGAACCCTCGATGCACGCGGCGTGGCGCGTCCCTATAGTAAAGAGGAGTTCCTGAAGCTCTACCCCCACTGGCGCGACCCCACGACGGAACTAACTGTGGAGCAAGAAGAAGAGCTGGCGCGTCGCAAAGCCGAAGAACTATGCCAGAAGAGCCTCGCTGAAGATTGCGGGACATTTGCCTGTGGTGCTTGGGGAGCGGAGGAAGAAAGCGCCTCCAATGAAGGGGGGTGGGGAAGCGCTGGCGGATGGGGAACGAGCGACACTGGCGGTTGGGGCGCCGCCACTGGCGGCGACACTAGCGGATGGGGCACTTCCGGTGAAGGGTGGAGTGCTTGGCGAGGAGAACAAAGGGGGGAAGAAGAGACTGTAGAAGCCGAACCGCGCGTTGTTCCCCTCGGCCGTCCTCCTCGTCTTCCCGCACCTCCGCTGCCACCACCTGACATCCAGCCGCACCGCGATCCCTGGGACACCATCGATTGGGGCAACGAACCGTCGACCCCGCGCCGCATAGCCTATGAAATAGCTCCCGAGCTGCACGAGCCCACCTTCATCCCTGGCACGATTCCCGGCACCAACATTCCTCTCTCCGTCATTCTCGACAGAGAATTCTTGGCACTCATGCTGGCGACGGCGAGCGACGAAGACGAAGATGAAGAAGCAGCAGCAGTACCTGCCCCAGTGCCAGAAGAAGATCCCGAGACAGTGCGCGAGCCCTACATACGCACCTCCGGATTTCGCGCAAACGACGACCTTTGGCACCAGTGCCTCGGTTACCCCTCGCGCGCAATGCTGAAAAACTGCATCGACGCAGGCGTGTTTGCGCCCAGCGCTCTCCTGCGCCCTGACGGCACCGAAGTGAGAAGCACGTCACACCCGCGCAACTGCACCATCTGCCCCGAAGCTGCGCTGAGCCACCAGCCATTCCCGCTGCTCGAACCCGGAACCAACCGCTACCCCAAGCTGCACAAGGTGTATAGTGGCTTTCTGAATGTGGGGCATTGCGGAGTCAACGACGAGCTGTACACGCTTACCTTTGTTTACGCTGGGACACGCTACGTCTGGGTTGTAAATATGGAAGCACGCAGCAGGGCATACGAGGTCTTCCGCCTCTGGCAGGCGCACGCGCGGCGGCACTCCGAGAAGAAGCTGAAAATTTGGCAATCGGATGGCGCAGCGGAATTCAGAGGCAAGGAGCTGCAAGAATACCTGGCGCAGAAGTTAATCGAGCATCACATTTCCCTCCCGTACACACACCAGCAGCAAGGCGTAGCTGAGCAAACGAATCGCACACTCATGACAAAGGTGTGGGCGCTGATGAAGCAATCGAAACTTCCGCCGATATATTGGACGTACGCGATGCACCACGCCGTGCGGGTGCATAACCTGCTTTCAACCACCCCCATAACCGACAACCTGTCCCCGCATCTGAAATGGACGAGAACGAAAAGGGACACCTCCATGCTCCGCATGTGGGGGTGCATGGTGCAGTACCGTCCGCTGACATCAACCATCAGGAAATTTGCAAGCCGCGCGCACTGGGGAATCCACCTCGTCATTAGCCACGAGCACAAGGCATGGATCATTCTAGATCTGCTCAGCCAGAAGACCACTCATGCGCGCGACGTCATATTCTACAAGCGACTCTTTCTCGACCGATTCTGCGTGAACGAGCGCACAAAGGCGATCCGCGCTTACGCCAACGACGGGCATAGCTACGCAACACCCGAGTTCGAAGCAGCTGCGGCTATCCTGGAGCAAGACACCAGGGGCAAATTCGCAAGAGGCGATTGCCATAGCAGCGATGACTACGAAGACTCCCCTGGGGGAGGAGTAAGTGGAGCAGGAGGAAGCAGCAAAGGCACAGCACCGCCAGCACCGCCTGAACCAGAGAGCGACGACGATGACGTGCAGGAGGTTATCCTGCAGCATCGCCATGACAACACTGTTTCAGGGCTGCAACTTCTCGGGCTCCACACCGCCACTTCAACCGCGCCACGCGTCATCGAGCCAAAGAATCTGCGCCAAGCCCTCACGGGACCACACAACAAGGAATGGCGCGAGGCGATGGATGCGGAAATCAAGGCGCTCGAGTCTCGCGACACATGGGTGCTCGTCGATGGAGCATCAATCAAAGGGAGAAGGATCCTTTCGGGGAAATGAGTTTTCCACGTGAAAACCGCAGCGGACGGCACGATCGAGCGATTTAAGGCACGATGGGTCGTGCGCGGCTACGATCAGAGGCACGGCATTGACTTCGACCAGACATTTGCGCCGGTCAGCCGCCACACCTCCGTGAGAATTCTGCTCGCAATCGCTGCCGCAAGACACCTCCCGCTGCGCCAAATCGACGTGAAGAACGCGTTCCTGTACGCGTTAGTAGATGCGGTCATTAACGTGGAGCAGCCGCACACGTACGGCGAAGGGGATTCGCATGTGTGCCAGCTACGAAAGTCCCTCTACGGGATCAAACAAGCACCAAGGCTCTGGCAGCCATACCTACACAACATCGTGCTTGAGATAGGCTTCAAGCAGCTGCCCCATGATCCTGGGATGTACCGCCACGATTTCCGCGGGGATTATATTCTGCTCTCAGTCTACGTTGACGACTTGCTTTACACAGGGTCGAGCAACGAGCTGCTTGAGCAGTTCGAAAAGAATCTGGCGGGACGCGTCGACATTACCTGCAACCACGACGTGAAGTAGTTCTTAGGACTCAATATCTCCTACGTGCCAAAAGCTATTCACCTCTCAGCGGCAAAGTATGCAGAGGAACTTGGCAAACGCTTCAACATTGCGCCAGCACCACTCTCCACACCTTGACGCACTCTCGGACTGAACCACAAACCCGATAACAAAGCCATGTCATCTGCTGGAATCCCGAGTTACCAACAGCAGTTGGGTTGCCTTCTCTTTGCCTCAGTGACATGCAAACCTGATCTTTCATACATCGCGAGCCAACTAGCTCAGTACTCCCGCAAACCAACGGCTGAGAACCTTCTGGATCTGTAGCGCACTCTACAATTCTTCATCTCCACACCCACGATCAGACTTTGCTACTCAACAGTGCCAACCCCATCCTTCAACCTCATCGGCTACGTGGATGCCGATCACGCAGCAGACCCCGACAATCGACGGTCCAGGACTGGGTTCCTGTTTCGCCTCGAGCCAACAGGACCAATCTCATGGAACTCGCAGAAACAGGAGCTGGTTGCCCTGTCATCGGCCGAAGCTGAATTCATCGTCGCGACAGCAGTAGTTCGCGAAGGGCTCTACCTGTAGGAACTTCTGCAAGAAGCGAAAATTCCAACTTCGCCAACCTTTCGCCTGCACTGCGACAACCAGAGCGCGATCCGAATCGCGAACAAGCCTAGATTCCTCAACCGCACCAAACACATTGCGCTGCGGTATTTCTTCGTCAAGGACGAAGTGGACAAGGGGAAAGTTGACTTGACCTACTGCCTGACAGGTGACATGGCAGTCGACTTCCTTACGAAGCGATTGCCACGTCAGCAGTAGCAGCACTGCTCTGAACTCAGCGGAGAGGTCAAACGGGTCTAGTCGAGCTACGGTCAGGAGTGAAGGGGGGTGTTACGAATGGTAAACTAAGAAGAACATTGTGCACTCCTGACAACAAATGAAGCACATAGTATCGAAGCTGGAACCGAACAGTCAGAGTTGACTCGAAGCGACGCTGGCAGATGGAAAGCATCTGGACCGTCGGCGTCAAACGACATCGGCAACTGTAAAGGCGAATGAAATGGCGGGAACAGATTCGTAACTGTTCGAGTTGCACGGTTGGGTTTGAATTCGAATAAGGGAATGTACCCCTTAGAGTACATGGCTAGCTAGGTCGCTTCGTATTCCCCTGTACTGCTGTTTATATACTCATGTTTGCATGTTTTAATTATCTCAATCATTTTACATTCACTCTGAATTGAGGTCAAGGGCCCACCACCAACTGCACGACTGTGTGCAAACTTCCCGAGACGATCCTAGGTCACGATCAATTTTTTGATCGCAGCAAGAGTGTCCACCTAGTTCCCCGAGCTTACCGTATATCAAAGTCTAGGGGATATGATATGATGTCTAGAGTAAATGATATACACCTGATGCTCATTAGGCGCACGCAACCTTTGACTGATCAAAGGGTGTGAAACGAGCAAATGTTTTTCTCCAATTCGTCACGGGAAAAAATAAGGCTGTATCGGGTCAGTTGGTAACATCTCACGAAGGGATGGATGACAACGTGATAAGCAGAGTGATTAACGGCTTGTATCCTGGGTGCAACTGGTCGTGCTGAATTGCAAATGGGAGAAGCAAAGTGAATGGGAAAAGCAATTTTGCGTACATTACCTGAGCATCATGTATAGGTAATGCAAGAAAGGTCCAGCACATCTATGCTGTATTGACGTCTTAACGGAGGCAGAATGGTACACCTTCTTGTACTCATTTCATTTCCTTTGAATCGAATTGGTATGTAAATGGGGGAAATTATGCGAATGGTAAATTATATGGGGCTCAATAACGCGTACGGTAACCATCATAATCAATTTTAACGTGTTTGGTAACTTGATTCACGCGTTTGGAAACTATATGCTGCCAAACGATCATGCGAAAGGTAACTAGAAGTCATAATCACCCGAAATGACATAGATTCGAAGTTTAAGCGCTCATGCGAAATTCTTTGTAATGGTTAAAGTACGCGTTATTAAGCCCCATGTAAGTTACTATCCTCATATTTTCTGACGTAAATGAAATAACTGCGCGACGCGACCTGGTTCACATTTTGCTCAATCTCGTAGAATACCCTCACACCACGCCCCGTTTTTTTATATCCCTCAATCCCATGGACCTCCACATGCGCTTTCGCGATAGTTCTATACTTCTTCAGGAAAGTGTCTTGGGATTGTTTTGTTGGAAGTTACATTCTCAAACTGGGCAAAGTTTACCCTACCTTCCTTGTTTTTATTTTACGTTTTGGTTTGGTTCTACGGTGCTGTCTATATTGTCACCTAGTGGGGTGCGCCCAGTGAATAGGTTTAGTCGAGAAAGGTCCGTGTGTAAATTTATTAATGAGATTTTGTCTTTTTTTGTCGGTTCGCAATGATTGTTCGGTGCACCTGTCGCTGCAATGATGCAAAATTAGCGCAAAAGCGCGGACTGTGAGGGACCCTAAACTCGAGAAAAACGAATACACAGAGCAACCGGATCGCGATTCATGGTGTAGAAACAAGTGGCAGTCTATAGGATTGAGAGATATTAAAAAACGGGGAGCTGTGTGCGAAGGTATTCCACAAGATTGAGAAAAATTTGAAACAAGTTGCACCGCGCAATTATTTCCACGAAAAATGGTGCTGCAAATCCCCCGAACCCCTCGGTCCCCTCACTCCCAGGATCAGCGCATCATCCGTGTGAGGTGCGCATCATATTTTTCCCAGCCTCTCGTTCGCAAAGATGTGTGGCCAAGGAGCTCAGAGTTTAGGAAGCTCGCGATTGCACCTTTATGACCTGTTCAGGCGAATGGTTGTGAATTTTTATCGTGACGTGGCTTTGGAACTTTCGGCTCTGTTGGGGAATCTAGAAACTCAAATGATTTGTCACATAACCTAGAAACAAAAACTTAGACCAATAAAGTCGAAATGATTGTATTTTCCTGTAAATCTAGGCTCGAATTCTCGGCCCTACCACTCGGGCAACCTCAGAGGTATATCCAACGGTTGGGATTAACCCAGCCCTAATTTGGTCACTTCCCTGCTAAAAGCGTGTTCGAAGTACTTCACCAGCTCGACGTCGAGGAATGTCGGTGAATGTCAACCCTCGGATCGAAAATTCCAACCGTCAGGATTCATCGAAATCCACCGACGATGGAAACTGAATCCACGGGTTTGGGCTTCTGGAAGGAGGACAAATCTAGTAGCCATCATCCGTATCTACGTCCGATCGAAGGCTCACAACGGCAGCTTCCTGTCAGAGACCGAATGCTCGCGTGGGAACAGATGCAAAAAAATCCAGGAACCCCTGACGTTTTCCGTTTTCTCCTCGATCTTGTTCAAATGAAACAAATTTTGATATTGTTCAAGGCGGTGAGGAGAAGTCGCATTTCTGCGTAAAACTTCTCAGAACTGCTTGATAAACGAAGTCAGATTGCTTTCATAAGGCATTCAACTGCACATTGGTGATTTTTTTGGAAGAAACTGTACATTATTTCAATGAGGACCAAGAACCCCAGATTTGCTGCCTCCCACCAGCTCAGTTTCCCCAAATCCTGTTTCTTCACCGTCAGTCCTATCCGCTCCACAGAGCAACTTTCTGTGCTGGTGGTTATGCAGTCCACTGTACGGTACTGTAATGCCAGTCATGAGTCCCACAACTACGCTTTCTGCTATGGTTCCTGCCACAAGATAGTGTTTCTTAGGACGCGGTAAAAGTGGAGAATCGATCGCCTCAGGATCGTTTTTAAGCGCGGTTGTAAACGGTTGTGTACCTTTCGTATGCAAAATGCGGGGTTTCAGTGCGGTGACTAGATCGATCTCTCTCCGATCGAGCACTTGAAGTTCAAGTGTTACCGCTTATGTCCATCCTCTCTTTGAAGCGTCGTCGCTAGGACTTTGAGGAGCAGTTTCCGAAGGTAGGTATTTTCTTGTCTTTCACAGACATAAAAGACGTTTGCTAAGTACCACACGCACTAGTAAAGTCTGCATTAATCTGGTTAACTACTATTATCTAGAGGCGACGTTCCGCTTAAACTTCTCGGCGCGAATCTTGCTAATAGATCATCCGTAGTCGATCTAGTTTACTACTAAAAGGCTCGTTCTTCCTGGCAACGCTCTTGAAGTGAACGTTTACTACGGTTTTTTATCGCAATTTCAAGTTGAAATAAGCCGTCCGATCCAGCAATGGACTCTCGTTCCCGTGTCATCCAAGATGGTGACGTCACGTCAAACAGTCAGCCTCAAAACACCAACAGTAGCCCCAACCTCCCTCCTCGTTCTACCCACCCACACCCTCAACCCCCTCTCGCGACCTTCCCTTCCCCGTCAGGAGTATCTCTATCAGCAATTCCCTCCTCCCTCTCCCCCCCTTCCGCTTTCCTCCTCGCTCCCATCTCTCCCTCTTTCCTCTACCTTTCCCTCATTTCCCCCTCCCTCCGCCTTCCCCTCCTCCTCTCATCACCTCCTCCCTAACTGGTGGTGCGGACATCAAACCACCAATCAGAGCTCGCCATTTGGCAGGCGACCGCATACCGTAAGCCCCCCAGCCCTCCCCCTTGTCCCCCCATCCGGATCATTCGGTGAAAAAGGGAGAGCCGGCGGAATGGAAGGGGAGGGGATGGGGGGGGGAGGAGAGGGGACGGAAGGGGGAGAAGGGCAAGGGGGAGGGGGAGGAGTGGGAGGAGGAAGAGGGGGAGAGAGGGGTGAAGAAGAGGGGTTGGTTACAAGCATCATGCCCATACGGTCATGGACCCCTTCTGTCAATAACGAGAAGCAGCACCAGCAGCAGCAACAGCAGCAGCAGCAGCGGCAACAGCAGCAGCAGCAGCAGCATCTGGAGCCGATGGGTTCTGCCTTTGTTCGTGCTCTCTCTGTCAGCCGTTCGTTTCCATTCCACGGCGCTGGCACTTCAGATGCAACACTACCACTACCACCACCATCAACAGCAACAGCGGCAGCAGGAGCAGCGCCAGCAGCAGCAGCAACCAAGACAGCAGCAGCAGCAGCAACAGGAGCAGCAACCAAGACAGCAGCAGCAGCGGCAGCAACAGGAGCAGCAATAGAAGCACACGCTGCGGCAGCAGCAACGGCAGTGGAATCAGCTGAGTTTGGAGCGTCAGGGGAAAACAGTAAACCAGCAGAAGCAGCAACGGAAATGGGACAGGGGGGGAGGATTTCTGAACCGGGAGACAAGGAAAAAGACACAGGTCTTCAAGGTGTGAAAAGTCGCTGGGGTTTGGGTGTTGGGCTGGCAGGCTCGGCACTTGCTTTAGGGCCTCGTGTTGCCCAAACCGGAGCAGAAGGCTCGGGAAGGGAGCCGGAGTCTTCTGCTGGGGCGGGTTCATCTGGGGGAGGTGGTACCGAGAGGAATTTGTTCAAGGAGACTCAGGTGTTTCCGCTGGCAGTGTTTAAAGAGCCTGAGTTTTCACCTGGGCCGGGTTCACCCAGGGGAGGCGCTACTGAGAGGGTGTTGTTCAGGGAGACTCAGGTGTTTCCTCTGGCGAAAACTCACAGCCCTCTTTCGGGCTTCCTTGCACCGTTGGCCAGTGGAAATAAGAGCGGTGCTGCTGCTGCTGCTGCTGCTGTTGTTGATTCTGGTGGCGGCGGCAGTGGTGGTGGTGGTGCTGGCGATGGTCGTGGCGCTGTTGTTGCTGCTGCAGCGGGTGCTAATACTGCTGACGCTACTGGTGCCGCTGTTGCTGCTGGTGCTGCTGCTGGTGGCAGCAATGGTGGTGGTGCTGCTGGCGGTGTTACTACTGGAGGTGGCAGGGGTGCGTTAGTAGGAGGGTTGCTGGGGGGGGGAACAGCAGGAGGAGGGTTACCAGCGAAAGGAGGGTTACTGGGTAGTACATCCGGAGGAGGGTTATCAGGGGGAGGTACATCTGGAGGTGGGTTTCTGGGGGGAGGTACTTCCAGAGGAGGGCTACCAGGGGGAGGCTTATTCGGTGGAGCGATGGCAGGAGGATCAAATCAGATCCCGGACCTCACCACAAGGTTGGGCCTGAGGTTTGGTCCCTCTGTTTCGGCCGGACCTGACTCCGAAAATAGAGACGGAAATAGGGATGGGACTAGAGATGCGACAACGGAAGGAAATAAGGAGAGAGATAGAGATAGGGAGAGAGATAGCAGTCGAGAGGGACCCAGGCCGCCTGAGAGCATTGAGTACGAGAGCCGGGAGCTAGCCAGAGCGGTGCAGCAGAACAGAATTTTAGAAGAGGAGATAACCCGGCTGCAGTTGCAATCGTGGGAGCTTAAGGAGCAAAACCAGGAGCTGCATTCGCGGGTGGTTCGGCTGGAAAATCGGGAGCAGAGAGGGGTTGGGAGCGGTGCGGGTGGGTGGGTGCAGCCGCAGTTGCAGCGGATGGAGAATCAGGTGGTGGTGCTGACGGGACGAGTGCTGCAGCTGCAGCGGCAGAACCGCGCGGCTAAGGGGGAGATTGAGAGGTTGAAAAAGGAGTTGGATGCGGTGAGGGGGAAAGGGGTGGCGGAGGGGGGAGTGGAAGGGGGAGGGGGAGGAGGAGGCGGAGGGAGAGGTGGAGGGGGGCGGGTGGAAATGGGTGAGTGGAGAGGGGAGGAGGGAAAGGTGGAGGTGGAGAGGGTTGAGATGGATGTGGGTGGAATGGGAGGAGGAGGAGGGAGGAGAGTTGTGGGTGGGGAGGTAAGAACTGGTAAAGGGGGAACTGGAGGGACGATGCTGAAGGGTCAGAACGATGCTGATTTGCAGGGAAAAGGAACTTCCGTGGGCTTTGTAACTGCCATTGGCGGTGCTGGTGGTGGTGGTGCTTCTGCTGCTGCTGGTGGTGTTTCTGCTGCTAATCTTGTTGGTGTGGGTGTTGGTGGTGTCGGCGATGCTGCTGGTGTTGCTGGTGCTGCTTCTGTGCCTGCTGCCAATGCCAATGCTCCTGATGCTGCCGATACTGGCAATGCTGCTAGAGTTGGCACTCCTGTCAAGGACCCCCCTGCTACTGTTACTGCTGCTGCAGCTGTTCCTGCTGCTTCCGCTGCTGCTGCTGCTGCTGCTGCTGCTTCTGTGACGGCTACTTCTGCTGGTCCCGCCACTGCTGCTGCTCCAATCGTCACTGCTTTAGCAGGCATGAACGTTCAAACAGAGGGGAGCAGGTTTGGGGGGAGAAGCACAGGGAAGGGGAAGAGAGGAGGGACGCTAGGGAAGCGAGAAAGGGAGTCTCACGACGAAGGGGAAGGGGAGGAAGAGGAGGAGAAGGTAGGTGGTCCAAGCTGAACGACTTGTTGGCTTTTGAGTCGACTCAGAGGTTGCTTTGGGTTGGGAGCGGCACTAGGGAAGCGATATAGGGAGTCTCACGATGAGGGGGAAGGGGAAGAAGAGGAGGAAGAGGCAGGTGGTCCAAGCTGAACGACTTTGTGATTTTTGCAATGACTCAAGATTCACTGCATGAACGGTGCGTGGGAAAACGAGACAGGGTGTTTCACGGTGAGGGGGGTTGGGAAGAAGAGGAGGAAGGAGACAGTCACCTCGGGAGCGGCCCTAATGAGCCGCGGAAGGGAGTCTCATGAGGGGGGATGGTGGGGGAGGAGAAGGAGCCAGATGGTCCAAATCGAACTGGTACGAATTGAACAGCTTTTGTAGCAAATTATGCAGCAGAAGGGACGGCGCAGCAGAAGGAGGGTGCAGCAGAAGGAGGGTGCAGCAGAAGGAGGGTGCAGCAGGAGGGTGCAGCAGCTAGGATCGTGCAGCAGAGAGTTGAGTAGAGGATACAGCAGAGGCTAGAGCATGCAGCTATCAGGTTAGTGCATTATGGTTCAGAGTGCCTTGCTTGGCTAGAACAGCGAGTCCCTGTCAGGGAGTGCTAGCACCTAGAGGTGCAGCAGAGGCTGGAGCAAAAGCTTGCGCTGGCGATATGATACATTCTATATGTCACTCTTGCACTTGTTTTTGGCTGTTTTACGGCGTGTATTCATATAATATACCGTTGTATTCTGCAACCTTTGTTCAGTCACTACCCAGTGCACCTTTAGAGTAGTAAGTTTCTGAAGCAGAGGGAGAACCCCTTTACGTTGTTACTTGTTGCGTTACACTGTTCGCCATCTTATCATCGTACCTCACACCTCCATCCGCAGTGTTGGCCAGCGCCTACCGGTAACATGTCAAGATAGCCCCAGGCTTAGGAGCATAGGGTAGGAGAATGTCGAGGAGAGAAGAGAGAAGAAGAAGGGGGTTTCACTATAGAGAGGGTACAAGATATAGGCAAGAGTTGGGGGTGCACCACCAACAGAAATTATATAACTACACTAGGCTACTACTACATGCAGTTACAACAATATAACTTTGACATAACAGGCACTGGTTGTCTGACTCGGGTCGGTATAGATAAAGGCTTTACAGGAGCTTGAGCAAACCCCCCACCGTACAGTCTCCACTGTGCGGGCGGAGAGGATAACGGTGTGAGTGGGTGCCAGTAAATGGCCGGTGGGATTCTGACCTGCATAATAGTAATTTTCAAATGACAAGGTGATGTTCATTGATGTAATTTGGCGGTGGGCGTAACTGAGTAAAGCCTCGCCACTGCATCTACGGTACTAGACGTGAAATTAGACCTGCTCTTAATGAGGACTTTTCGTAGAAACAAAGCCAGCTGCCACGAGAAGGGCTCCTAAAATTGCGGCGCAATTCCAGTGATCACATTCACACCCACTCACGTACGCGTTTTTGAATGACCTTCAGAAGAGATGAGTCGTGTTCCTCTATCTTGTCGTGTATATCCCCGACGCCATCGTGAACGGCAGGCGCGAAGCACTTCCCACCATGGATTCTTGACGGAACCCCAAATGAGCAGCAGCCCCCAACCCAAGTTACCCCTCCACACCAGCTACCAACCCTGTTTGACCAGCTCCTCGCTGGCCCACCTCTGCTCCAGCGTCAGCACATTGGGAATGCCCTCTGTACTTCATTTTCGAGCCACTCGCGAGTCACCAGCAAAAAGTCTCTGATGCCAGCAGGGAGATGAAAGCGAGGCCCAGTTTCGCGACCCACGTCATGCTTCCATTTGTCGTTTTGCAGCTTCCACTTTGGTCGCGATAATCTTGCCGCAATTCCCGCAAGAAAATGGAGCCCGAATTATCGGATGAATCCAAGGCCCAATGTTGCTGAAAGCACTGCAGCAATGCTGGAGAGCAGCTGGCGTCAAAGCACCATCCCCCTTGGGGAGCCCCTTTGATTGTGCTGGCTCGAGGCGCACATATGGAGCCCTCGAGTTTCCCGTCGCCCCCAGACGTCACCGTACTGTCCACCCCTGCACCGACTGTTCATACCCTCTCGCCACTCCAACCCCTCTTCCCCATCTCCCTGAATTCCGAACCAGGCTCGTCCACCAGTCTTCGCCAAGCTTGTTCCTCCTCGCAGGCGCTCACCTGATCCTCCTGGTTGTTCCTGATCACCGCACGAGCAGCGAGTGCGTTGCACAGCACGGCACGCCATGCCGTCAGGTCAGGTTGGGTTCAGCTGACTTTCCGTAACGTGTGACGTGATCCTCGGCTTCCCTGAATCCCGACTTTTTCTCTCGCTTTACAGCTGCTTTAGGGTTCCGAATGCATCGGTGGAGGAGTATATGTTCTGGGCTTGCTGCTAATTTGCACTTTCATCCCAATCAACTTTCTCAGTTGTGCTTTTCCATTCTGAAGAATATCCGCCGCATCTGTCGTTCCTCGCACACGGATCTTGTGTCTAGAGTAGCTCTTAGGACTGACTCTCCCGTCCACCATGGTTCACTCAGGGGTTCTGACTATCCAGCAGCGAGACGTTTCACCGTGTCTCTACAGAATATCAGCCCTCCCACGGACAGACAACTTCTCAGCTCCTAGGCTATCTCACGGACACTTACGTTCACCTGTCACAGCAAGACTAGCAGCCACTCCCGAACGGAGAACTGGTTCGGACTGTTTCAGCGTTCTAGGGATTCCGTCCAGTGCTGGCGCTGATGACATTCGCAGAGCTTACAGGCAGCTCGCACGAACTTATCATCCTGATGCCAATCCGACCGAAGACACCACTTCCAAATTCCTTGAAGTCCACTCCGCATACGAGGTCAGTAGTCGACACGATTTCATCTATAGCTTGAGTCTTTTCTCAGTAGTTGACGAATGTCGTCTATAGTCTGAAATTTAACTCGGGATTGGTTTAACGTGTGAACCCGTGCTCCTTCCTTTGCCTTTACAGCTTGCTCTTAAGCGTTGCGAGAAGAGGAGAGCGTCTGTCTCGATGGTCTCAAAATCTCCTTCCGAGCCCTCACGCAATACACCATCACGGAGAAAAACGCAGCGCAAGGACGATTGGGACGACATCTGGAATGACCTCATGCCGGCCAGCCCTCGTCGCCGGCCGTCCCGTCGGAAGTCCACCATGAACTCACCAAGCTTCATCTGATACCGTATTTTAATCAAGCAGCTCAGCGAAGGCCACGCCCACATGATGCTCTGTGCCGATGTGGCCTGCGCTTGTACAGATACTTCACGGTCTCTGGAGCTTGGCTTCAGACCACACCATAAAAGCGTGCGGGATATGACCGTCTCAGATAGTCTAGTGGTAAGTAAGCGCCGAGAGGGCTTAGAATTGCAGTACCTGTACTAAGAGAAGTCAATTCATTTGTTATTATTGATATGTATTGCACAAGGTTGGAATTTCAATTTGAATGGGAAAACGTGGTACAGCACTGAATCTTCTGATGGACTACAAATACGCTTTGCCCATTATGATCCACGGAGATTAGCCAACAGCAATTTCGCCTGGAGAAAACACAAATTAAAACCACAAATGAGTGGAAGTGCCAACAAAGCAGAACCCGCAATTGGTCTTGTACTCTACCAACACACACACATAATGGAAGTAAACACAAGCTCACCTTCTCTTTAGCCCTCGGAGTGCCAGTCTGTAGTAGACCATTGACCGAAGGCAGCAGCGCCTCTGCAAGAATCAACCTCCTGTGCTCCTCATTGTTGCTTGCAATCTGCCATAATGCCGCAACTGCAAACTCCCTCCCCCTTGGTGTACCTGTCTCCAGAACCTCCACCAGAGCCCCCAAGCCATCATCTTCATCCTCCATAATAGCAGCCCTGCCGTCGGCTTCAGATGCGAGGTTTGATAGAGCGGCCATAGCTTTCTCTGCAAGGGCCGATGCGGGTTCAGATAGAAGCCCCAGAAGGGTAGGAATAGCGCCTGCATCAATCAGTTGCTGTCGCTTTGAATTCAGCATGGAGAGGTTGAACAGTGCTTTGCAGGCGTCCCGTCTTCCCTGCTCGCTACAAGCTGACTCGTTTAAAAGCTCCAGGAGCTGCGGTACAGCACCCTCATCGATCATCATCACCTTATTCTCGTCTTCGGCCGATAAACTAAACATTGTAGCAGCAGCAGTTTCCCGTGCACTCATACTCTCCGCACTCCCAGCCACACGAATTAGATGCGGAATAACCCCTAAGAAGGGCATGAGTGCGCGAGATTTTGGATGGATGGACAGATTCAGTAATGCAGTTATTGCTTCCTCCATTACTGCAGTTCTAGAAACTTCTCCCGAACCTACGCCTGCTGCTGCTGCTGCTCCTGCAGATCCTTCTTCGTGGGAAATTCTTCCTGAACTCCCCCCACCACAACCTTCAACCTCCTGTTGCCGACATTGCGAGGTCTCAACGGGTCCCAGAAGCGGAAGCAACGCGGAAACAGCCCCCGCTTCCACCATGGCCGGGCGGCTCCCCTCGAAGTCGCGTGCAATTTCGCGAAGAGCACGCGCTGCAGCAAGCTGACGTGGCGGGTCCGACATTGCCCCCAAGTCTTGCAGGGCTTTGTGGAAAATGGCCGGGGGAGGGGGTGGCGGACCGGCTGCTTTAGCCCCGGGTCGACCGACAGGTGAGGACACCCCAACCGAGTGCATTGCTGGACGTGATTTTGACCCCGAGCCGCTAAGCGGCGACGACGGCGGTGGAACGGCTAATTGACCTGAAGCCGTCCGATTGTGCATGATCTGACCGGACAGCTCGGTACCCGCGGCCTCAATTGTCATACCGGAAACTCCTCCCGGCACCACCTTCAGCTCGCGACTGTAGACGGATACTCCTGAAGCTGTTCCCCCCGATCCGGAATGCGGGGAAACGCCAGGCTGGAAATTTTGTCGTGCCATTGATGTTCTGTTGCCCGGCGAGGGGATACCATACGAGCCGGCTTCGTTGCCGTCGCCGTCAGTTGTGCCGTCGGGTATCGACAAGTGTTTAGTGCTGACGAATCGCTCCCGCTCCTGTTGCTGCTGCTGCGGGTGATCGTGCTCCCGCCGGAGCTGAGCCAACGGTAAGGAAAGGTCACTCATTTTTTTAACCAATCGTCAGCACGGCGTTAGTATGCTAAGGCGAACAGGAACGGATCGACCTATTAAACACATCAACAGCGGAGATTGGCAGTGCGTCACGGCAGATTGAAACTCCTCCAGCTCGCAGGACTACTTGATGCTGGCTTGGTCGAGATAAATATGGCGACCGATGTAGACCTAGATACTCAGAAAGAGTGGTGGTCACTCGATTATTATGTCGGTGCAGACTGATGCTGCAACCTTCACTTGCTTCAGTGCTTCTGCACTGTCTTAGTCTTCTACACTTGTACATGGGACCACACCGAACCGAACAATCCTTTCGATGTTACAGTATCGAATGTCCTCATTTGTCCTAGCTCCCGTGGTCACACTACTGGTGGGACCATTCAATACCGTCACAGTAGCGGGACAATTCAACGTACGTGATGTATCCGCCTGGGAGAGGTCACGGGTAGGCAGGTACACTCTTGCTTGAGAGACGCAAGGATCAAGGTTCAAAATTAGGCATGCATCTACTTCTGCAAAAAATATGCCATATCCGAGGCTGTTTTCCGCCCTCTCATTTTCTCGGAATGCTAAATGGTACCCCTACAACTGGTTTGGAATTTGCCCACACGTACATGCTTCACGAGGCAAGTATGATGTACTTGAGACAAAATATTTCAAGGCACTTTGCAGATTCGCCCTCTTGTTTCAAATAGAGTGACTTTTGCCACTGCGTTCAGGATTCCTCAAGAAGACTCACAACCGCGCACCAATCTTGTGCCACAGGAATTGAGAATTAGCTAACTCGATTGACCCCACCATTCGAGTACCCCTTCATTCATCTTTTTGACTGAGGTGTGAGTTGCCCCGCAATAACGCGGGTCATCCAGGCTTGCCTCTTTGGAATGGCAACGAAGCATGCCGACGACTACAGAAAGAAGCACGTTGAAATGCTTGCAGCGGAAAACAGTTCACGAAATTGATGCAAAAGGTTTCACTCGCATTTAGAAACTTAGAAGATCAACGAAGGGTGTAGGCAATTCCATTATACAACAATCAGTTTCTCTGGAGAACGAAAGGTGAAGGAGCTAGGGTTTCGTCAATGGCTCCACAGCTACGAAAATTGTGAGTGCTGCCCGGATAACCTCCAGATTGCGGCTGGTCGCCTCCACCAATGGTCAGCGCAGTGGTTTGAATGCCACGCTGGACCATGAGCGGCCAACCAGCTTGCTGTGCAGCGCTGCCCGCAAAATCTTCCACGTCAATATCCAATTGGGCAGACCAGAAAAATTGTACAAGTAAACTATATCCTGGCTGAAGCACTGCTACGGCTTAGCAGGGCGCTAGTGTTCTGCTTCATTCAGTGCTTCAGACCCGTATCCGTGGCTTTAGACGAAACCCTGGTTTCTTTCAACCAGTACTGGTGGGCTGGAGCCCAACAAACCTGCCATTTGCGTTCAAAGTTTCAAGTTTTTGAGTTTCCGAGTTTGGTGTTTTTGAGAGGCACTTCCTCGCGGCAACATCCATGGCTGTTGGTCCCTGACCACTTTCCTCGCCCAACGTTTCCTAGTGTTCCTTTCTTTGCCCTCACCTTGCTTGGCTGCTAGTGTTCAACAGAACAGAAACCAGCACTCCGTCACCTGTGTTTCTGACCTAATACACGCAGACCGACTTTATTTAGCTTGGCAACAGGACGATTGACTAACTTTCGGTCAGCCGACGCAAAGTTCTTTTCCATCTGCACTGCTATTTTTTTTCCGAAACCGTTTTATTTTCTGCTCCTTTCTTAGCGCAAGGCGTGGCATAATGACATCTGGGTCTCTCCAGACGCTACTACAGCTGCAGACAGCACCTACAAATCAACAAACCACCACCTCCTCTGAACCGCCTCCCACAGCCAACGATGGTGACCCCTCCGCTGCTCTAGAAAATGCCGATGCTCTAGAACCCGTTAGCGGTCACGACGTGAAGCATGATAATTCTTTCATTGATCCCACTCCTGCGAAGGAGCCTACTCCTGGTTCTGCTAATGCTGCAAAGCAATCAGTTGACGGCAACCACGTGACGGAACGTAATGACCATGAGAAGGCGAACAATGGATCGGAACAAGCTGGAGCTTCTGGGGTGGAAGGTGGCCAGAAGGGTATGGAGCCACGGCTCGCGCCGACGCTTGCGCCAGGCGGAGGCGGAGCGGAAGGCGGAGGTAACGCGGAAGGCGGAAGCGGAGAGGGAGGGGGAGGCGGAGCGGAAAGTGGAGGCCCAAATGTTGCGGACGCGCCGGTTAACGTCAGAGAAAAGATATCCGCGGAGGTTCCGCAGTCGTCGCAATTTCCCGCGGATCCTCCGCGCAAGGACATGATGCAAATGTTTCAGGAGCAGACGGCACCCGTCCTGCTGGATCCTATCGAAGCCGCTTTTGACGAGGATGGCCTTGGCGAGGATGACGCGGACCTTGACGGAGACATGGACGGTGGCGATGACGATGACGGCGAAGGCAACGGTGACGGCGACGGCAATGGCGACGGCGACGGCGACGGCGACGGCGATGGTGATGGTGATGGTGTCGGCGGCGACGGAGAAGGAGAAGGAGATGGAGACGGAGACGGAAACGGGGACAAAGACAACGGCGACGGTGGTGGCGGTGGCGGTGGCGCTGAGGGTGACGGTGACGGCAAAGAGCTGCCGGCAAAGTTAAGCCCGGCTGGCGCGGACCTTCCCTTCAAGCGGAAACGCGGACGACCGAAGAAGATCCGCAGAGCAGAGGCACCAGACACGGACGATTTTTCTCCGCTCATGGGAGACGCGCTGGGGGGGCGGCCTTTCAAACGGCGCGCTTTCGCGGAGGCGGACGCGGTGCGCGTGGGGATGGCGTTTCTGGAGCGCGGGGAGAAGAAACCGCGCTTGGAACGAGACGTGGCGCTACCGCGCGGATCGGCGCAGGGGCTGGCGCAAGATCGAGCGCATCCGCACAAACCCCACTCACGGTTCGGACTCCAGCCGCAGCATCTTCCGCCGCCGCCGCCGCCGCAGCAGCAGCAGGTGCCTCTACCGTTGGATCCCCTTTTTGGCCGCTTCGGGCGGCGACCCCAGGGGGATAGCAAGTTCGTTCCGGATTGGGCGGCGAACTTCGCGGCGGAGATGGGCATAAGCGCGCGCCCGAAGGCCCCGCGTTATGGGGACGCGCATTATGATGAGATGGGGGAGGAGGAAGAGGAGGAGGAAGAGGATGAGGCGGGATTTGCGGGTGGAATGCGGGGAGAGGGCTTGCGGAACTTGCGGGGAAGGCGGGGATCGGGTGCGGGTTTTCGTAGCATTGCAGGATTGGATGGTTTTGGCGGTGCTGACGTGGACGGGAGGCGGAAGCGGAAAGGCCGGAGGCGGTTCCAGCATTTGCGGGACGAGGATGATGATGTGGTGGAGGTCAAAGATGACGTGTTGTTCTTCCCGGCCAACCGCGGGGGGTTGCACATGGACCGTAGGCGACGCCGTGAGATGCGGCGTGGGTTGCACCGTGGAATGCGGGGACATAAGGAGAGCCTTCGAGGTTCGCTAAAGAAGGTCAGGCGGAAGGGACTTGAGAAAGAGAGGACCAAAATTGGGACGGAAGGGGAAGGAGAAGGGGAAGGGGAAGAATCAGGAGGTGAAGCAGTGGGTTTGGACGGGAATAAGATTCGTTTGACGGATAGCATGTCTGTGCCTTTGTTTCCGGGCACCTTGGGCAGCAGCGGGATAAAAGGGCAGCCACAAATGAGCGTTCTTGGGGATGACTTGTGGGCGGAAGAAGAGGAGGCCGAGGAGGGAGGGGAAGGGGAGGGGGAGGATGGGGGCGGAGACTGGGCGCACCAGTTGCGCCTGGAGCAGGAGTTTTTGCGCGGGAAGGCGCAGGACAGGGAGCGCGAGCGGGAGAGGCGGCGGGAGGCGCAGAGGGACAAGGCGGGGGAAAAAGAGCGCCCGGGGCAACAGCAGGGAGAGGGGGAGGGGAAGGATAACCAGGAGGGAGTTGCGCCCGGCGCGGTTGGTCTCGGGGCGGAGGGGGAAGGGGAGGCGGAAGCCGGCGCTGCCACTGGCGGAGTTCCCGAAGGCGCGGATGATCAGGAGCTGGCGGAAAGGGAGAAGGAGCAGGCGGGGAGGGAGCGTTTGGAGAGGGAGAAAAGGGAACGCGAAAGGATGGAAAGAGAGAGGGCGGAGAGGGAGCGCGTGGACAGGGAACGGCTGAGAAGCCAACAGAAGCTTCTAGAAGAGGCGATAGTGGAGATGAAACGGATGAGGGGGGAGCAGATTGCGATGGGGCGGGAGCTGAGGCGCGCGCGGAACACCAAGGAGGCGGCCAAGCAGGCGTTTGGGGAGATGAAGAAGCAGGTATGGCCGCGAGCGCAGTGGGTGCGTTTCTCGCGATGACCGTTGATTTATAAGCAGATTTGAGAGAATAGAAACACGGTGGGCGCGGAACACCAAGGAGGTGGCCAAGCAGGCGTTTGGGGAGGTGAAAAAGCAGGTATGGCGGTGGGTGCAGTGGGTGTGTGTGTGAGCTGTGTAGTCGCGTTACGTAGCGTTTCTCTTCATGTGGGCACAGCATTCACATAGCCACGATGACCTGCTTCCCTGTCAAGGCGTGTGTTCTGAGCGAAACCTCGTCCTTCCCCCAATTCCCCCCTCAACTGGTTCTAACCCTCTTCCCACAACTTCCCATCGCTCCCCACCACTCCCCTGTCAGGTGGTGGCGCAGGAGCACATGCTGGCGCAGGCACGCGTGCAGCTGTCCTTGCTGGAGGGGGTCTTTAAGGCGCAGATGGAGGAGATCTCGCGCCTCTGGATGGCCGCCACTCAGAACCAACCCGGGCTCGCCCCAACCCTTCCCCACCGCTTCCCACCTTTTTCCACCGGTCCCCACCCCCTCCCACCGTTTCCCACCACTCCCCACCGCTCTCTTTTCAGGTGGTGGCGCAGGAGCACATGCTGGCGCAGGCGCGCGTGCAGCTGTCCTTGCTGGAGGGGGTCAACAAGGCGCAGACGGAGGAGATCTCGCGCCTGTGGATGGCCGCCACTCAGAATCAACCGGGTCTCGCCCCCATCACGGGCCTTGCGGCACCCCCTGGTACCGTCATGGGGTCGGATACGCGGTTCTTTGCTGCTTCTGCTGGTGGTTTTGGCGGTGCTGGTGGTGGTGCTGGTGCTGGTGGTGCTTCAGGTGCTGCTGGTGGTGATGGTGTGGGTGGGACAAGAGGAGGGGGCAGTGCTGCTGGCGCTGCTGGTGCTGGTGGGGCTGATGGTGGGTCCAGTGAGGAACAACAGCAGCAGCTGCAGCAGCAGCATGAAGCAGGACCTACAGAAGCAGCAGCAGCTGCTGCAGCAGCAGCGCGAAGCCGTAACGGCCCAAGCCCTTGCCGCGGATCTCGAGCTAAGTGCCACAAAGCTACAGATAGCCATGAAGGAACGGCCTGTGCGCACCCTCCTGCAAATCGCATGGAGCCCTGCAAACAACATCGGCGCGCTTGCCAAGGCGAAGTTCAAAGAAGCAAACGGAGGGATGGCTTTAGGGCATCCGGGGGACATGCAGTGGGAGGACGTGCTTAAAGCCCTGGAGGAGTATATCCGGCTGGGGTCGCTGGAATTTGCCAAGTGCCAGCTTATTTTGGGGTTTAAGGAGAAGGCGGTTTACCGGGCTCGAAGCAGGTTGCAGGACGGGCGGACCCAAGCCATGCTGCTAGCCGAGGCGCATGATGAGGCTCGGCAGCAGCTGATGGAAGGGACGTTGGAGTTTGAGGCGCATGCTTTGGCGTCTTCTGTGGCGACCAGCGTGAGGAGTCTTCTGGGAACTGTGGAGGCCGAGAAGCATGAGGACGAGGACGAGGAGGCAGCAGTTCAGTCTCTGATTGCGTCAGCCGCGGCTAACGCGGAGATCACAGCGAGGGAAGCGGAGAGAGAGGTGATTCAGGCCCAGGCGAACGCGGCTGCTGGCCTGCCCCCTGCCGCTGACCATGCTGCTGGTGCTGCTGGCGCTGCTGCTGCGGGTGTTCCTGGGAGTGTGGGTATGGACGATGGTGTTGGGTTGGATGGGGTGGACGCTGCAGGGGAGATGGGCGCAGGAGGGGAGGGGGATGGGGTGATTCGGCGGAAGCCTGGGCGGCCGCGGGGAGGGGGGGCTGCGCTGGCTATAGGAAACGGGGATCTCCCCGCGCTCTCCCGTGTGCGGATCCCCAAGATGCCCACGCTCCCCGCGTCCGTGCAGCAGGGGAATGGGGAGGGGAAGAAGAAGAAGAGAAAGAACCGGGGGAGGGGTAGGGGGGCTGCGGAAGGGGGAGGGGGGGATGTGGGCGCGGACGAGATGGGGAACGCGGGGGAGCTTGGTGGGGGGGGTGAAGGGGTTGGGGGAGGGGAGGGCACTGCAGGTGCGGAGGGTGTGGGGGGGCGGGGGAGGGGGAGGGATGGGCGGGTGGCGGAGGTTGACCCAGCAGCGGCGGCGGCAGCAGCTGCTGCAGCTGTGGCGGCTGGGTTGGAAGGGCAGATAGACGTTGAGGCAGTGGCAGCAGCACTGGCGCAGGCGACAGGGGGGGGTGGTGGCAACCGGGGGGTGGGGCAGCAGACAGCAGGGGGCGGGAGGATCGGGCTGGAAAGGCAGCGGCTGCAGGAGCAGCAGCAGCAGCAGCAGCAACAGCAACAACAGGAAGAGGGGCAGCAGCAGCTGGGACTGCAGGGACAGCAGCAGGGGTTGGGGCAGGGGCAGCAGGGGCAGGGGCAGCAGCAGCAGGGGTTGGGGGAGCTCGAGCAGATGGCAGCGTCTTGGGCTGCGATAGTTCAGCAGTCGGGTGTAACAGACTCGTCTTCGCTAGTTGAGCTGAGAAACTCGTTCATGCAGCAGCAGCAGCAGCAGCTGCAGCAGCAGCAGCAGCAGCAGCCGCAAGCCCTGGGCCAACAGCAACAGCAGCAGCAGCAGCAGCAACAGCAGCAGCAGTTAGTGCAGGAGCGAGTGGAGCAAGCAGATTGGCAGCAAAACCAGACTCACAGCAACCAGCAGCAGCAGCAACAGGCAGTGCGGCACTCGCGGGCTCAGCAGGTGCCGTATCACCAACAGCAGCAGCAGCAGCAGCAGCAACAGCAGCAGCAGCAACAACAGCAGCAGCAGCAGCAGCAGCAGCAACAGCCGTATCGGCAGCAGCAGGTGCAGCAGTTTCAGCAGCAACAGCAACAGCAGCAAGAAGTAGCAGTACCCGAGACAGAAACAGGCCTCATGGGAATAGCAGGGGCAGATGACGCCACCTTAGCCAGTCTCAGGCAAGCTGTGGGGGACGCCTGGCAGGGTTCTGGGTTTGGGAGCCTGGAGGCGCTCTGGCAGCAGGCGGGGCGGAATGCAGTGCTCGGGCAAGGAGGAGCGGGCGGAGGGAGGGGCAGCGCTGGTGGTGGGGCCGGGGCCGTGGCGGTAGGGGGAGCAGGCGGGGATGCTGCTGGTGTTTTTGCAGCTCAGAATGTTCAGCAGCAGCAACAGCAGCATGGTAATGCGCATGCTGCGGCGGCGGCAGCTGCTGCAGCGGTGATTGCAGCGGCAGCAGCAGGAAGTGCGGGACTTGCAGGTGTTGCAGGCGGGGGAGTGGCCCAGCAGGATCTGCAGGGGGGAACGCCGGTGATGAATCTCAATTTTCCTGTGGCTGAGGATGCAGCAGGAGGTGCTGCTGGCGGTGGCAGCAGGAGGGAATCTCGTCGGCAGCAGCAGCTGCAGCAACAGCAGCAGCAGCAGCAGCAACAGCAGCAGCTGCAGCAACAGCAGCAGCAGCAGCAGCAGCAGCAGCAGCAGCAGCAGCAGCAGCAAGGGCAGTATCTGGGCCCCCAGAGGCAGGGATCCCAGCAGCCCCAGCAACATCAGCAGCAGCAGTATCTGCATCAGCAGCAGCAGCAGCAGCATCAGCAACAGCCGCAGGTGCAGCCACAGGTACAGACTCAACAGCTTTACCAGCAGCTGCAGGAGCAGCAGCAGCAGCACACTCATCACCAGCAGCACCAGCAGCAGCACCAGCAGCAGCAGCAGCTTTTCGGTTCTACAGCAGCAGAAGCTGCTGCGGGGTACGGGAGTGTGCGGCAGGAGGAGGTGCAGCATCATCAGCTGTACCAGCAGCAGCAGCAGCACCAGGTGCAGCACCAGCAGCAGCAGCAACAGCAGCAGGAGGTGCATGAGCCAGAGCAGCAAGGTTCCCAGTGGCCCCAGTCTCTCCCCTTTGCCAACCTCGGTGGTTTGGATAATGAAACTGAGCCTCTTCAGTTCACTACCCCTGCTGCTGCAGCTGCTGCCACTGCTGGGGTTCATGCTGGGGCAGCTCGGGTGTTGCAGCAAGGAGGGCTGCAGGCGTCAGCATGGGGTGAAGTAGCCTCGGCCTTAGGGTCGGTTTCAGGTGTTGGGGTAAATAACCCTGTGCATTTTAACCTTGGGCAGCAGCTGGCAGGGAATCGGGCAGGAGGCGAGGCGGAGTTTGATCGGGTCCGCTTGTGGGGGAATGAGTGGGATGGGGTGAACGCTGGGGCAAATGCTGCTGCAGCAGTGGCAGCAGCGGCAGCAGCAGCGGGTGGAGGGCAAGGGGAGGAGAGTGCTAGTGCTGGTCTGCAGCAGTTGCACAATCTGGCTGCAGCGCAGAATCAGTTGCTTCAGTTCTCACGCGCTTTTGGGGCAGTGGGCCCCTTTGCTCGCCAGTAGCATTAGAACCGCCTGAAGGCATGTAATGTGATGTAGTGACACTGTGTTGACATGTGAGGTATTTGACATTAGGTTGACTGCCTTCTATCTGCTTGCAACTAATGTAATAGCAACTAGTTGGTACTTTTCCATTGTGGCAGTTTGAGTATCGAAGTGTAGATTCGCTGATTTAGTTTCTGCTGTTTCTTTCGCATTTGCTCTGTTGGCTTACCGAAGCCCTACAGAGCCCTGGTTCGATCTGAGCTGGAAAGTGCAAGGCTCCTCTCCTCCGCATGTCCCACACGCGGCTTGGATCCGCGTTGCCCCCCGCTTCACGTAGCCAATGATGTGAGGGGAAGGCCCACATCATTGGTTACGGTGACGTCAGCTACGGCCGAGGCCACAGCATCAGTCAGACCGCGTGCCACCATCCAGCAATTGCCGTCAGCTATGACCAATCATGGGAGAAAGGCATCTTCCGCAACGCGCAACTCTCAGCCACAGAAATGGGAGGCAGCGTCACACGGGCTCACCCACCATTCCACCACACCACCAAACCCATCCGAGCGCAATAAATTTGCCTGCCTGATTTGCCACTGCATTCCACCCTTTCCCATCTGACTCAAACCATGTCTGCGTAGCAGAAGTGCGAGCCGCGATGAACTCAAGGTGATTGGCTTGGCAACACACCCCCACAACATCACCACCCCACCAACCAGACTCCTCGCCCCTCCCCCCCAAAGCTTTAGGCTCTCGAAGGTGCTGGACAAATGGATCATAATGAATCATGACATGGTAGAGTCCGTTATTTTCTGGCAGACCGTCAACTCAACTCCACTTGACTTGGTACTGTAGGGAACTGGTGAGGACAGATGCTTTCGTACTATGGGAAATAGCGGCTAATTCGTTCCTTCGCTCTAGCCGTTTCTTATATCAGCACTTACCGTGCGACTCGATTAGCATTTATAAGATTGGTTGTCCAAGTACCAGTGCTGGCATCCGTTAGCCTAGGAAAGCACTATTAGTCTTTTTCTTTTCCGCATTTGACGTTGTACATATACTTGGCGAAGCGCCCTATTGTTTCAAATATCCTGCAAATATGGTGCAATACGGGCGGTATCTTCTTTCTCACCGCGTACCAGGATGGGAACCGTGAGTTGCTGATAAGATGGGAAATGGCTTCCTAGCTTTCAGATGGCATACCGAGCCTTACTTGACTCCGTTCTTTTTGTTATACTTGTTTTGGTGCCGTGTTTTGGCTATCAGAGCCATCGTACCTTTCCGTTTCTAACTTCTGGCTATCCAACTGTTGTCTTGGAAAATCGCTATTCGTTTGCGACAGATATTACCTCAACTATAAGTCTTTGAAGAAGGAGATACGAGCCTATGAAGCCGCCGTGGCGTCGGGGGTCACGGAGGAGGAAGTTCAGCAGGACATGGCACGTCGCTTCTCAGAGCATCTTGACTCGCAGGTAAATTTCGGGACTTTCATAGTCGATTTCTAGACTCCCAATGTTTGCCCGTTTGCTTTTTTACGTGACGAGAGTTCTTTTCCAGAGTCATTCCGGTTTCTAGGCCGAGTTAATGCAGCATTAACCTCCAGTTGAGCGTCATGAAAAGTCTCTGGTCTCAGTTTCGGTGATTTGTGACTCACATACTCCAGCTTTGCGAATTGCATTTTTTTCCTGTTCGGAATGGTTAGATTGAGCTGTCTTGAGACGATGAAATTCACGGACGGAAACCCTTTTTTCCACCTATTTCTTCGTCGTCATGCTGGCAGATGGAGAAGGTGGTGCTGTTCTTCTTGGAGCAGCAGGGCGTGTTGGCGGGAAAGCTACAACGGTTACGAGAGCAGAGGGAGGGGTCCAACACGCGGGGAGACGAGTCCGGCCTGTCAATCGTCATGTCATCGGACTTTAGCGACATGATGGAACAGTACAGGTAACTGTGCATTTCGTTCAATCAATTTAAGCGCAGCAAGGTTGTCTAAACAGGTGACTGATCAGGCGCTGACAATAACATTGCGATATGGGGCTACAGAACTACATGTCTTCTTATCCCCTACTACCAACAGCAGCGCTCGTGGAGATTAACGCAAGGGGCTGCTTTCCTAATCCCCGTTACAGTGCTGCTCCCTTTTTCCTTACAAGCAGTTGTTATTCACATCTCCTTTGCAGGGTTAAAAAAAACGACCGTTTTATTGAAATTTTACCGTAAAAAACGGTACCGTAAAAAACGGTCGTAAAAAACGGTTTAAAACGGTTCCAGGAGGTGTTTCCTCTTAACTAACAAAACTGCCACTAAGTGGGACCAAATTGAACCTGAAACACAGCAGCATGAAGGGGACGGACCCCTTCTTGCATGTATGCGCTTGTTGCCATGATTGAAAATGTTTTTGACCTTGTTTTTCTCTTTTTTTTTCTTGGTGAACAGAGTTCTCTAACAAAAAAACGGCCGTTTTTTTTGAAAAATCACCGTAAAAAACGACCGTAAAAAACGGACCGTATTTTACGAAAACCGTAATTTTGAACCTTGCTCCTTTGTCTTCCGTTTGCAGAGACGTGAGGCGCGAGCTGCTGCAGCTGCTGCAGTTCGTGGAGATGAACGCCACGGGGCTGCGGAAGATAGCGGCTGCAGTACTGTTTCCCTATCCCCGTTATAGACTATCTTGCTACCTCTTATAAGCACCAGTGCGTTTCTCTTCTCCTTACAGGGACGTGGGGCGCGAGCTGCTGCAGCTGCTGCAGTTCGTGGAGATGAACGCGACAGGGCTGCGCAAGATCCTGAAGAAGTTTGACCGGCGCGTGGGCGTGAGGCTGGGGCACACATACATTGCATCTCGAACTCTGCACCCCTACTCGCACCTGCAGCAGATCTTCAAACAAGTGGTGAGTGGTGGTGTGAATTTCGAATTTTGACGTGCGGGGGATGAGACGCCCCAACTCACTGCATTTCTCCTAGTTCGCAACTGCAGCCGATCTTCGGACAAGTGATGAGTGGCGATGTGATGTGAGTTGTGCTCCTAAAGAAATTTGGCCAGCAGAATCTCTGCTCTCTCTATCTCTCTCCCCATGTACCCCACAACCATCTCCAGGGTCTGGGCGCCATGGTGGGAACCATCATGCGCAACCTGGACGAGCTGCCTGCGCCACCGAACTGCATGTGCCTCGTCCGCATGCCATATGTCCCCATTCACGTCCTCTCCACCATGGTCTGGGCGCGATGGTGGGAACGATCATGCACAACCTGGACGAGTTGCACCGCAGGAAGCGGTGTTTCTCCTCGCCCTCTCCTTTGCATGCTTATGCCTGCCTTCCTCCCCCCCCCCCCCCCCCCCTGCTCTTCCCAACGTCATCCCCCCCCAGGGACTGGGCGCCATGGTGGGCACCATCATGCGCAACCTGGACGAGTTGCACCGCAGGGAGCGCTGCCTCGCGTCACCCTCCAATCTCCTCTCTCCACGTGTTGGCACTCCCAGGCGCACGTCCTTCTCGCTCTTCAGGCAGGGGGACGAGTCCCCTGTGTACGTGGCTCAGGAGGAGCCGATCATCCAGGTGGGCAGGGGAGAGAGTGGGGGGTCGTTTTAACATTCCCTTCCTGTCAACTCGCAGTCAAATCATTTTCCTTGTGAATGCTTGCGTTGGGGGGAGAGGCGATTGAGTCGGCACGAGCCAAGCTGACGGACGTGGTGGGCTACAGCACGTACATGGCCAAGGGGCTGCTGCTGCTGCCGCCCGCCCCTGAGAGAGGGAGGGAGACAGAAGGAGGTGCTACTTTTCACTTCCCCTTCCAGTGAATGTGTTTGTGCAGGGGAGAGAGGGGGGGAAGTGGGTGGGAGCGGGGGCGAGAAGGGGGGTGGGGGGCCTGGGGGGGGGAAGGGAGCGGGCGTCTGTATGTCTGTCTAACCCCTATCAGGAAATCGAGGCAGCACGAGCAAAGGTGACGGATGCAGTGAGCTACAGCACGTTCGTGGCCAAGGGGCTGCTGCTGCCGCCTGCTCCCGAGAGAGGGAGAGAGAAGGGAGGGTTATGTTGCCTTCCCTTTCCAGTCAGCACGAAATCAACTGCCTTTTTGAGGGGGGTGGGGGGATGTTGGGGTGTCTGTGTGTGCATGTGTGTGTGTTTCCATTCCAACCCCCTTTCAGGAAATCGAGGCAGCACGGGCCAAGCTGACGGATGCAGTGAGCTACAGCACGTACATGGCCAAGGGGTTGCTGCTGCCACCCGCCCCTGAGAGAGGGCCCGAGGCAGCTGAGCCGGAGTTCCACTGGTGGTCACTGCAGTTGAACCAGTTCAACACCTTTCTCTACATGGTGAGAGCGAGAGTGGGAGCACGTTTATGCATGCAACGCAGTTTGAAAGTTGTTCTGAAAGGTGTTGTCAATGCTGGTGGCCAAGGGGCCGCTGCTGCCGCCTGCTCCGGAAAGAGGCCCAGAGTGTTTTGAGACGTCTCAAAACACGCCTGCCCCGGAAAGAGGCCCAGAGGCAGGGGAGCTGGAGTTCCACTGGCTGTCGCTGCAGCTCAACCTTTCAACACCTTCCTCTACATGGTGAGAATGCTTTCCTCCTCAACCTTTCAACACCTTCCTCTACATGGTGAGAATGCTTTCCTCCTCAACCTTTCAACACCTTCCTCTACATGGTGAGAATGCTTTCCTCCTCAACCTTTCAACACCTTCCTCTACATGGTGAGAATGCTTTCCTCCTCAACCTTTCAACACCTTCCTCTACATGGTGAGAATGCTTTCCTCCTCAACCTTTCAACACCTTCCTCTTCATGGTGAGAATGCTTTCCTCCTCAACCTTTCAACACCTTCCTCACTTGTACGCCGCGCCGCGCTGCTGCCCTCAACCCCTCGATACCTGTTGACGTTTGAATCGACGCAACTGTTTTTCTCGTCGTCCCTTATCTCGCCCCTTATCGCCCTCCCTACTCCCAGCCCAACCAACCCATCCCTTCCCGACCCGTTTCAACCCACCTCATCCCACCGCACCCCACCTCTCCTACCCAGGTGAACTACTACATCATCGTGCCCACATCCGACGAGTACGCAGTGCTGCTCTCCGCCCCGCCCGCCCTGTGCGGCATCATCATTGGCGCCACGCCCCTCTGTGCACTCGTCTCAGCCTTCATCTTCAGCAAGTGGTCCAACACGTCCTACACGCAGCCCCTGCTCGTCTCCACCATCGTTTTGCTGCTTGGGAACTTTGCGTACGCTGCTGCGTTGGATTTCAACTCTGTGGCACTGCTGCTCATTGGCCGGTCTCTCACCGGGTAAGGCACAGGTGAAAGCCGGTGGGGAGTGAGGGGGAAGGGGAGTGGGGGATGGGTGTGAAGGCAGCACGCGCGCCCCTCTGTGCACTCGTCTCAGCCTTCATCTTCAGCAAGTGGTCCAACACGTCCTACACGCAGCCCTTACTGGTTTCCACGCTCGTGCTGCTGCTCGGCAACTTCGCCTATGCCGCTGCTCTGGATTTCAACTCTGTGGCTCTGCTCCTGATTGGCCGGTCTCTCACTGGGTAAGCAGGGGTAGAGTGAAGTGAGGAGTGAGGGGAACGGGGAGGGAGTGGAGAAGGGGGTGGGTTGGGTGTGATGCTCGCACCAGTGCTCACACCTAAGTGCTCGCCGCTGTGTGCGCTGGTGTCAGCCTTCATCTTCAGCAAGTGCTCCAACTTGTCCAATCGCCGGGCCGGTACATAGCCGATCAAGTGCCATCCTCCGAACGCACCTCACTGTGTGCTAAGCTAAGACCCTATTGCTTCCTGTACCCTCTGCCCACTGCACTACACTACCACCTCTTCTTTCAGGTAGGGAGGAGTCTGGGCTATCAATCCCCGGTACATAGTCGACCACGTGCCGTCCTCCGAACGAACCTCAGCCTCGGCGGGCTTCATGAGTGCCGGTGCGCAGGGCATGGCAGCAGGACCTACCGTTCCTCACTGCTCTTCCTGCTCTTCCTGCTCTTCCCTTGCGCTGCATCCCCATCCCTCCCTCCGCACAGCCTGGGAGGCGTGCGGGCGATCAACCGACGCTACATAGCCGACCACGTGCCGTCCTCCGAACGCACCTCAACCTCAGCCGGTTTCGTGAGCGCAGGAGCCTTAGGCATGGCAGCAGGGCCGTTCGCGGCGTCTCTCATCGACTTCCTCAACTTCAAGTTCCTCGGATTCACTGTCAACTCCGTCACCTCCCCCGGCTGGCTCATGGTTCTCTCCTGGCTGCTCTACCTCGCGTTTGTGGTTCTTTTCTTCAAGGAGCCCGACCGGTCCCACCTGCAGGCGCCGACGCCATCGTCAGCAGCGGGGGGAGTGAAACGGGAGAAGTCCGGAGGGGATTTGAGGAGGAGGGGGTCGAAAGAGGCTGCGCTGGGAGGGAATCTGAAGAGGGGGGTTTCGAAAGAAGCTGCGCTGGGAGGGTTGGGAGCGGCGGGTGTGAATGGGGTTGGGGGGAAGGGAGTGTGGGTGGATAGGGATGGGGTGGTGGTGGAAGAGGGGAGTATGGTGACTGCTGCGTCGCCTGCTGATGGCTCACGTGAGATTGAGGATGGAGGGATGGGCGCAGCAGGCGCAGGGGCGGGGGGAGGGGACGGGGAAAAGGGCGTTGGGGCAGGGAGCAGAGTGTGGGGATGGCTAGGAGTAGGAACAGGAGAGAAGCGAGGGGCTGGGAGCGCCTTATCCGAGCCTCTTTTGAGGGGGATGGGAGGGCAGGACAATAGGAACGGGGCAACAGGAGCGGCACTAACAGCAGAAACAGCAGCAGCAGCAGGTTCGGTGGCTGCACAGGCAGCAGCGTCAGCGACAGCAGCAGGGCCAGGGCGCACGGGGATGGCTGATGAGAGTGACGCGCGGACTTGGCTAATGCTAGCCTCTCTGGTGAGCTCGTTTCCCTGTTTCTCTGGGGTGGTTGTTTCTCTCCGCCATATTGTGTTTATCTGTTTCTCTGGGATGGTTGTTTCTCTCCAACATATTGTGTTTCCCAGTTTTTCTGGGGCATCTCTGGTTACTCATTCTGCTCCTGTCGATGCTTGCCCCATGCCCTTCCCACCCCTCCCTTCCATCCGTCCTTCCCCCACGGGCTACGGCCTTCCGTCTCCCCTTCCTCTACACCCTGATCCACTTGTATCCCACAGCCGGACATTTGAGTCGAGTCATAAGCCCCCATCCCCTTCTTCCGCCCTTTCCTCCTTACCTCCTCCCTTTTCTCCCTGATCCGCTTGCATGGATCCCCCCCCAGCCGGACATTGATGAGGGGGAGGACGAGGAGGATGAGGATGATGATGATGACGATGGAGCATCGTTTCCCCACGCCCTCCTCCCCTTCTTCCCCCCACCCTGATCCTCTTTTTGTACCCCCAGCCGGACATTGATGAGGGGGAGGACGAGGAGGACGAGGATGACGACTCTGCATCGTCCACTAGGGCTGTGGAGACGCTTCACCACCCCTCCCTTCCTCCCTTCCTTCCCACCCCGCTCCGATTATGCCCCCCAGCCGGACATTGATGAGGGCGAGGACGAGGAGGACGAGGATGATGATGGCGCATCGTCCACTGGGGCCGTGGAGACGCTTCCAGAGCTCATGAAGGAGCTGTCCCGACCTATCTCGGTACAGTGTGGTTCAATGTCTTCAATACGGATTTTGAGGGAGGTTCTAATGGGTACGGGAAATGGAGGTGAGGCATGCAATCACCACCGTCCACTAGAGCCTCGAAGGAGCTTCCAAAGCGCGTGAAGGAGCTATTGCAATCAACCTCGGTATGATATGCTGGGCCTATCGTTATGTCGATGTGGCCTCGGAGGGAAGTATTGATGGGTCCTGGGATACGGGAGCAAGGCATGCAAGTATCGTGCACCGAGGCCATGGAGTGGTGGATGCAGTTTGTCACGCGGATTGTGCCTTGTGTCGTCTGCTGGGGAGGTGGAGGCCCTTCTGGAGCTCATGAAAGAGTTTGTTGCGACCGATCTCGGTATGGCAAGCAAGGCCGATTTAACAAGGACTTACTGTGCTCTGTGTGCTGTGTGCTGTGCTGTTCGTTATCCTCTTCCCATCCCACATCCCATTATTGCAGGTCCTCCTCTTCATGTACTTCATGATCAAATTCGCCACAGAGGTGCTTATATCTGAGTCCAGCCTCATTTCCAAGTACTACTTCCAATGGACCATCAATGATGTAAGTTTCATTTCCCCCCATCACCTTATCCTGATTCTTCTGCCTAACTTTTTTTTTTTTTTTTTTTTTTTTTTTTCTGGCATTGTTATCTTCCAGTGTCTATCAACAATGCAGAGAAGGGTGGCAGAGCAAAGTTTTTTGAAAGCACTGACCGAATATGGCTTAACTGGTTGGGGCCATGGAGAAAATGCATATGCTAACCTTTAATTTCCTTCTTCCTTCAGATTGGTTGGTTTCTGGGTCTTCTGGGTCTCACGGTGCTGCCCATCAGCTCTGTGGTTGGGAACTACATCACCAACATTTACGAGGACAGGTGAGCAGTAGGTGAATCATGCATGCATGCTAGTGTATGTATGATGCAGGATAGCACACGTATGGTATAGGCTGGCTGGTACACGTGTAATGCAGGTAAGTGCACGTCTCACAGTTCTGCCCATCGGCTCTGTGGTTGGGAATTACATCACCAACATTTACGAGGACAGGTGAGCAGTAGGTGAATCATGCATGCATGCTAGTGTACGTATGATGCAGGATAGCACACGTATGGTATAGGCTGGCTGGTACACGTGTAATGCAGGTAAGTGCACGTCTCACAGTTCTGCCCATCGGCTCTGTGGTTGGGAATTACATCACCAACATTTACGAGGACAGGTGAGCAGTAGGTGAATCATGCATGCATGCTAGTGTATGTATGATGCAGGATAGCACACGTATGGTATAGGCTGGCTGGTACACGTGTAATGCAGGTAAGTGCACGTCTCACAGTTCTGCCCATCGGCTCTGTGGTTGGGAATTACATCACCAAAATTTACGAGGACAGGTCAGCAGTAGGTCTATCGTGCATGCATGCTGGTACAAGTGTGATGCAGGCTGGTGCATGTCTCACGGTTCCCAATCTCAGGACTGTGATTGGTTAGAAACTACATAGCCAACATTTAAAAGGACAGGTCAGCAACAGGTGCATTGTGCTGGCTCCTACGCATACCTCACAGGTTGGTACATGTTTCACTCTTCGTTTGTAAACTGATTAAACTGTTCGTTTATTTTCCTCCTTCCCATCTGTTCACTGTGCTCTTCCGCAGGCTGGTGATCATGTGGACGCAGGGTCTGATCGCAATTGGGGTGATAGCCGTGATGTGTTTCGCGCCAATCATCAAGTACACTACACAGCAATACATTGTTGCTGCTGTCATCATCTTCGTCTCCTGCAACGTGCTCGAAGGTGCGCTGCTGTTTCTTGATAATTAGGGTTGCATCAGTGTAGTGTAGATCTTGTTGCAATCCATGGCCATGCTGCTCCGAGTGCACGCACCTTTGAAGGGCCGGTCATGGGAGTCCTGATAATGCTTTCCTGTCGCACTTTTCACCCCCTCTCCTATCTGGATTGCTGTTTGAAAATCGTGTGGCGTTTTGCAGGGGTTTCTCTTTCGCTTATGTCGCGCATTATGTCACCACGCCTTGCAAGAGGGACGTTTAACTGCGGCCTTTTGTCGACTGAGGCTGGAACTTTCGCCCGAGTGGTGGGGGACGGCCTCATTACCCTTGTTGGTTACTATGGCACACATCTAGTCCTCAACCTTACAATGATTCCTGTGCTAGTAAGCGTCCTAGTTTCTTTGCTAGCCACGCGGTGGGTGTACTATGCATTGTACTAGCATGTCTGCTACATATGTGGTCTTCAGTCTCTGTCAAAAGGAGTTGTAAAGTGCCACTAACTAGATTTAGCTTTAGAAATTACTTGTATGTATCTGTCCTGCTCTTCGAAGCCAGTTAACGGATCTGTCTAAACGGGAAGCCACACGTCGCAGTGCGGACCGCGCAACGGTCACAAGTTTGAAACCACGTTTTCAAGAAGTGCGCATGGTGGCGGGACTCGATCAACGCCATCCACTTTCACGACTGTATTTCCACCCAGCCCGTTCCCTCCTCTCCCGTGACCCGTCCCGCCTGACAGACGCAAAAAGATTCGCCCCTACGGGCAGCATGACTTTCTGCAGAATTTCAATCCCCCGTACGGCAGGGGCACCCACACTTCGCCTCGCCTTTCCCGTGACGCGAATCCAGCCCAAACTGCCCCTCGATCATCCATAACTCTCCAAATCTCTCAAGACATTTGCACCATACTAAAAAGAACTCTACCGTACACATTTCCTCTCTTTTTCTAGTAGGGAGCTGTCCTCTATTTTCGTTCCCATCATCAGACGAAGCTCATTCTAGAGCTTGTACTTTTCGGAAGTTCAGGCTTCAGACCAAGCTCATAACTCTTCAGGTCATTACTTATTGCTTCAGGTAGCTTACCAGCTGATGTAGGCGGATATAAGTGACGAGGCAGCATACAGCCCTGTTTTTTTTGTCCTTCTCCGTGGAACGTGCGCTAGTTGACAGTAGAGTAACGACTGACTGTCTCCCTCGAACAGGTCACCATGGTGAACAATCCATCGTCGGTTTCGGCCGTGGGAGCATGGTCCATGAACGTGGTTAGCTCCGTCGGAATCATCATGATCAACAAACAAGTCATGTCAGGATATGGCTTCAGATTTGGTATGTCTCAAGAACAACTTTTCAGAGACTGGATAAACGCTCATACAGACCAGCGTAGCCAGTTTTCCTGAAGCGTAGTAGAAGCGTGACTTGTCGTGATTTTATGGGCTACAACGTGCAAGAACAATGGATACGCAACACGCACGTAAAACAGGGCTGACGAAAATCAGCTTTCTTCACAGACAACTGACAGAACTATCACTGATTTCTTACGTGTATGAATTCGTGCTCGTTTGATACATGCAGCTTCGACATTGACGGGTCTACATTTCGCCGTGACGGCTCTGGTCGGCATGGCGTCAGCTGCGCTTGGATACCTGAACAGCAAGAACACGGTCCCGCTGTGGGAGCTGATCTGGTTTTCCATTGTTGCGAATCTTTCCATCGTCGCCATGAATCTCAGCCTCATGCTCAACACCGTCGGATTCTACCAGGTTTGTCAACATGGCGACATGGCTCTGGTTATGGCATGACGGCACTCATCTTCCGAGTGCAGGCAAAGAATATGAGAGCCAGTTGTCAATTCAAAGAATTTTGTCAATCGCATGATTCCTGTCCATGGCGTTTTTTTTCCTGTTTCATCACGTCCTCTTCCCATCCCTCACAGATCGCCAAGCTGAGCATTATTCCGGTGGTCTGCTTCTTCGAGGCTCTCCTGCATGCTAAGTCCTACTCCCGCGAGGTCAAGTTCTCCGTGGCCGTGGTCATGGTGGGCGTGGGAGTGTGCACCGTCACCGACATAAACATGAACGCCTACGGTTTCCTCGCCGCCACTGTCGCCGTCATCAGCACGTCTCTCCAGCAAATCGTGAGCTTCTTTTCTCTTGTGCGTGCTCCATTCGGCTCTTTCTCTCGGTTCCCTCGCCGTTCCACTTCCCTCGGCTCTCTCGCCGCTTCACTACCCAATGCTACTTTGCCACACCGCTTTCCGCGGTTCCCTCGCCGCTGCCGTTGCCGTCATCAGCACGTCGCTCTAGCAGATCGCGCGTGCTGCTTGACCTCGTCGTTCCCGTAGCTCCTGCGTCTCACTTCCGTTCCCGTTCCTCTCTCTTTCCTCCGTTGTCTCCACCACTCTTCCCTCTCATTATCTCGTTGCACAAGCTTCAAAAGAACTCCCGTTCCTTCTATATATATCGTTGTTCCCGTTTGCAGTCCACTGGGACCCTGCAGACCACATAACATCAGGCTACTCCTTTGTGCCCCGCATAACATGTCTCCCTTCAACTTCCTCCTCCCCTCCCCTCCCCCCTCCTCAATACCCCCCCCCCCCCCCCCCCCCCCCCCCTCTTTCCCCCCCTCCCTCCCGGTCATGCAGTTTATTGGGTCGCTTCAGACCAAATACAGCATCGGCTCCTTCGACCTGCTGAGCCAAACGGCTCCCATTCAGGCGGCGTTGCTCCTGCTGCTCGGCCCCGTTATTGGACTTTTTCCTCATCTCGCAATCCATTCTGAAATACCAACTCACATGGGGCTCTGCGGTAAGTTCTAGACAAATTTTTGTTGCTGTACCTGGTTTGGCATCTGGTTGCAATTCACGCATAGTAGTCGTCAGAACAATTCTGTGTGGTGCGTTTTCAATGGCCTGACACTTTGAACTATGTTTTTTGTGCAGATCTTCATCGGCCTCTCATGCTTCTTTGCGGTCTTCTGCAATCTCAGCCAGTACCTCTGCATTGGAAAGTTCTCAGCGACGTCCTTCCAGGTCTTGGGTCACATGAAAACGGTTCTGGTTCTTGCCATGGGCTTTCTCATCTTCAGCTCTCCCATAACAATGAAGAATGTGATGGGTATGCTAATGGCCGTGGCGGGAATGGTTTTATATAGCTGGGCTGTTGAGAAGGGCAAGAAGGAGAAGGAAGCAAGGGACAAGCTCCTGAGATCTCCTGTGGTGTCTGCTTCTGTTCCAACCAAAATGCCTGATGAGGGGATGGAGAATGGTGAAAAGTCGGCGCTGCTCTCTAACAACGATGATGTCGAAGCTGGTAGGCAAAGCTAAACTTAGCTCCGCTAGTATAGCCGCTGCTTATCAGTTAGCATGTAGCTTGCAGGGATGTGTGCCATCTACAAAAAATTATGCGCAATGTTTTAGTATAAGAGTCACCTCATTTGTTTTGAAGATGGCAGTTTGGCTAGTGGAAATATTACAATATCGAGTTTCCAGCGTTCATTTGTCCGTATTCCATATGTCGCCGAGCCTCCCAGACGATCTCCAACAGGTCTCGAGAGGCCCCCACGAGCCGTTGATGCGGTTTCCCTCCCTCCCCCACTACGCTTCGCGCCACACCAACTGCCAAAAGCAAGGAGCTTGAAACTGACGGGTCGCAGCGATTGACCGAGACGAGCCGAACCGAACCGAACCAGCTGACCACTCCCAGAGTGGTTGAAGAGAACGTTGAAATGAATGTGGGAAGCCCCCAGTGCCAACCTTAAGGGAATGTCGAGAGTCCATCAGCCCATTTCCAGGGCCTCGATGTTGAGGACCTTGGTATCCAAGACCTTCAGTCAAGCATTTCCTTGAGAGCAACAGCGACGCCGAGTGTCAGCACCCAGCTTGTCGTCGACAAGCAGGAGAGGCTGATTCGTGCAGATCTGGCTATTAGGTTTAGTCGGCAACTGAGTGGAGCAGAAGTTAAATTTGTTTAGCCTGTGTGCTGTAGTGGTCGCTAGGGTTAACACCTCGCCGTGCGGCGTACTTTCGTCGAATTCATTACATCAAAGGTAGTTCTTTAAGATGGTTAACAATCCAGCAGCCGTTTCGGCCGTAGGAGCATGGACTATGAATGTGGTCAGCTCAGTCGGCATCATCATGGTCAACAAACAAGTCATGTCGGGCTATGGCTTCAAATTCGGTAAGTTACTCTATTACGTAAGTGTAGGTAATCAGCTGAGAGTATGGGCTTATACGTAATTCACCGACGATAAAATAAATAAATAAATTGCTGAAGCTAAATCCTTCTGTACCTGTTTCAACCACACAAGCGATCAGAGTATGATGAAGCCTTGATGTCTTCTTCTGTCAACTACCGTTTCAGCTTGCACATTGACGGGGTTTCATTTCGCGGTCACTGCGTTAGTCGGCATGGCATCAGCTGCAGTGGGTTATATTTCAAGCAAAGCCACCGTGCCGTTCTTGGAGCTCGCCTGGTTCTCCATCGTTGCGAATCTCTCCATTGTTTCCATGAATCTCAGCCTCATGCTCAACACCGTTGGCTTCTACCAGGTGCGAACAGTATTTGCGGATGAAATGCCATGCTTTGGTTAATCAGGCTACGCACTGGCGTTGTTAAATCAGATTAAGCTCATCTAACTGCTTCAAGAAGCACTATCCAGAGCTGTTGATTCCATCTCTAATTCCATCATGTCTCTTAATCACATTCAATGTGTCATTCAACAGATTGCGAAACTCAGTATCATACCGACCGTGTGTCTCTTTGAAGCGTTTCTCCACTCCAAGGCTTATTCTCGAGAAGTGAAATTCTCTGTGGCTGTTGTGATGGTGGGAGTGGGAGTCTGTACCGTCACTGACGTCAGCATGAACCTTATGGGTTTTCTAGCTGCTCTTGTCGCCGTTATCAGCACTTCCCTACAGCAAATTGTGAGTTATAACCATTATCCTATCCTCATCCACAAGCACGTCTGCTTTCAGTATTTGAAACCAGCAGAGAATGCATGTGTGTATCCCACTTGCAAATAGTTGTGTGTTGTTCAACTCATGTGCTCATGTCTATGATGACGCCTTACACGATTTTTCTTCTCCTTTTTCTTCTTCTGCCTTTTGGCTCATCCTTTCTCAGTTCATCGGGTCTCTTCAAACCAAGTATAACATCGGGTCCTTTGACCTGCTCAGCCAAACTGCACCCATTCAAGCAGCATCCCTGGTGGTGCTTGGCCCCTTTGTTGACTACTTCGTTACAAAGCTTAACATTATGGACTTCACCCTTACTGCAGGATGCACAGTGAGTTCAATCTAACACTGTTACTCTTCTTCACCCATCCTATCCAGCAATGCCTTTCCCGTTGTTATCAGCACTGTCATCCTACTTGATCTCATCTAACTTTCATGGTCCATCCTGAAATGTATCCCCTACCTGAATCAGGTGATCTTGCTTAATTTCGCTCATCCATTGAATTAACATTCATTGCACATGTACTCCCCCCTGAACCACTGCAGGCTTTCATCATCCTCTCCTGCTTGCTCGCTGTTGTCTGCAACCTCAGCCAGTACCTCTGCATTGGAAAGTTCTCCGCAACATCGTTCCAAGTCCTGGGCCACATGAAGACAGTCCTTGTCCTTGTACTGGGCTTTGTCTTGTTCAGCTCTCCAATCACCATCAAGAATGTGATGGGCATGCTCGTGGCTGTAGTGGGAATGGTGCTGTATAGCTGGGCCGTGGAGAAGGGCAAGAAGGAAAAGGAAGGCAAGGAGACTGGACTGGTCAAGGTGGGCCAACCCTCTCCTAGAGGTTTGGAGGGGAATGGGAGTGGAGGTGAAGAGGAAAGAGCAGGTCTGCTTGCAACAGGTAGGGCTGGAGAGGAGGATTTGGAATCTGGGAAGCAAGGTTGAAATTTGGGATGGCAGAACATGCTGCTTCATGCTCCAAACAGCCCAACCCAGTTACCCAATTCTCTTTTTAACTCCTATGATTCAGTCGCCTTCGCTTGAAGTGCTTTACTTACCTGTGAGCGTATACCTATCATGACACTCTTGTGGCCCATACGTTGCCTGCTGCGCTTGATGTATATTACACTATAAAGTTTCTGTCACCAGAGACACGGTTCCGTGTCAATCAATCAGACACTAACGGTACGTGAATAGGGATTTTTGTTATTGGCCGTTTCAATTGGTCCAACACATGGCAGTGTTTGACTCGCAACAAAGGCGGTTTCAATCTCAGCAATATCTGCTAATCGAGGCTCCCAGTTTTGCGTACAACGGGATGACAACAGCAAGCTTCTGCGAAAAGCCCAGTGCGATGGCGATGGTGCTACCCACGGGCAGACCCGAGCAAATAAACTAAGAGTAATACATGGGCAATCGTACTTACGTAAGAGTATTTTCTTAGTTCCTGCCGTATACCTAACATTCTAGCCAAACTGACTCAAGAAACGCACTGCTATATGAGAGCCGAGAGACGACCTCGGGAGTATTTTCCACTTTGCCTCTTTCGAGAATCCCCCCACCCTCAAAACCCAACTGATCACTGGTCGTCGCTGACAGAGCTTGTGCGAGCTGCCTGTTCGTGCGGGCACGCGGGATGTGGCCAATCACGAGTCAGACGATGATCCGCGCGACTCTGCAAAGTCCTTTACAAGGGTGGTCTGGTTCGGTTCGGCTGGTTTGAAACGGGAAAGTCATGGGTTCGATCAATGGCAGCCTTGAGATTACTGTAGTTGTATCATTGCCTGGCTGGCATTTCCCTTGGTTTCTTCTCATCCCAGATTCCCAGCTTATTTTCCAAGCTTCCCTTCCGAGCTTCTGTTCCAAGCAAGCATTGCTGGCTGATGCAACGCTAACTTCCCTTCGCAGCGTCCCCGGGAGTTTCCGTGCCTTGCAGTGCAGCGCGCGCTGCGATCCCCTCGCATCACACAGCCATGCTGTGCTGTCGAATCTCGAAAAGCACGTGTCGTGTGGCCGCTCTTGTCACCTGAAAAAGAAACCTCACCCACGTCACCTATAGGCGGTGGCCATTCAGGCCCTTCATGCCATTCCACCACCCCGCGCATCGCTTATTCCGCAAGCTTGCTGCTTTCTAACCGCTAGGTAACGCTGCCTAGGTCAGCGCTTCCCCTCCAAGCTGCGTGCAGCCCAGCCGATCTTCCCAATGCACCCCTGAAACGCATATTCCGGAAGGTTCGGAAACTAGGCCCGGCGTCAGGAACCAAAGTGAGTCAGATTAGAAAATACTAGTAGACGCATCGCCAGGCCTTTCCACGGCCATGGCTGCTCCTATGAAATTTGATTATGCGGAGATTCCTGTACCCGATGTGGAGGACATCGATATGAGGTTTATAGACACGCTCCCTGAACTGCGCGGAGTAGCCGCGCCGGCGGACGATATCCATCGCGCGATCGCGTTTCTTGACGCCGACGAAGCGGCAATAAGAGGGGCAATGATGGGGACAGGGATGCCGGGAATGGCGGGTTGCCTGACAGGCGACGCGGATCTTTCATCGGACGGTCTGGATTTCATCCCGGACGGATCTATTACCACTCCTGATGGAAGCAGCGTCGGCGGCGGCGGCGGAGGCGGAGGTTATTGCGCGGAAAACGGGCTCCAATCTGCTGGGAGCGGAAATATTATGGCTTGCGGGGACGAGCAAGTTTCCCGCCAATATTTTCTGCAGCAGCATCAGCTTCAGATGCTGCAGCAGCAGCTTCAGAAGCAGCAGCAGCCGCATCAGCATCAGCAGCAACCGGTGCTGAGTCAGCAGCAACAACATAACGACAACCACCAAGACCTATCACCAGCGACCTGGCAGGGAGGCTCGCCGCCAACTACTGTTTCGACCGTAGTTAACCATGTGTCCGGCACATTCACGGGCAGCAACTTCAACAACAGTAGCGGGAACTACAATAACGCGAACATTAACGGCGGCGGGAATTTCAACGGCGGCGGGAATTTCAACGGCGGCGGCGGGCAGAACTGCACGTCGCTGGTCCCCGGAGGAATGTTTGAGGCGCCCCAAAACTCCCCGCACCTCGGCGGCGGAAACCACCTTTCCGGCGGAAATCACCTTATCGGCGGAAGCCGCCTGAGCGTGGAGCAGGCGCTGCTGCTCAACATGTCCCGCACGGAGGCGGAGATGCGCAAAGTCGTGATGGAGCGCGACGTGCTCCGAGAGGAGGTTGCGCGCAACCAGGCGGCGTTGCGCCAGCTTTCCGCGGACAAGTCTGCGCTAGAGGAGCGCGTGCGCGCGCTGGAGAGCACCGTGCGCGGGCTCGAAACCCGCGCGCGCCAGCTCGCGGGGGACAAGGGGCAGCTCTCCGCCGAGCGCGCGCAACTTTCCGCGGAGCGCGCGGGGATCGAGTCGCTCGTCCGCGCCGCGAAGCAGGAGGCGTTCTCGCAGGCAGTGAGTCAGATCCACGTGGCGCTCAGCTGCGCGCCGATTCCGCGCGGAATCCGCTTCGCGCCTGTCGACGCGGAGGTCTTCCAGTACCTTTCGCGGAAGGTTCGCGGCGAGGTAGAGGACGTGGGTCTAGACCGGCTCCTAGTCCAGAGATTAAGACGCGTCGCGGACTGCGATGGACTAATTCCCGAAATTGAGCTCCTTAAGTTCCCCCGGCCGTGGCACCTTCCCGGATTAGACGTCTCCCCAGACGGCAAGGGCTTGACGGGTTTCTTTTTCGTCCGTCCGGAATGGCGGCCGAACGAGCGGCGCAGGCGGAGAGAAGCGGATATGGCGCCGTCCGACCCGAAGCCGCCCTGCTGGAAGGAATCATGCCAGCCCACGCCGTTCGCGGATCTTGCGCCGAGCCTTGGCGCATCCATTGGGGCGGGGGGAGTGTGCGCGAGCGGAGTGGCAGGAGTCGGGGGGACTTTTCTTTTCCGCCCCGAGCGCCGGATGTTTCGTTTTAAGCTGCCCGGGACGCGGGAGGGGCCGGCGGGGGAGAAGGAGAAGTGGAAGATGTACGAATACACTCTAAAATCGGACCTGGAGATGTACGAAGACAAGCGAAACGGGTTACCCGTGTGGGTGGTGTGTAAGGTCGTGAGGGAGGGGCCTATGACAAGGGAAGAGGAGGAAGAGGCAAAGGCGAGAGCCGCTGCTGCGGCGGCGGCGGCGGCTGCTGGCGGGGGGTCGAGCGGGAGCGGCGGGGGGAACCAGGGAGGCGGGGGAAGCGGAGGGGGAGGAGCATATTCGGGGGGGAGCTCTGGATCCGGGGGAGCGTTTGGGGGAGGGGGTGGTGGGAGCGGCGGGGAGAGCGGGTATCGGGGGAATGGGGGGGGAGGGTACGGGGGAGGAGGGGGAGGATACTCGGGCGGCGGGGGAGGAGGAGGGGCAGGAGGGGGAGAAAACGTGTGGTCATTGCTGCCGTCTCTCCCCGAGCATCTGGTTCCGCCTGCGCTGAAGCTTGCGCCAGCAGCAGCGCGCGGAGGCTCTCCCAAGAATTCTCCTGGAAAATCACCTGAGAATTCGCCTGGAAGAATCCCCCTGTGATGCTCTCTCGCATGCAGCTGCTGAACCAATGGCTCGCCGCTATGCCTCACCCTTCGTCCCAATCCCTTTCTGCCACGTCAGCGTCATCCCTCACAACAGCTTCACCTCAAGCAGGGGCATCGCCTCCATCCCTCCTGGCTGCCACGTCATCCTCGTCCACGTCAGCCATCCAGGTGACATCAGCAACGGGACAGGTGTCATCCACGGTCCAAGTCACATCCTCCGTGTCTGTAACTGCAGCAGGTTCGGGAGCTGCCGAGCCGGTTGCCGAGCCTCTGGCGATGCTGACCATGGCTGCCGCCAAACGTCTACTGGAGGATCGGCTGGTTCGGCACGTGGGGAACATCAGCGGAAGGAAGCTTCTTCTGCTTCCGGAGGTGGAGGGGCGAGAAGCAGTTGCTGCTACTGCTCTCACCACCACCACTGCTGCCGTCACCGCTGCCCCCGCCGCTGCCACCGCTCCTGCTGGTCTTGCTGCTTCTGATTCTCCTGCTGTTGGTGAGAGAGCGGGGAAGAGGGCCGGGAATGAAGAGAGCGGGGAGCAGCAGAGGCCGTATTGGCTGCGTCCCCCGTCCTGGGCCCGAGCACTGCCGGATTCCTATTGGGATAGCCCTGAAGCGCGGGCAGAGGAGGAGGAGGTGGTGGGGGAGGAGGTGGAGGAAGGGGAGGAGGACGAGGAGGAGTGGGAGGATGGGGAGGAGGGAGAGGAGGGTGAGAATGAGGAGTTGTGTTTGAAAGCAGGAGGGGAGAGTGAGGTGGGGATGCTGGCTGCGGAAGTTTCCAAGAAGCTGGGTGAGCTGGTGGAGGCAGCAAGGAAGCTTCGGGGAAAGATGCAGGGATTCGCTCCTGTTGAGGATGCGATTTCCCGTGTCTTCGATCTTGTTACACGTGTTGCTGAAGTGGCGCTAGCAGACGAGCCTGCCGCCCTGCTGTGGCTCCACGCGGTGGGCGGTGCAGTCAGTGATGAGCTGGCGCCAGGAATCTTCCTCGCTACTTCGTTATCTGCCTCGCCACTGATGCTTTTAGTTAAGTTCCACGACTTGAGTGTGATTATAGATGGAGGGACGAAAGCGGTGTGGAAGCAGGCTGTAAAGAGGTTGCCGAAGGCGCTTGTAGAGAGGATGAATGAGGAGGGGAGGAGGGAGGTGAGGGGGATGGAGGAGGCATTGGAGGGAGGGAAGGTGAGGGTAGGAATGAGTGAGGGGGTGAGTGAGGGAGTGCGGAAAGCACAGGAGGGATTGCTGGCGCTTGTGCTGGCTCTGGGAGGGGTGAGTGAAGGAGGGGAGGGAGGAGAGAAGGGATCATTGAAGCTTAAGGGAAGTGATGGCGCTGGAAAGATGCAGCATCAGAAAGCAGCACCTGAGATTTCACCTGAAGCTGTGGAGTCTCCTGTGGATGGTGATTCTGAGGCGCCTCCAGCTGCAGAGGCCGGGCAGAAGAAAGTTTTGTTTTCTATTGACGGCAGCGAACTGGATGAGAACACCAAAGCGGCCAATCAGCTGAAGAGAGAACTGATGAGCCTCTGCGAAAAGGGCAGCCGGAAAACTTTCGAGCTGCCTGGGAGCATGTCGAGCACCGTCATCGAGGTTTTCCGGGCAGTTGGGTTCGAGTACAACCTGCCAGACGTGCACGGGCAGGTGAAGAAAGAAGCGCGTCTGAAAGGGGAGGCAAAGGCGCTTCAGTGGAGAGGAAAGGAAAGGAAGGAGGGAAAGGAAGGGAAGGAGGAAGGAGAGGTTGACTTGGAGGGGGAGATTTGCCAGCTGCAGGCTCTTAAGAAAGGGCTTGATCTGGACTTGCAGCAACTGGATGTTAAACCCAGTGTGCTCAACAAGCTCGTGGAAGGTTCCTCGGTGTCGAGCGTGGCGGATGGCATGATTGCTGTGCTGCAGGCATGCAGCCGTGCACTCCATGCCGGTGCACTCGATGCCGGTGCACTCGATGCCGGTGCACTCGATGCCGGTGCACTCGATGCCGGTGCTGCTGCTGATGCTGCTGATGATTCCAATCCTGATGGTGCTGCCGGTTCCTCTGGTGCTGCAGGTGCTGCCAGTGCTGGTGGTTCTGATGCTGCTGATTCGAGTAATCTTCCTGCTTCTCATGATGGGGCTGGTGCTGCTGCCGACAGCACTGCAGCTGCCGTGGCTGCTTCTTCTCCTGCAGGTGCGGTGGCGACTGCTGTGGAAGCCAATGCAGTGCCTGCACGTCCCACCTGTGTGGTGTTCTCTCGAGACGACGTTCTCTCGGCCCTCCCTGGGGGTCTAGAAGGCTGCTCGGGTCGTGTCGATGCCTCCATGCGGTTACCAACCAACTCCGCTGAAGCTGTTCCACTACAGGATGTGACTGTAGAGGTGCTGGATCAAAACAGCAAGGCCAACCCCATGCTACAGCTGATAAAGGAGGCTGAAACCCTCTCCTCCCTCTCTCACCCCCACATCATTCCTCTCCTCGGCTACTCACTCGAATCCCCCTGTCTGGTTTACCCCCGGATGCCTCCCCTCTCGCTCGCGGATCACCTGCCGTATGGTAACCACGTGGCACGGTTACCGCCTCTGCCGTGGTTCGTCCGGGTGAGGATTGCTTATGAGGTGTCTGCCGCGCTGCTGTTCCTGCACCAGCAGCAGCCACACCCGGTGCTGCATCGGGATCTTCGGCCGGCAAACATTGTCCTGTTCTGGGAAGAGACGGGCAGGGAGGAGGAAGAGAGGGGGGGCAATCAAATGGGTGAGGGGGGCTTGCAGGAGGTCAGTGGTGATGGAATGTCTCGAAGGGCCCCTTTTTGGTGGCCCAGCTTTCAGAGGGAGGATGGGGCAAAGGCAGCAGTCCCTGCAGCACCAGCAGAGGTCTCCGGTTCGAATCCTGCTGGGCGCAGATTGGTGAGCAAGCTGGCTCGCGTTGGCTTCTCAGCTCTGAGCCAAAATCCGAGGACTGGGAGGGCGAGAGTGGAGGATGTGGTGTTTTTGGATCCGGAATATCCTAGAACTGAGGAGCTGGTCCCGTCTTCTGACGTGTATGCGCTGGGAGTGGTGCTCATGCAGTTGCTGACTGGACGCAACGCCACGTCAGCGCTGAGCGTGGTGACTGGAGTGGTGGAAGGGAACAAGGAGCTGGAGGAAGTTTTGGATGAGGGGGCTGGTGGATGGCCTGCTGATGTGGCGAAGGAGGTGGCTGAGCTGGCAGCAAAGTGCACGGATATGAGGAGGTGCAAGAGACCCGGTTTGGTTGGTGAAGTGGTGCCTGTGCTGGCAAAGATGCATGCTCTGGCTGTGGAGGTTGAGAACAAATAGCAGTAGAAGACTGGGTACCCTCTTTTTTATGTTTGTAATAAATGTTTTCTCTTTGTACCTTTACTAATTATAGTGAACAATAAAAGAGTTATCATTTCCGTTTCTTGATGGTTATGCCCGCAAGAAATAGTGAAAACCCGTTATTAGTAAGCTGCACTGATATATTTTCTCAAATAGCTCACACTTATCGCGTATATCTGCAGGTGTCAGAACGGTTGTGGTTCCCGCCAAAACGCCCAGCCTCCCTCTCTCGATTTCTCCGTTTCAAATTTTCCCTTCCTCGAGTCCCGCACCAGGCACTCCGGTGTTGTCTTGGGACTTAGTTGATTTGGGTACATAGATAGACAACACCACAGACGCTCCTCTTGGTATATCACACAAGTAAATTCATCTGTAACATCCGCACTGCCTATTATTTCGTGCGCATCCAGACGCGATTCCGGCTTAGTGATGCCGATTATTTCTCGCGAATTGTAGTGCGCGATTATCTACAGCAGACGCAAGTAAGTAGTGGGTCCAAAGTCGACCGTACCATTTTTTTCAGAATACACCGTAGTTTTCAATACGCGATCAACTGCGACTAGAGCGTGAGTGTGGCCGAAGGAACCTCAAGCGACGATGCATCCCCTCGCCGGGTCTCGGTTACGAACGACAGCCAGCAGCGTCAGCGTCGTGATCGTCGCGTGTCCATTATTTCTGGCTGCATAGCAGACATCCGTAGGTCGACGCGTCACGCGTTACGCCACTGTGATTCCCCCGCCCCTCCTCCCATCCTCCCCCCCCGGGCGTTGCGAGTCCATCGTTCCTCACAAAGTAGCACGAGTTGCATGTGACGAAAACCCCAGCATGTGGTTACCCTGGCGAAAATCGCGTCCTGCTGGAAACCTCACCGGCTCCCGCGCAGAGCAATTGGCAGATGGATTATGGCAGCAGGAAAATCTTAGCGGCAGATTGCATGATCATAACATCTCACAGCGAAACAGAAAGAACAGCACCACCAGGAGCGGAATGGGATTCAGTGGAGGAGTTTTCAGTGGTCGGCGGTTTTGGAGCCGTACAAGAGGAGACGAAATGCGGGGAGACGAAAAGAGAGGAGACGGAATGAGAAGAGACGGAATAGGAGGAGACGGAATGAGAGGACACGAAACGAGAGGAGGCGGAATCAGAGACAGCGGAATTCGTGCGTTTTCGGCTGCCAACACGCGTTCAGTCGAAGGCGACCTCCCCGAACTATTCGGCATTCGCAGCTCTATGCCCGGAGGAGAGTCACCAGCAGCAGAAGCAGCAGCAGCAGCAGCAGCGACGGTAGCGCCAGTTGAAACGCGCGTGTTTCGTTCGCGAAATCAGGAGCGAGACGTTTCAGATGCATGCGTGGTGGTTTCAGAGGCAGGATGCTCTTCGATGGAGGTGCGTCCTGAGCATCGTGAGAATCAGCAGAAGCAGGGGAATCAAGAACACCTGGAGAATCAAAAGCATCATGCGCGTCAGAAGCATCAGGAGCAGGAAAATACACAGTCGGGGGAAAATACGCATTGGACGAAGCTGCTTCAGGAGGAATTTCCAGATTTTAAAGACGCCGACGACGGAAAAGAAAACAATGCGGTCAGAGGAAACGGAACGAGCAGAGATTGGATCAGCCAGTCTGAAGCTTGGGATGGCTGTGGCAGTCGGTTCAACAGCTGTAGCCAGCAGGAACCGTATCTCGTCCACGAGAAAGGAGTGCTCAGTGAAAGCAGTGGCCAGAGGGCAAATTTCCCAGCGAACATTCTTAAAACGGTTGACCTTACTAGGGCGCCTCTTGGCTCTGTAAATGCGTCTACAGCCTCTGAAGGGAAGGAGAGACTGACAAGTCCATTCTCCGACTGCATTGCACCATCAGTGCCACGTCTGAAGTCACCGCTAATGACGCAGACGTCAAGTCCGTCTCCTGGCTGCATTCCATCATCAGTACCAGGTACCAAAGGCGCTATGGAACTCCGTCCCATTCCATCCGTTCCATCCTCTGCCTGTGAGCCACCTCAAAAGACGTCAAGTCCGTCTCTTGGCTGCATTCCATCATCGGTAACAGGTCATAGAGCCGTCTCGGCGCTCCATCCCATTCCATCCATTCCGTCCTTCGTTTGTGAGCCGACCATTATGAGTGACTGTGTCCCCGCAGCCCCAGAACAGCTGGCAGAATGTTCAAATATCTTTCTGGAAAAGCCCACTCGGGAAGTCAATAGAATCAGCCAGTGCGTGTCAGAGGGGCCTGGTGGGAGAGGGACGTTTGGGGCAACCAAGGCGTTTCGAGGGAATCTGGATTCATGGTCGAGCCACGTGTCGCAACCTGATTGGCTGTCAGCTTCTGCGGGGTATTGGGAGAGCTCATGTGTTGGTGGCGGTTGTGGTGGTGGGAATGTGGAGGGGGGGAAGTATGAGGAAGAAGAGGAGGAGGAAGACGATGATGGGGAGGAGGAGGTGGACAGCAGCATGACATGGACCAGGAGAAGAAGGGAAAGCGGCAAGCTCAGAAAGGTGAGTGAAGCTCCATTGTGCCTCAAGTGCTCTATCGTGTTGCAAGTGCTCAATTGTGTCACAACTGAGGGAGAGGAGGAGGAGGAAGCCGACGATGGGGAGGAGGAGGTGGATAGCAGCATGACTTGGACCAGGAGCAGAAGGGCAAGCGTCAGGCCAAGACAGGTGAGTGATGCTCCACTGTACCCCCCAGTTGCTCTATCGTGCTGCAAGTGCTCGATTGTGGCACGAGTGAGGAGGAGGAAGACGACGATGGTGAGGAGGAGGAGGTGGATAGCAGCATGACTTGGACCAGGAGCAGAAGGGCAAGCGTCAGGCCAAGACAGGTGAGTGATGCTCCACTGTACCCCCCAGTTGCTCTATCGTGCTGCAAGTGCTCGATTGTGGCACGAGTGAGGAGGAGGAAGACGACGATGGTGAGGAGGAGGTGGGTGGATAGCAGCATGACTTGGAGCAGGAGCAGAAGGGCAAGCGGCAGGCCAAGACAGGTGAGGGACGCCTCGTTGTGCCTCGAGTGCTCGGCTTCGTCACACAGTTTTCACACAGTGCTGTCGTCACTCAGTTTAGCTGCTGCTGACACCATGCTTTTCTGCTGCTGTCTGGACTCTCTAGCCTCCCTCCATCGTCGTCCTGTCCCCACATCCCACTCCTCTCTCCCTCTCCCTCCGCTCTCTTGCTGCCCCTTCCCTCCCTCCTTGTAATGCGTGTCACAGAAAGCAAGAAGACCTCTTATGATGAGGGGAATTGTGAAAGGTGAGCGTGCGCTGAAGCAGGGTGAAAGGTGAGCGTGCCAGTGCAACTTGATTGGATGTTCATTGGGTGGGCCCGCATTTCCCTCTCTTGCATTTCCCTAACTCCCCCTCACTCTCACTGCCCCCCCCCCTCACTTCCATCCCACAGAGGGCAAGGAGAAGCCTTCAGAGAGCAGCACTTCTCTGAGTGGGTGGGACCTGTACCATCCACGTGGCACAAGCTCATTGGCCCACTGGGGTCATAAAAGGGTATTCCAGCCTCTGTTCTTCTCCTCTCCTCCCTCTCTCCATCCATGCCCTTGCCTTGCCTCACCACTACATGCCCACATTCCAGTTCTTCACACCTCTCTAGTTCTGTTATCTCTGTTTACCTCCTTATCATTCAGCAGCAGCTTGTGATGCTGCCGTTCTCTCGCTCTCTTCATTCCTATGTCCCCATCTTTCGTTATCCTCTCCACATGTTGTATCTGTCTCACACATACCACACCCAAGTCAGCTGCTCCATTAGAGGTCACAACACATGTCCCATGTACTTGCCCAGGCAATGCCTGCCAAATGTTCAACCCTGTGTGTACCCCCTTGTGTGCGCGGATGTCTTGTATGTACCCTTGGTTGCTACAGTCAACTCCCCGCATTCGCCAGGACCGCCGCAAATGGGTGTACAGCCCAGACGAGGAGGCAGAGGATGAGAGAATCGATAGAATCAGGTCGGTAACATCAACGAGCAGGTGCAGTTCATGGGTGGCTGAAGTGGAATGAAGCTTCTAACTTCGTACATGCACATGCTTATTGAAATCAGATTTGGTAATTGTTACTTTCATGTGAGCCTCCATTTAGATTGCAATTGTCAGGTGTGGTGTGGTGAAAGTTTATCAGAGGTAATGTCAGGACATTGTTGTTCCCCTGTAATGTACCTAAAGATTGCTTATCAGCAAACGCCCTATTGACACTCCAAGGGCACCGCCAATTAGTATGAGAGGGATAGGGTAGCACCACCACACAATAGTGAAACTGTAAACAAGCTTCTGTCAGAAAGGAATCTTCGCCATTTGATCCTCCAATATGCAATAGCGAGTCGGTGCAAATCCAAGGCGAGGGTCGCGGTTCGTCAATTCGATAGAAATGTTGGAAATTTCGAATTTGGTGGAAAGGAAATCAACGGGCCTCTCAACGGCAATTTGTGCTTCCTCATCCCCGCCCGAATTCCAGCTGGATCAACTCGTTCCAGCTGTGTGTGCGCAAGAAACACCCACACCAAAGAAAGCACACACATAGCAGCCACTTTTTATTCCCATCTCAGCAATTACAGCCTTCCCAAACCGCAGCCCTATAGGACCCCGCAGTCCAGGCTCTAGCATCCCACTAGGATACTGATTCACCCACAACCATCCAAGATCCCCATTTTTGGCTGCTCAAGAGCCTCCTGAAAGACTCAGCAGTGGAACGCGCTACAAGCTGCGCGCTGGTCTCCACTGCGCGCCACTAGTAGGTGTTGCGCACGTGGCAGTTGAGGCGGACCTCGCCCTGAGTGCCGGTGAGCGGCGAAATGACGCCCATCTTCACGAGCGACTTGGGGAACGCGTCGAACCACACACTCTTGGCGTGCGCGAAGGCCTTCACTGCGCGCTCCGTCTTGTCGTCGTAAATGAGCGCCTGGTCGGTGGTGAACAGGCCCTTGTGCGCGAGGAGATTCTTGTAGTACTGCGGAGGCGGAGACGTAGAAGCGAACGATGATTGTGCAATTTTATTCAATTTTGTATGAAGGGGCGAAGAAAGCGTGCGTGAGAAGGTTCGTGTAATGATGAAGAGGAGCTGAGAAAGGGGGAAGCGAAGGATAGAAGGAAATGGACTGGGGTGGGTGAAGGACGGGGGGAAAGGGAAGGAGAGGTGAGAGGCGAGATGGGAAAACAAGCGAATCGTGTTGCTTACCTGGTTGTCGAATTTGTTTGGCGAAGCATAGTCGTTCGAGATCATGGCCTTGGGGTCGATGTTGCTCGTGCCGCACTTCTGCTTCACGTACGCCGCGAATTCCGGGTCCATCGTGGGGTCGTCCTGCTCCAGGCGATTCTTCAGGCTCACGCAGCGGCCCTCCCCGATAGTGTGCGCTCCGCTAAGAGTCACAACGTCGGTCATATCGAGGCCGACTGTATTGAAGTTGTGGACGAGACCAGAGACGTTGAGCGTGGAGCCTGGGAGGAAAGTCTCGGCAGCGAGTGCGAATGACGTCAGCCCGTCGCGACGGCCCAGAGGCACCTCCGTGAAAGGACCGCCGGCCTGCGATTAGAGAATATGCGAAAAGCAAAAATGTCAGGAGGACATTGAGTTGTAGCGATAGAAATTAAAGTGGGGGACGAGATGCAGGGGCGCCGCGGAGGACGGAGGGGGAAAAGAAAGAGGAAACAGGGAAAAAAACAGGAAAATGTTAAGAAAATATTCCGAGTGTACAAAGACGTACCAGGTGAATGCCTTCGCGAGCGGCGAGAGCAAGAATGTCGGCGCAAGACACGACGCCGGGGCATTCCGCCTCGAGGTGGTCCTTGATGTCGTCGACCACGTCGAACGCGCCGAGCGTGGCGTTGGGATCCGAATCCTTCTCCGCCTTGTTGTCCTCCGTCGAATCGAGGAGCACGGACGCGTCGCAGCCCTGGAGAAGTTAAGAAAAAAAGATAGAGAGAGGGAGAGAAAGGAACGGCACGCGTACAGACAAAAACATTAGCGAGGAAGTTTCGTGAATGTGGGTTACCTCATAGCGACAAGTACGATTACATTTCACACGGTTCATGGGAGTTACGGCATTCCCTGCCTCCACCTCGCGAAGCGCACGTGAAATAACCACACGCGCGGTTCGTGAAAGTGGCGCACATTCGAACCTCGACGGCACGCACCTGGACGAAGCAGTCGTGGAAATGCAGACGCAGCAGCGGCGCGGGGACCGCGGGGTCGTTCTTGTACGCCTGGTACACGCGCGCCGCGACAATCTCCGCCACCTTGGGGCACGTGGACTTGTAGTAGTTGTACGACAGGCCGCCGCTGCTGTGGTAGCTGTGGTAGCTGTCGTCGCTGCTGCTGCTGTCGTAGCGGTTGTCGTCGTGGCTGCTGTCGTCACTGCTGCTGCTGCTGCTGTCGCTACTGCTGCTGCTGTCGTCACTGCTGCTGCTGCTGTCGTCACTGCTGCTGCTGCTGTCGTCACTGCTGCTGCTGCTGTCGTCACTGCTGCTGCTGCTGTCGTCACTGCTGCTGCTGCTGTCGTCACTGCTGCTGCTGCTGTCGTCACTGCTGCTGCTGCTGTCGTCACTGCTGCTGTTACTGTCGTCGTGGCTGTCGTCGCTGCTGCTGCTGTCGTGGCTGCTGTCGTCGTGGCTGCTGTCGTCGCTGCTGCTGCTGTCATCGTAACTGCTGTCGCTGCTGCTGTCGTCGCTGCTGCTGTGGTCATCCGACGACGACGAGTCGCTGCTGCTGCTGTCGTCATGGTAGTCGTCCAAACCGCTGTTGTTGTGCGAACTGTCGCTGCTGCTGTCGTCGTGCGACGAGCTGTCGCTGCTGCTGTCGTCGTGCGACGAGCTATCACTGCTGCTGTCGTCGTGCGACGAGCTGTCGCTGCTGCTGTCGTCGCGCGACGAGCTGTCGCTGCTGCTGTAGTCGTACGACGAGCTGTCCTTGCTGCTGTCGTCGTGCGACGAGCTATCACTGCTGCTGTCGTCCGTAAGAAGCCGCATTTCTTCGCGATTCCGGTTCTGAGTCAGGACGCCGAAGCTGCGATGCGCCAGAGCAGGCCGTAAAACGATCGCAGCAGACACAATGAGCACCGCCAGAAGAAGCACGCGGGGCGACATTTTGAGAGAATCTCCTCGGCGAGAAACCAGGAACGGAAGAAAGGTAGTACGCAGCAGAACTCGGAGCGAATTCGGAAAAGAAGAGATTGGGGTCTGGGCGTGTGAGCTGGTGAATTTGGAAATCGGCCCCACAAATGGATGATGCATAACAATGCTGAGAGCACCTTTCTCTTATACACCCTCATTCTCTCTAGACTGACCTCAGCTAAAGGAACTTGCAGGTAGAAACAGCATGGTTGAGAGCGTTTAACAATGGTTCGACATGGTTCATTAGGACATTTAGATTAAGACAAAATCAGCCTGCCAGACGCCCGCTGGTGAGAGTGCTGAGAACGAGGGTGTACAATGCACCCTATCCCCTAAGAGATTTACACATTGGTCTTTGGGTTTTTATACGATCCGTCACAAAAAATTTCGGAGTTATCACGAGCAGTCACATGTTCCGCCAAATCTATCACGGACAGTCACAAAATCTGCCAAATCTATCACGAACCATCACACGGGTATCACCCGCCGTCACTCAAAGGCACTAATTTCTATCACGGGTAGTCACACTCGAAACTTTGCTATCACAGATGAACCCTCTCATCATTTCGTTGACCCGCCCTGAAACACTATACAGATTTAGGGACTAAATTTCGGATTGCTGACTTTTGTCCTGTATACGCGACCATTTTGGGTGCAAAGATACCTGGTTACGTTCGAATCGACGTAACACACTTTTGTTTAAAATTTTTATGAAATAATTCGAACGCAAATATACATATAGATATATATTTATATATATATTGCTAGAGTTCACAATTCATTGGATCTGCCTAAATGTTTATCAACGCACAATTTATATTTCGTCATACAGCAGATATAGTATACAGAATGAGAATGATCTCACCGTAATACTGTAACACTAGCCTTCAAGTAAATACTATAGACATATAATAATCTCATGTCAACCTATCTCCTCAGAATTTAAACACAGAGGCATTGTATCACAAGGGTTTAGGAAAACATGTTGCACAAGCCATGCTATGTACTGCAAATTTTACATCTAGTCAAGCATTGCCGATGTGTTGAAATGGTGAACTATAGCAATATATATATATATGCGTTCGAATTCTTTCATAAATTTTTTTGAGACAAAAGTGTGTTACATCAATTCGAACGTAACCACTTATCTTTGCATCCATAAATGGTCGCGTATACAAGACAAAAGCCAGCAATCCGAAATTTAGTCCCTAAATCTGTATAGTGTTTCAGGGCGGGTCAACGAAATGATGAGAGGGTTCATCTGTGATAGCAAAGTTTCGAGTGTGACTACCCGTGATAGAAATTAGTGCCTTTGAGTGACGGCGGGTGATACCCGTGTGATGGTTCGTGATAGATTTGGCAGATTTTGTGACTGTCCGTGATAGATTTGGCGGAACATGTGACTGCTCGTGATAACTCCGAAATGTTTTGTGACGGCCTGTACAAAAACCCTTGGTCTTACTTGCGGGGAAGATTGGGGGAAGAGGGGGGGAGAGGGAGAGGCGGAGACCGACAGGCTCGGGGCCCAGGGACACTCCAATCGCGAAGCTTCTCAGGAACATGGGACGAGCATCTTGGCTCGGTACTGGTTGGGGAAGTGGGGGAGGCGGGGAGGGGCGGAGCAGAACCAGAAGCTTGGAAGGTAGGTAGGGGAGGCGTGGCGCGGAGCGAGACAATCTCTGCTCTTTCTTGTGAAGGTGGCGCGTGGCCTTAGGGGAGGAAACGTGTGGCTTCGGCCTTGACTGGCACGCCAGCTTCTCGCGGAAGGTTGCGCTTTGGGAAATTCGGTGACATGCCCCCCCACATTGCGCTTCGCATATTCCCAAGTTTTGCCAGGCTGGACGGTTCGGTTCTTCCTAGCCTGAAACAACTTTTGTAGAGCAGCGCACACATGCCCTCTGGTCTGGTCAGGTCCCTGACTGAAGGTTCGAAGATTGCCGAGCCTGAAGGGGCCAGCGAATCGCGCTTGTCGGTGAAATTGCACACCTGTCAAGACCAGGGTGCACAAGCCTACAGTACACACGCATTCAAGAGAGAATCAGAGATCGTGTCATCACACGTAACGCGGACCTTCACGATTCGTTGCTGTCCTACGTACGTGGCATTCTGCCTGACTGCCCCGCCCGGCATTCTATCCGACGCAGGACCACAGGCCATTCCAAGTCAGCTTGGTGGTGATGACTTCATGATTAGAAGCAGCATTCTCGCTATTAGCTGCCGCTTATTGAGACTGTAGCCAACCTCGAAATTATAATCAAAAGCACGATGCGGATTCACCACGCCTACCTTGAACTCTTGTCATCATTTTTTTACAGATGCATGGGTTGATAATTTCGTGACCAGCACTTGCAGGTACAACAGGAATGATTGACATGCCCCAGGAATTTAGCATGATTGTTTCAAACCTTTTTCTTAGCACGCTTGGCGGTCTCACGCTCCCTATCATCATTCAACCATTTGCTGACAAGCAGCGAGTCAATAAATATCTGCAATCACAACAAAAGCACCAACTTTGTATGTTGCAAATGCACCAAACCAGAGCATCGGCCACGAGAAACAGACAAGCCCAAAATAAGTGGATATACCCGCACACACAATAGAAGAATGGCTGCACACAAAGGGAAAGATAAGCATGTGACTGACCTGGAGGAAATGGGTGAGAATGCATGGCAGCAGGACCAATGCTGGCTCGCCCATTAGCGTGCCAATCTTCTCCACCACTGTTGCAGCCACTGGAAGGGTTTTCTGCCACAGGGCGACAAACATAAAGAGTACGGGAGTTTGCAGGAGGTCACACACAGAGCTACTTGAATTTCTCATTTGGAAATTGGAAAATATTCTATGACAGTTCGCTCAAATTTCCCACATAACATCCAAAAGAACATGTGACAAGAAGGTAATGCTGACTAGAAAATGTACAGCATTAATATATATGCTTTAACATGATATGCATGCAGTGTTACCTGGCTAGAGAGGATAATGACAGCTCTATCGACAGCGTTGGCCTCTTGAATGGGAAGCGGAGGGGTGATTCGCCTCAGGGCCGCCATCACTGCCATGTTGAGCGCCAGGAAGGACAGATGGACGGCTCTGATTTGAAGTCAGGGAGGAATCATGAGGGATCGGGAGGGATTGGAAGGGATTAAAAGGATTCGGGAGGGATTGGGAAGGATCGGGAGGGATTGGGATAGGGGGAGGAAGGAAAAATCTCAAGCCACATTGAGTTGATGGTAACACTTCTTGTCCACCCTATTTGGCTTTTTGAAGGAGAAGAGGCGGGTGCTTCAACCGAGAGCTACCGTTGCTCCCATCTTAAAGGTCAAGTAGGACAGATCAACGGCTCTGATGCAGAGATAGGGCAGAGCCGGACAGGGGCCGGGCATGGACATGAGGGGAGGAGGGGATGAGGGACAGAGGGGGATGAGGACAATCAGACCTGCATGGGATAGACGGAGCACAGCAGAAAATCAAGAGTGCCAGCAGCAGACTGCGAATGAGATGTGCTTGGACTGACTTCACACACACACACGTCATGGCAAGCTGGAATGTGGAGCGAGCAGACATACATGCCAGCAGCAGCAATGGGTAGCAGTTGTGTCATGTCGAGACGAAGAATCGCCGCCCGGGCGGAGCTGACTTGCATCCACGGTACCTGGAAGGGGGGAAGCCAGGAGAAGGGGGGACCAAGAGAGACACACAACGATTTTAAAAAGTTTCCTGTTGCTTGCACGGGTTCAGAAACTGCTGTCTGTTTCAACTGGTTTTGTGAGATGGGGAGGGTGAAAGCTGGAAGAATAAAAGATGTTTGAGAACTGAGAGACTGAAGACGAACCGAATGAAGAAGGGAGAGAACGAATGGAACAAAGGGAGCAAAGGACGTGGAGAAGGAAGTGGAGGTGGGGGTAGAAACCGACACGAACAAAGGATATAACGGGCAAGAGGAACGCACGAATGAGAGCATGGCATTGTTGGCCATTGAGAGCTGCTGCTTGCGCTGATCAGCCCACGTGGCAACAGCTGATTGGATTGGGCAAGCATGGGAGAAAAGGATGGTAGAGCAGAGAGCAGAGAAAGAAACACATTGTAAAGCAAGAAAGCAAGGAAAGCAAGTGCAAAGTCAGCATGATTAAACTTAAATACTTGAATAAATATTTAAAAGCTTTCTGAAATAGGGAGGTTGCTTCGATTTGAGCTCACGCTAAAAAAAAGTGTGCAAGCAACTTTTGAATGCGGTGAATGAGCCTGGGACCTTTCAGAACTTTCAAAGTCAAATCACAACCAGGCGACTGTTTGTGCTGCTGCCGTGGCACGGCATGTCGTGCATGAGTAAAAGAAAAGGTGGTTCACCTGGGATGGTCCGCCGAACTGCCTGAATCCATTTGGTTAATCCATTTTGTTCAAGGGGAGTGAGATGGTCCCGTTGCGTGGGGATCACGGAGGGTGGTGATCCGGGGTGAGGGAAGAAAAGAGCAGGGGTGGGGGAAGAAAAGACATTAAATAGAATCTTTCAAGGGAGCATATTCACTTTGGATGAGCAAATTCAGCTCCTGTGACACTAGAATCAACGAGAGTGATGGTGGAGAGACACACCTTGACTATGCCATACCATACCATACCATACCATACCATACCATACCATACCATACCATACCATACCATACCATACCATACCATACCATACCATACCATACCATACCATACCATACCATACCATACCATACCATACCATACCATACCATACCATACCATACCATACCATACCATACCATACCATACCATACCATACCATACCATACCATACCATACCATACCATACCATACCATACCATACCATACCATACCATACCTTACCGTACCGTACCGTGCCAGACCATACCAGACCAGACCAGACCAGACCAGACCAGACCAGGCCAGGCCAGACCAGACCAGACCAGACCAGGCCAGACAAGACCAGACCAGACCAGACCACAACACACCACACCACACCACACCGTACCATGCCTATGAAGAGAGGAACGAGCAGAGTGGTAACAAGTCCCCGTAACAACGGCCCTGCTGGTACCGACACACCCCCACTGGCTGGGACGAGCCTTGATAGGAGCAGAGGCATCTGATTAGGAACAGCAGGAGGGTAAAGTTGAAAGAACAGCAGGAGGGTAACGTTGACAGAACAGCAGGGGAAAAAGGGGCTGGGGTGTTGTATGCAATGCAGGGCATGGCACGACTGCTGTGTTGCTAGGTCTGACTCGCCTCGCCCCCACTGGCTGGAACGAGCCTGGAGAGGAGCAGCGGCATCTGAAAGAAATGACAGGGGGGAGGGGCGGGAAGACGAGCAGAGGGAAACGGGGGCGGGGGTAATAGAAAAGGAGCGGAACGGAAACGGGGAGGAGAGGGTTTAGGTGTTGTGGATGCGGCACAACGCAGAGGCCCTGCCGGTGGTACTGCCTCAGAGTCGATCCCCACTGGCTGGGCTGGGATGAGTGTGGATAGGAGTAGAGGCTTATGAGAGGGACAGCAGGGTTTTTGAGTAGACTCAAAAGTCAGCATAGGAGTAGAGAGGCATCTGAGAGAGGGACAGCAGGGGGGAACGAGTTGGGAGAGGGGGAGGGAGAAAGAGTGTTGGGGTGTTGTGAGTGGGAAATGAGGAAAAGACGAGGGGGAGAGAGAATGCAGGGTGTTGGGGTGTTGTAGGCGGGTAGTTTGAGGAAAGGGGGAGGGGGAGGGGGAGGGGGAGGGGGAGGGGGAGGGGGAGGGGGAGGGGGAGGGCACAATGGCCCTGCTGCTGGTAAGTAAGGTTCCCTCCCCCTGCAGAGTTGTTGTGCAATCAACAGAGTGGGAGGGGTTAGGATTAAGGTGTTGAACGTTGTCACCAGGGAAAGACATGCACGGAAGGGGATGATGGCTTAGGCGATGGAAGGGGATGATGGCTTAGGCGATGGAAGGGGATGATGGCTTAGGCGATGGAAGGGGATGATGGCTTAGGCGATGGAAGGGGATGATGGCTTAGGCGATGGAAGGGGATGATGGCTTAGGCGATGGAAGGGGATGATGGCTTAGGCGATGGAAGGGGATGATGGCTTAGGCGATGGAAGGGGATGATGGCTTAGGCGATGGAAGGGGATGATGGCTTAGGCGATGGAAGGGGATGATGGCTTAGGCGATGGAAGGGGATGATGGCTTAGGCGATGGAAGGGGATGATGACTTAGGCGATTCTTGAGTCCAACAGAACTTTGCCTTATCACATGCATATCAGGGTGTTGTGATGTAAGTTGTCACTAGGGAAAGACCGACATGTGGGGACTCAAAAGTCGTCTCAGAGGATGATACCTCAAGAGGACGACTGTGGAAGGGCGGGGGAACCAACCAGGTGAATGGTATGGCTAGCTGAGTGTCACAGGAAGGTGCTGAACAGGGGGGCGTATAGCGGGAGAGCTTACAGTGAGTATGCCGATGGTGTTGGTGACTACAGTAAGGCCGAGAGCCAACGCTGTGTTGGCATGTGCTGCCTGGCGGGAGGGAGGGCAAGACAAGAGGGGCAGAAGGCACTGCAAAAGTAAAGGAGACAGAAGGAGAGAGAGTATGGCTGTGATTTGTGAGGCCGAGAGCCAATGCTGTGTTGGCATGCGGTTCCTGGTGGGAGCAAGGGAAGGGCGAGAGAGACATAATGAGGCTGAATTCATTCCCGGCACTTCAACAGCAAAGGCATGGGAAGGAGAGAGTGTGGAAGGAGAGAGTGTGGAAGGAGAGAGTGTGGAAGGAGAGAATACGGCAGTGACAAGTTTCCTAGTGGATTGTTGTCATAAAACCATCCTGATATTTGTGCCGTGCGTACCCACCCGTGCAAGTGAGATGCCTGCTGTGATGGTTGCGGGCATGCAGCAGAAGAGAGCAAGACCTGTGGGGATGAGGAGAGGAGTGATGGTAAAAAAGGAGAGAGCAAAGTAGGAGAGCGTAAGTTGGTTATAGGCAGGAAGGGATGCCTGCTGCTGTGATGGTGGCAGGCATGCATGCAGCACAAGAGAGCAAGACCTGTGGGGATGAGAGGTGCAGAGAGGGAGAGCAGAGAGGGAGAGCAGAGAGGGAGAGCAGAGAGGGAGAGCAGAGAGGGAGGTGCAAAGGAGCGGGGAGAATTGAGGGTATAGATGGCGTGACGATGGCAGGCAGGCAGGCACAAGAAAGAGGGAGAGCGAGTGGAGGCCTGTGGGGAATCGGAAAGGCGTTGAAGAGCAAGCAAGATGCAGTCAAGATGCAGTCAAGATGCAGTCAAGATGCAGGCAAGATGCAGTCAAGATGCAGTCAAGATGCAGTCAAGATGCAGTCAAGATGCAGGCAAGATGCAGTCAAGATGCAGTCAAGATGCAGTCAAGATGCAGTCAAGATGCAGGCAAGATGCAGTCAAGATGCAGTCAAGATGCAGTCAAGATGCAGTCAAGATGCAGGCAAGATGCAGTCAAGATGCAGTCAAGATGCAGTCAAGATGCAGGCAAGATGCAGTCAAGATGCAGTCAAGATGCAGTCAAGATGCAGTCAAGATGCAGGCAAGATGCAGTCAAGATGCAGTCAAGATGCAGTCAAGATGCAGTCAAGATGCAGGCAAGATGCAGTCAAGATGCAGTCAAGATGCAGTCAAGATGCAGTCAAGATGCAGGCAAGATGCAGTCAAGATGCAGTCAAGATGCAGTCAAGATGCAGTCAAGATGCAGGCAAGATGCAGTCAAGATGCAGTCAAGATGCAGTCAAGATGCAGGCAAGATGCAGTCAAGATGCAGTCAAGATGCAGTCAAGATGCAGGCAAGATGCAGTCAAGATGCAGTCAAGATGCAGTCAAGATGCAGTCAAGATGCAGTCAAGATGCAGGCAAGATGCAGTCAAGATGCAGTCAAGATGCAGTCAAGATGCAGGCAAGATGCAGTCAAGATGCAGTCAAGATGCAGTCAAGATGCAGGCAAGATGCAGTCAAGATGCAGTCAAGATGCAGTCAAGATGCAGTCAAGATGCAGGCAAGATGCAGTCAAGATGCAGTCAAGATGCAGTCAAGATGCAGTCAAGATGCAGGCAAGATGCAGTCAAGATGCAGTCAAGATGCAGTCAAGATGCAGGCAAGATGCAGTCAAGATGCAGTCAAGATGCAGTCAAGATGCAGTCAAGATGCAGGCAAGATGCAGTCAAGATGCAGTCAAGATGCAGTCAAGATGCAGGCAAGATGCAGTCAAGATGCAGTCAAGATGCAGTCAAGATGCAGGCAAGATGCAGTCAAGATGCAGTCAAGATGCAGTCAAGATGCAGTCAAGATGCAGTCAAGATGCAGGCAAGATGCAGTCAAGATGCAGTCAAGATGCAGTCAAGATGCAGGCAAGATGCAGTCAAGATGCAGTCAAGATGCAGTCAAGATGCAGGCAAGATGCAGTCAAGATGCAGTCAAGATGCAGTCAAGATGCAGGCAAGATGCAGTCAAGATGCAGTCAAGATGCAGTCAAGATGCAGTCAAGATGCAGGCAAGATGCAGTCAAGATGCAGTCAAGATGCAGTCAAGATGCAGTCAAGATGCAGGCAAGATGCAGTCAAGATGCAGTCAAGATGCAGTCAAGATGCAGTCAAGATGCAGTCAAGATGCAGGCAAGATGCAGTCAAGATGCAGTCAAGATGCAGGCAAGATGCAGTCAAGATGCAGTCAAGATGCAGTCAAGATGCAGGCAAGATGCAGTCAAGATGCAGTCAAGATGCAGTCAAGATGCAGGCAAGATGCAGTCAAGATGCAGTCAAGATGCAGTCAAGATGCAGTCAAGATGCAGGCAAGATGCAGTCAAGATGCAGTCAAGATGCAGTCAAGATGCAGGCAAGATGCAGTCAAGATGCAGTCAAGATGCAGTCAAGATGCAGGCAAGATGCAGTCAAGATGCAGTCAAGATGCAGTCAAGATGCAGTCAAGATGCAGTCAAGATGCAGGCAAGATGCAGTCAAGATGCAGTCAAGATGCAGTCAAGATGCAGGCAAGATGCAGTCAAGATGCAGTCAAGATGCAGTCAAGATGCAGGCAAGATGCAGTCAAGATGCAGTCAAGATGCAGTCAAGATGCAGTCAAGATGCAGTCAAGATGCAGGCAAGATGCAGTCAAGATGCAGTCAAGATGCAGTCAAGATGCAGTCAAGATGCAGGCAAGATGCAGTCAAGATGCAGTCAAGATGCAGTCAAGATGCAGGCAAGATGCAGTCAAGATGCAGGCAAGATGCAGTCAAGATGCAGGCAAGATGCAGTCAAGATGCAGTCAAGATGCAGTCAAGATGCAGGCAAGATGCAGTCAAGATGCAGTCAAGATGCAGTCAAGATGCAGTCAAGATGCAGTCAAGATGCAGTCAAGATGCAGTCAAGATGCAGTCAAGATGCAGTCAAGATGCAGTCAAGATGCAGGCAAGATGCAGTCAAGATGCAGTCAAGATGCAGTCAAGATGCAGGCAAGATGCAGTCAAGATGCAGTCAAGATGCAGTCTTTCTGCCTGCCCTGTCGGCCAGCCATCGGGAAGACTTTTAATCACACTTTGGGAGCTGCCTTGCTGCTCAGCGCGACACACTCTTGACTCTTTATCGAAACACAGTCTTGCATCGTCTGATGCTCAGCACACCGCACCGCACTGCACACCTGTGGGCAGCTCCCGTGGCAGCAGCGGCAGGCGCAGCACGAGAAGAGCCATGAGGGGCGTTATGGCGAGCGTGGATAGCTGGAGGCGGACAGGTGGGGGGTAAGAGGGATAGAGGATGAGGGGTAGTGGGAAAGGGATGGAGGACGAACAAGGGTGGGTGGCGGTAGGGGCAGGCAGAGCATGGGCAGGCAGAGCATGGGCAGGCAGAGCATGGGCAGGCGCAGCATGGGCAGGTGCAGCATGGGCAGGCAGAGCATGGGCAGGCGCAGCATGGGCAGGTGCAGCATGGGCAGGCAGGACGAGTAGAGTGATGAGGGGCGTAATGGTGAGCGTGGATAGCTGCAGAGAGATGTGTGTGTGGGGGGGGCGGGAAATGGAGGGTGAGAAATGGTGTGCGAAGGCACGGGCAGGCGCAGCAGCAGCAGCCACAGCACGAGCAGAGCCACGAGAGGCGTTATGGCGAGCGTGGATGGCTGGAAGGAGGAGGGGGGTAGATGAGAGAAAGGGATAGAGGGAGGGAAATAGGAGACGAACGGTCATAAGGAGGCCATCCATGCAAAGGAGGTGGTTTGGCGAGTGTGCGGAAAGGAAAGAGGCTGTTGATGCGGATGGAAAAGAAAACGGCTGGGACGTGGTTGAACGGAGAGCTTGACACGAGCCGGCTCAGAGGAAAAGCACCAAGCCGTAGAGTAAAACGAGCCACGAGGAGCTGGCAGCTCTCATTTTTCTCATTTTTCTTAGGCGCCAAAAGAACACGGCATTTCCGGCTCATGGCTGGATCAGAAACAACGCACCGAGCCGTAGAGGAAGGCGGGCCACGAGCTGGCTGCTCTTTGGAGCTCCTCTAGGTCCAACGCTATGCCTGGTGTGGTGTGCGTGTTTCATGGGGGGTGACGTGGCATGAGAGGTGACGTGGCATGAAAGGTGACATGGATTGAGAGGTGACATGGCACGGGAGTACGTACAAATCCGCCTCAGACTCTTCAATCCCCACCCGGATTTCTTCAATCTTCACCCTACCCACTTGAGTGTCCTAACTTGACTCTACCATCCTTAATCTCATTTCTACCTGCTTTATACCACACCATACCCACCAGAAACAAAGAACATGCCGAAGGTGCAGTGGCGTGCGAGGCCGATCGTAGACTAAGCATTTGACCGAAGTCCCACTAGCCTAAACTGGTTACTTCCCACCATACCCACCAGAGACAAAGAAGATGCCGAACGTGCAGTAGCGGGCGAGGCCGATCTGTGACTGGGCGTAGATGCCAGGAGCAGGGTGCAGCACTGCCAGCGCAATTCCCGTGCTGATGGCTGCAGCACGGGCGGGTGGTGGTGGGGAGGGAAGGGTTATGAGTTTTTCGAGACCCATAGCAAAGTTGATCTTTGACTGGGCATAGATGCCGGGCAGGGTGCAGCACTGCCAGCGCGATTCCCGTGCTGATGGCTGCAGCAGAGGAGGGTGAAACGGGAGTGCCAAGCAGTGGTGATTAGTTAGTGCTGATAAGGCGTGGGGGAGAGGGGGGGAGGGGGGGGGGGGGGGGGGGGGGGGGGGGGGGGGGGGGGGGGGTGGGAGGATTGACGACGGGGATGGTGAGTTAGAGAAGTAGTCAGTTTAACAGATGGGGGCGCCGTGTCGTGTGCCATTGTAACAAGGTGACTTGTTAATGATGGCGGGGACGGGAGAAGGGGGTGGGACGTACGTGAATGCAGCTGGCTTCGAGGAATTTTAACTCACCAACGAGGAGAAAATTGCTGGTAACAAACGCGCGAACTCCCAGGGAGAACCTCGTGAGCGCTCCTTTTTCACGTTTCGTTTCCATCCCGCTGTCCGCATTCTGCGATGTGCCATCCAAACCAATATCACTTCTTTTCCTTCTCCCCACTCTTCCCTCGCTTGCGGTCGCCGAACCCCCCCGCGCGCTCAAAGCGTCTGCTGGCAAATCGCCGCCATTCCTCATTCTCCGTTCCTCACGATTCACAGACTCTTCTCCGCCTGCCTTCCCTGCGCTAGTTTCTTCCCCCGATCCTCCGCCTTCTGCTTCCCCCTCTCCTCCGCCTCCTGCTTCCCCCTCCCCTCTCGTCTCCGCCTCATCCACCAGTCCCGCTCCTCCGCCGACAGCTGCACCCAGAGTTCGTAAAGTGGGTTTATGTATTCTCCGGCCAGCTAATCCTAGTCCGACATAGCATCGGAAGCCTTCGGGGTTACACGCTGCTGATGACGATGATGCTGGGGTTACAGAAGAGATCAACCTCCGCGTTGGACGGCTTGGTATGCTGCTACTGGCAGAAGGTCGTGCTCCTCTCGTTATGGTTACCACTGACCTCATATTTACAGCTGGCCTGCAGGTTGTGGTTACCCCATTCTTCGTTAAACGTAAAATTTCGCTTCGATTCGTGAATGACGAAGTCCGTGCTGCGTTTTCCAGGCTCAAGCAGTCTGAAAAAGTGGACAGTTTTGCCGTCATGGCGCTTTCACTAGCCCAGGCCGTCATTCGCCGTTCCCACGGGTTCGCGAAGCTGGTTAAGCCGAAGAAGCTGGTGCTTTGATTCAACGTCACGCCGGCGTTATCATACGAAGCATACAGATGTCAATTGAAGTCTAACCTCAAGGCGTCCGTGAATCGCGGATAGATAGCTATTGAGCAATCTCATAAAAGTGGCTGTCGGTTTATCGAGTGTAAATGACTGGTCACCAATTACAGCTTTGCGTTTTAAAACGTTTGAAACAGCTTTCACAACGGCTGAGTGAGGTATTGAGTGCAAATGACCGGTTCACACTGCACGCCTCAACGGTTTATGGTCACGGCACGGATAAGCCATTCTGGCATTTCAGTTGGATCAGCCAACTTCAAACCACACACACGCACTAACCGCCAAGTGACGTGGCTTCCGAATACGAGTTCGATCGGATAATCTTGTTCGTCAATTTCAGTCAGTCGAAGTGTTGTGCAACTCAACGGCTTTCATTCGTTGGATCAACACCTTTCATTGGTTGGCTGATAAAAGCGGCTCGAAAATGACGGATTTCTCCGTTATTAATGACCTCGATATTTTGCGAATATCAGAGCGGCTGCTCAATTTCGTCCTAGGTCTGTAATATATTTTTCTTCGAACTGCATTTCCGCAGCTGACTGCGGCTTCGTCCAGCACAGAAACACATCCTAAAGAACGTCGAGCGCTCGTTTACATCACCCTCCAGACAATTAGTTCATCCATGCCGTCCATTTCGTCATCGCCGTTACGTTGCCGTGAAGCTAACCGTCACGCTTTCATCGTAACAGCCATGCTGTCCTGAGGTGTTTGTCGCTGAACGCACCGCAATGTACCGCAATCACCCTCTCTTATAACATTCTAAACCGTACTGTTCGCATTTCACAACCCCTCCGTTTCCGATTTACCTCACTGTACCTCGACAATGCTGCAAGTCCAGCCAGTCCCGACTCGGACGCCCACACACAAGCGTTTCTTTTCTATTTTCATGGCTTCCAGAAGAACGTAATCCATGCCACTTCCATGTGGCACACCTCGAGTCACGACACGACGAGCATAAGCTGCATTGTCCGTACCTCACACGTCCCCCTCGTGGCTGCTTACGTGGTCCTTCAGCTTGCTGCCGTAACGTAACCGACTGGTCTCTTCCGCGCTGACCCTCGTCAACGGTTCATTCTCTTCCCTCCATTCCGTGAAGCTACATAGCAGAGGGGCTAAGATATCTAGGCCGCTTCCATCATCCTTTTATTTATCGTAATAGTAGATACTAAGGCTTATGACCTTGCTTTCGGAGAGTAGTCTAGCCATATTGCGAGCAGCTAAGGGTAGTCCTACTCTTGCCTGCATTTTACCTTTCCTCACTTCTCAGCTGACTTCTTACGCTGACTCCGACCATCATCCCGCTCCCAGCCGAACAAACTTAGCTAAGTTCATGAGAGTCTTCGCGCCGTTTTATCCAGCTCGGCTTCGTTTACGTAGCAGCATGTAATTAGGTTTTAAACCCAAGCTTGAGCAGCTCCCGTCCTCTGTGGCGTTATCAAGACTATAGTTGAATGATTGGTGCCACCAAATAAACGCGTTATAAGGGCTGGTTCTTTATCAGGACAGCATGACGTCATCAGCCACCGACCAAACTGGAGCCTCTCCCTCGAGGCTCTGGATGGTGGAAGCAAACTCCGTCAAGAACATGGAACTGAACGGTGCTCTGTTAACGTTAGCGTTACACGACCGGCAGAAGCAGCTGGAGAAGGAAGCTGCGGAGAAAAGAGGAGAGGGGGTTACCGGAGGTAGAGACACGGATGGGGAAGGAGGAGAGGTAGTGCCTAGCCAAGATGAAGGAGGAGGAACCAAGGGAGGATTGAATCCGAGTCCGGGGATTGAGATTGGGCTGTGCTTCGTGGCAGGAGAAGGGCTCGGCATATGTGAGTAACGTTGCCCTAATCCCTCGTGTGTCATGGTATGGTATGTGTAGCAGAGGAACGCTTAGTGAGGTGAGGTGAGAGCATGTTTCCATTCCGTTGCCTCTGCATTCTCCTGCTTTTCCCATCTCGTGCTGCAGGCGCTGCTGCAGGCGCTGCTGCAGGCGCTGCTGCAGGCGTTGCTGGAGCAATGTGGGCAGGCGCGGGTGCCTGTGCGCGTGCACGTGGAGTGGGGACGGCAGCGAGATGAGCTCTACTGAAACACCCTCTTTCCCCTCCCCCTTCCCCTCCTACCCCTCCTCCCTCCCAGTGGGTGCGGCCCTCCAGCAGAAAGGCAAGGCAGCAGCGAGGGAGAGTTGTCTCCAGTGCTGAAGGCGCTGCTGCAGCCTCTCCTGGAACAGTGCGGGCAGGCGCGGGTGCATGTGCGCGTGCACGTGGAGTGGGGGCAGAGGAGGGAAAAGCCTCTACTGAACACCCTTAATTCCCTCTGCTTCCCACCCCCTGCCCCTCTTCCTGCCCCTTCCCCCGCCCCTCCCTCTGCACCGCCTCCCCTCATCCCTCTCAGTGGGCGCGGCCCTCCAGCAGAAGAGCAGCGGGGGCGGCAGCGAGGGGGTATCCCCTGTACTACAAGCGCTGCTGCAGCCTCTCCTGGAGCAGTGTGGGCAGACGCGAGTGCCTGTGCGCGTGCACGTGGAGTGGGGGCAGCGGAGGGACGAGGCTCTGTGCCAGGCCGTGCGGGCCACCGCAGCAGAGCGCCTATACGTGGGGAACAAGAGGTGGGTGCTGCTGGGTGGGTGTGTAATGTACGCTGGTGCAAGGGGTTACGTCCCTTGAAGGCTCTGTGCCAGGTCGTGCGGGCCACAGCAGCAGAGCGCCTTTACGTTGGCAACAAGAGGTGCGCGTGGGGGGATGAAGGGGGTGGCCTGTGCACGTGCACGTGGACGTGGAGTGGGGGCAGCGGCAGGACGAGGCTCTTTGTCAGGCCATGACGAGGATGACGAGGTGAGCTGGTTGCTTTGTTGTGCCTTGTCTACCCCCTGAATGCAGCCAGGCAACCAGGCCCGTGGCACGGCAATCAGTATCAGACTTCTCCCCCTCCAAACTACCTACCTACTTGTCTCCCCCTTCTCCCTTCCATTTCTCCTCCGCTCCCACCACCTCCTTCCCCCTCTCCGCCCCTCAGGTTTGTATTCCGCCTCCTCACTCAATCCACACACCCCTTGCTCCGCCGCCTCCCCCCTGGATGCATGCTAGTCGTGGGTCAACCAGGCACAACCTCCTCCTCTTCCTCCTCCAAACGCTCACGCAAAGTTAAATCACAAAGCAAAGGCAACCCCTCCAGTCCAAACCCTGCCGCCTCGGCGTCGCCTCGCTTCCCCGAATCGCATTCCTCGTCTTCTTCTGCCACTCCGGCTTCACGTAAAGCTGGCTTCTCTGGCTCTTCCTCCTCCTCCTCTGCAGCACATGCTCCTTCTGCCACCACCGCCACCACCACCACCGCCGCTGCTGCTGCTGGTTATCCTGCTGATGAACACTGTTACGACAATGACGGCCTCGAAAACGACGCTGAAAGTGACAACGACAACGACGATAATGAAGATGACTATAACGAGGATGAGGATGAGGAGGATGATGATGATGGGTACGATGCGGTGTGTCGGCCCAAGTCCTCCTTCACAATAGCAGACTGGGAGGCAGAGCTGCAGCGGGTGGCCATCGGGCAGCAGCGGATCGTGTCTCTGTGGGACAGAGCGGAGGTGGCGGGTCGTGTCCGTGCTGGGAGTGCTGCCGCCGCCTTGGGAAGCCCTGGTGGGGTCGCAGCAGCTGGTAGCGGCTTTGGTGCTGGTGCTGCTGGTGCTGGTGCTGCTGGTGCTGGTGGCGCTGCTCCTGGTGGTGTTGGTGGTACTGCTGGTGGTGGGGTGCCAGCGGTGCTGCTGCCAACACCGTCCACGGTGCATGAGGAGCAGCATCAGCAGCAGGTGCTGAAGCAGCTTCAGCTGCTGCAGCAGCAGAAACAGCAGCAACAGCAGCAGCAGCAGCAGCAGTAGCAGCACCTGCCTGAGCAGCAGCAGAACCTGCCCGTCGGGCAGCGAAAATTCCGTCCGCTGCGAATCATCGTCCCAGATAGCACCTCCCCGCACCCGTCCCGCGCTCCCACCCCCAGCCCTGGCTGCCTTAGCGCCTCCAGCAGAGACGGGCTAACCCCAGGTGAATCCTCAGGTGCTTTTGGTCCGTATGCTGGGAACAGTAACACAATGAACAGTAACACGGGGTTCAGCCGTGCGTCTAGCCACGACAACCCTAATTCACTCGTCCCTCTAGCCTCACCCAGAGGCTTTTCTCTCCCTGGAACCAGCCCAGGGGCTTTAACCCCCGGAGGCTTAACAGGAGCAGGAGCCGGAGGAGCAGGAGGAGGGGTGGGGGGGAGAGGAGGGGGCGTGGGAGAGGAGGCGGGTGCGGCAGGGGAGAGAGCAGGAGCAGCAGCAGCTGCAGCAGCGGTGGCAGGGGCAGGGGCAGCAGCAGGGTCGAACAGTGGGCCGGTGTCAGAGGCGGACCGGCAGCGCATGATGCGGCTGCAGCAGCAGATGCGGCAGCAGTTCACTGGGCTGCAGAAGATTCTCGTGGAGCAGCACAAGCCGTCCCCCGTGCACCCTGCTCTGATAGGCGCGCAGCAGCAGCAGCAGCAGGGGAAGAAACAGGGGCAGCAGCAGGGGCAGCAGCAGCAAAAGCAGCAGGAGAAGCAGGATCAGCAGCAGCAGCAGCAGCAGCAAGGAAGAGCACACCACACCCGCAGGCACTCAGGCTCCTCCTCCTCTGCCTCCATCACCCCGCAGGGCACCCCCCCTCCCCACCCCCCCAGGGGGCGAGGCTTATTCCCCTCTTCCTCCTCTGTCAGTGGCACTACCAGCACCAGCAGCAGCAGCAGCAGCAGGGGGGACAGGGAGGGTTTGGCAAGGGGACCGGGCCTGGGGATAAGGCATATGGTGGGGATAGGTCTCAGGGGGATAAGTCTCCTCTGTGGAAGGGGCTGGAGAGTGTAGCAGCTGGTCTTTCCGCGATTCACTCTGACATGCAAGCTGCCAAGATCTCAGGCGGACGTTCAGGCGGTTTCTCAGGTGGTTTTTCGGGTGGGTTTTCAGGTGGGCGGTCCGGGTGGCATTCACACCAGGGGAGCGAGGATTTCCATGGGAAGGGGAACGAGTTTGAAGGGATCGATACGAGCCTACTCATCGTTCCTCGCATCGGTCCAACCTCAGCCTCGGGAGCAGGTTCGGCGGCAGGTTCGGGAGCAGCTTCGGTAGGCTCGCCGTCGCCGAACGTAACCCCACTTACAGGTCCGGTGGCGGGTAGAGGGACCGGAGGGATGAAGGTTTCACGGACAGTATCGCACGAGCAAGCAATAGGGGGAGGGAGGAAGGTAGGAAGGGAGGGAGGAAGCAAGGGGGAAAGCGAGGGCGGGAGAGGAAAATCGAAGGGGGAAAATCGCTTTGAAAAGGGATTGAAGGGAGAGGAGTCGCCAGCTGTTCCACAGCAGCCTGTGGTGGTGGGGAAGAAGCTGTGGGTGACCGGCAGGAGGAGCATGGGGAGTGAGGGGGAGATGGGGGTAGGGGTAGAGGCAGTGGCAGCAGAGGTTGCAGGTACAGCAGGGTTTGGTGCAGCGCTGGCAGCAAGAGACGGGTCAAGAGATGGTGGGTCGTGCGGTGCTGCCAGCCCTGCTAACAGCAGCAGCAGCAGTAATCCTGGAATGGGGAGCAATGAGCAGCAGGCATTCCCCATCCCCTTCCCTTCCTCGTTCTCTTCCTCGTCCTCCCAAGCCGGGTTCCAAACCAGCCGGGTAGACTCGGCGGACTGCCACCGTTTCCCCCCGGACCAGATTCTTCGAGCCACGGGGGGGTTCTCGCCCTCTCAGCTGATTGGCCGAGGCAGGCTCGGGCCGAGCTACCGGGGCGAGATATTCGGATGCCAGGTGGCAATCAAACTGCTAACTGTGCATCACGAGGCGTCTGTAAGAACAGAGAAGAACGAGAAGACTGAGAAGAATGCAGAAGATGGGGCAGAGGGAGGAGCAACGCAGGAAGGAGAGAAAATGGTGGTGGAGGGAGATGGTGCTGCTGTTGCCTCATCGGGTGCGTTTGGTTCCTTTGGTTCCTCCGGTCTCCTTGATCCGTCCACAGAAGGGGAGGTCAGGTGTCCCGAGAGAGAGTACAAGCAGCGGTGCAGGCAGCGGTGCAGGCAGCAGTGGACGTGCTGAGGCGTCTCAGGCATCCCCACCTGCTGCTGCTGATGGGTCACTGCCCTGAGTACCCCTGCCTTGTGTATGAGTTCGCTCCTGGGGGCAGCCTCTCTGCTCGCCTCTCCCGCATCCACTCCCTCATTGCTGCTGCCACCGCTGCTGCCGCTGGTGATGGTGGTGGTGGTGCTGCTGCTACTGCAGCAGAGGAGGGTGCTGGTAACAGCAGCAGCGGTGCAGGGGGCGGTGCCGCTGCTTCTCCTGCCCGAGAAAGGATGACTTATGGGGAGGAGGAGGAGGAGGAGTTGGACACGCTGTGGCTCTCGTGGGTGGACCGGCTTCGACTGGCATCTGAGCTGGCAGGCGCGCTGCTCTTCATGCACCAGCACTCGCCGCCCGTGCTGCACGGCGCCCTGACTCTACAGAACGTGCTTCTAGACCGCAACTCCGCGTGCAAACTCAGCGGCGCTGGCCTCTCCTTCTCCTCATCCTCGTCTCACTTCTCTGGCAGTCCAGGATACAGCTCTGCCTCTGCCACTGCTGAGTCTAACCCCAGCAGCAGCGCAGCAGCAGGAGTGGAAGGTCCATGCCAGCATGGCAGCAGCAGCACGGGCGTACTAAGTGACGATGTGCATGCCTATGGTATTGTGGTGTTACAGTTGGTAACCGGCATCACCAGCCCATCACTGATCCTCTCCCTCATGCATACGTACCCAGCAGCAGGAGGGGAAGCTGAGGGAGGGGTGTCTGGGGGAGGTGTTACCTGTGGGTTCAATTTGGCTGAAGCTGTCGACATATTTTTGAGCCGACTGGATGTGACGGCGGGGGAATGGCCTGTTGAAATGGCATCTGTTGTGGTGCTCCTGGCGCTGCGCTGTGCTTCAGGGCAGGCGGAGCTTCGGCCGGACCTGGCGGCTGAAGTGCAGCCGGCTCTGTCAGCTTTGGCTCGGGAAGCGGAGGAGAGTTTTGGGCGGGCAGCCCGGCAGATGCTGCGGTCTGCCTTGAGAAAGCGGGACTATACGTGCTTTCAAAAGCGGGTGGTAAAGGTATGTCGTGCTGTGATATAATTGTTGTAATGGTGTGTGTGTGTATGTGTGTGTGTGTGTGTGTGTGTGTGTGTGTGTGTGTGTGTGTGTGTGTGTGTGTGTGTGTTTAATGTCCTTGTAACAGTGCTTGACATGTTCTTTTGCTCTTTTTTCTTCATGCAGATTGAGGGTGAGGCATCTCCTGCAGCTGTTCATGACACAACAAAGCATCACAGAGTTAGGAAGCTGATGGAGTCTCTGGTTCCTCACAAGTCTCCTTCGATGCGTGCGAAGGGATGGATGAGAACAAAATCTATCAAGGGATAGGCACTTAGAGCCTGCAAAATCCTTTGCTGACAAATGCTTGATATCAGGTTTCTGTAGTCTTTTAGTGGCAATGATCATTATAAAATACCGTAGTTTTTAGGAGCAGTCGTTAGTCGGTTTTATGGTAGATGTGAAAGTACACCGACGCATGGTAATTGTAGCACAAGTGGAGGCTGGGTGCTCGCTCGCGCGCTCTGCTCTGATTGGGCGTTGTCCCACCCCACTCTCGGCTGACACACTTCCTGACGGAGCCGCAGTCACCCATTTCCAACCGCCAGTGAACGGAAGCAGAGGGATGGATGTGGCGGACGGAGAATGCTGACAGGACACCAGCAATCGACGTTTCTCAGTTAGCAGTGACCACTCCAAAGAGTGCTGCTGGACGGAGTTTTACGTATCTCCGTTCATTTCTGTCAGGGAGCCAGAGAGGCAGCAGCATTGTGCCAGGGAGTTCGCAAGGGAATTCGTCTTATCTCACAGAATCCTGAAGCTCAATGGTTGTTATCACCTGGCTGATTTATGTCTGTCTGTGCAGCCATTATCAGTGCTCAACGGTCGATTTCTTAGCCTTTTGATGAGCTAGCGTGGCTCCATTGTCCTTGATCATTCACTTCAGACTATTCTACCGTTCGGTTGATGTGCCTGTGAAAGCTTTAAATGGTAAATTTGTTCGTTCGTCAGTCTGCGTCGCCGTCTCAGACGTGCTGTTCGTGCCTTTAATATCTGTTGTTCTGTGGTAGGCTTCCGCGAAAGTGAGTCCTCTCCACCTCCTCCTGATTGCTCGTATTTTCGGCCTCGATTCGGCTTTCCATCAGGTAGGACAGATATAATACTGTTACGGAAGCTGGCTTACAATAGTAGGGTTGGGTAGTTTATTGTAAATTGAACTTTTCTTTTCTACGTTAGATTCTAAATTCGGTTGTAGATTGTACCGGTCATGCCTCAATCAGCCGTAATTAGACGTCGAGTCAGCAACGAAGGCAGCGCAGTACGATCCACCCTTCAAGAGCCGCTACTGTCATGCGACGACAGACACGACGACGACGACCGAAGCGATCCGCCTGCGACGTCTGCGACATGTGCGAATCCCGCGAATGGTGTCGCCAGCCCAAGTGCAGACGCGAAGGTATGTCTGTCAGTGACGCTCTTCGGAGCCATGAATGTGGTATTGAACTTGAATAGTCATGGCGATTAACGAATTACATGCTGACGGCGCACCATGTTTTTGTGCAGATAAGATACGGCATACTCTTCAGTTTGGACGTTGTAGCATCTTTTATACCTCGTTTTATTAACCGTCCTCCATAACCCCATACGTTCCTCAAGAATTAAGCATCTTACATGCATCGTCTTTCCGTCGATATGTTATTTCCTTACAAGGCATCTATTTGCTTGGTTTGCAAAATTACATGTCTCCAGGCGTCGCCTTCGCTAGCGATTCACCCGCGTGTTGTCAGCCTTTCTGTCTGACTCGTTTTGTTTCGTGACTCTTTTCGTCTTGACGGACGTCCTTCATTGCGTTCCCTCTGTTACCTGATGAACTTTTTTTATGCCGTTCATTTGACGGAAATTGTGTTTTTGTGCAGACGCCCGGATCCCCAAGGCCAGGGGAAGGCAGTTCGAGAGTGTGGCAGCACCTTCTCGGATCTTTCGTCTTCCAATGGGCCTCATGGCTAGGTGGGTCTAGTATCATCATTCTCTTCTTCTTTTTCCTTCTCTACTTTTACAAAGAGCTTCACAATGACACTAGTAATGTTGTTGAGTGCTTAGGACGAATGCAGGCATAACAGGATAAGATTGATTCTTGGATCCCCCTTCTTCCCGTGACTCACTTCCTTACCCCACTACTCTTCCCCAATCTCGCCCCACTCCCCTGCCACCAGGCCAGCTCATGGCGGGTGCACGCACCAAAGTTCTTGCTCTGGGCGGCTCTTTTGCCTCCACGCTGCTGCTCCCCCCGCACGCGCGCGCACCCTCCCGCGGAGGCCCCCCGCAGTTGCGCGGGGGAGTCCCCGCCCTCCCCCCCATCACCCTCTCCGAGCCCCAGGAGCGGTGCCTGAAGCAGCTACAAACGAGGATACAGCCGCCTTTTGAAAACGACAAGGAGGAGCATAGATTGGCGCTGGTAGAGCTGTGGGAGCAGGCGTATCCGGGGCGGGTGTTGACTGAAGAGGTGGAGGTGGCGGGGTGGAAGGAGATGGGGTGGCAGGGGAAGAACCCGGCCTCGGATTTCAGGGGCGGGGGTTTTTTCGCGCTGGAGAATCTGGTGTACTATGCTCGCACGTACCCGGTACGTTGGGGGAGGTGTGGGGGGACTGGGCAGGTTATGATGGGGGGTTTGGGAAGTGGGAGGGGGGTGTGAAGTGAGGGGGTGTCAAGAATGGGGATGCGAGAAATGATTTCAAGGAACAGCCTCTTTGAGAAGTTTTCTTTGAGATTCTGTAGTTAACACAAACTGCATCTCATTGTGAGTTTTTTTTCTTCACATGTGATTCGCCTTGTGCAGAGGTCGTTTCAACGTATTATGCACAAGCAGGAGGGTCGCAGGGCAGAGTGGGAGTACCCCTTTGGAGCAGCAGGGGTGAACATCACCGTACTCCTAATAAGCATCCTCGACTTGCGCAAAGGTGAGCGTCCGGGTCTGAAAGACTATCACACGTCCCTCCCTGTCCAGGAAGGCAGGCAAACTCTTCCCTCCCTCACACCCCTCACACCCCTCACACCCTCACATCCCTCACATCCCTCACATCCCTCCCAACCCTCACACCCTTCACAATTGAGTATCTCTGCTGTGTAACTTTTGAGACATTGGATGGGCCGTTCCCTTTTCCATCTCTGGATTCCCTTCCCTTGTCCATTCCCCCCCTGCCAATCTCCCTCTAGACATCCCCGCAACGGTTGCTGGACGGGCCTTCCTGAAGATCCTACCAGAGCACCCCACGGCGTTTGAGGATCTCTACTGTGTGACGTTTGAGATGCTCGATGCTAACTGGCTGGAGCTCAAGGCGTCTTACATGGAGTTCAATGTGAGTCAACCATGTGCACACACAGAGGTGCATGGACTGATGCACACAAGCGTTGTGTGTCCATCATACTGTCTGACGTTCGAGATGCTGGATGCTGACTGGTTGGAGGTCAAGGAACGATACATGGAGTTCAAATGTGAGTCAAATGAAGTCACTAGGGCACACCATTTGTACCAGCCCGGATTCTGCTCTCACACCCATCCTCCCCCCTTGCTCACATGCCTATCCCCTCCCTCAGGCGGTCATGCAAGCCACTAGGGCAGAGCTGGAGCGCCATATGTGCCAGCCTTAACTCTGTTCTCACGGTCTTGCCTTTTGCTCACAACCCCCCTTCTCCACTCAGGTCGTCATGCAAGCCAAGCGAGCGGAGCTGGAGCGTCATCTATGCCAGCCCAAAGTCTGTTCTCACTGTCTTGCCCCTTGCTCACAACCCCCTTTCTCCACTCAGGTCGTCATGCAAGCCACGCGAGCAGAGCTGGAGCGCCACATGTGCCAGCCCAGCTTCACTGCCATCTCCGACCTTCCCGTCTTCGCCAGACTCACAGCAGAGTAGCCCACCCACCCACCCACCCACCCGGACACAAACATGCATGCACACTCCTTCCTACCAACCTCTCCCTTCACCAGCCCAGCTTCACTGCCATCTCTGACCTTCCCCGCCTTCGCCGCATTCACAGCAGAGTAGCCTGCCTTGCCCGCACACATGCATTGCATGCCCCCAAAGTGGGGAATAGGAGCCTTGGTTCACACTCTAGCGGATGGGCCCACTAGTTTTGTTTGTTTCATCATGTAGCTAAATCACTCGTATCCTGATATAGTGTAAGGCAGGTCGATTTGTTTGTGAATGCTTTGGTGTAGCTGGTGTATTATCCAGTGTCTGCTTGCTCTGATTGTTTGTTTGAATACATCCCATAGTAACTGCAGGCCAGTCAAATCGCAGCCCCGACAGTATTATCATCAAGCCCCGACACTGCTAGTAAGCTAATTTGTACACACCTTCAACTGTATTCAAATGTTGAGAGAACATGGAAAACATAGCACGGATGCACATTTCACAGCGTGACACAGAGGGACAGGCATGGGAAACACCCTAAGAAACACAAGATTGCTCCTGCTCACCAGTACCATCAATCGGTGATAGGTAACCCTGCCGTTGATGTTATTGCCGATCATGCTCGCCACCCTCCCACGCCCTTGCTGGCTTGGTAATATGTCCAGACGCACACAACCGCGTGACCGAACGGAAGAAAAAACGCTCGGAACGAGCGTTTTCATCCCCAAAACGCGGACGGATCCGCACATGTGCAGAAAATGCACCTGGCATGGTTCATTCGCCAGTACCAATGACCGATCATGCTCGCCACCCTTCCACGCTCGTGCTGGCTTGGTAATAGGTCCAAACGCAAACAGCCGTGTGACCGAATAGAAGAAAAACGCTCGGAACGAGCGTTTTCATCCCCAAAACGCGGAAGGATCCGCACATGTGCAGAAAGTGCATCAGACATGGTTCATTCGCCGGTACCAATGACCGATCATGCTCGCCACCCTCCTACGCTCTTGTTGGCTTGGAAATAGGTCCAAACGCACACAACCTGTTAGATTATATGTAATGTGTTGGTAGGCTGTAGTGGGGTAGACAATATAGGGTACAACCCATTAGGGTTAGGTGCTTGTACTCTTGTTCCTTTTCAATGCACATCATTCTTGCCTAGCATCTTGACATGGTTTCAGAGCAGGAGGTCCCTAGGACCTACCGACCTTTTTTTTTTAGGGCCCACCGTCGCACGCATGCGGTTACCACGCTACCCCGTGCCCTAGCCTCGATGCGCCCTCGTTGCGCCCTAGCTGCGCCCTCGTGCGCCCTCGTTAGCGCCCTCGTGCGCCTCTCGTTAGCGCCCTCGCGCGCCCTCGCTGCGCCCTCGCGCGCCCCTCGTTAGCGCCCTCGCGCGCCCTCGTTAGCGCCCTCGTGCGCCCTAGCTGCCCGCCGCGCTGCCCGCCGTCGCGCTGCCTGCAGCGCTGCCGCGCTGCCCGTCGCGCTGCCCATCGCGCTGCCCGCCGCGCTGCCCGCCGCGCTGCCCGCCGCGCTGCCCGCCGCGCTGCCCGCCGCGCTGCCCGCCGCGCTGCCTACCGCGTCGCCCGCCCGTCGCGCAGCCCGCTACGCTCGCTGCCCGCCGCGCTGTCCGCCGCGCTGCCCGCCGTGCTGCCCGCTCGGCTGCCCGCCCGTCGCCCTAGTTCGCGCCCTCGTGCGCCCCTCGTTAGCGCCCTCGTGCGCCCGCGCTGCCCGCCCGTCGCGCTGCCTGCCGAGTCGCCCGCCCGTCGCGCAGCCCTCTGCGCTGCCCGCCCGCCGCGCTGCCTGCCCGTCGAGCTGCAAGCCGCGCTGCCCGCCAGCCGCGCTGCCCGCCGCGCTGCCCGCCGCGCTGCCCGCCTCGCCTGCTGCTCCCTGCCCGTGCACCGCCGCTTGCTCCTGCTGCGGCTGCTAGCTTCGCTCTAGCGCGTCCCCTCTGCTGCTGCCGCTGCTCTGCTGTGCCCTCACGCCTGAGCTATGGCCTCTATTCGCGTTCTTTCCTTCGATGCTGAGGGCCGTCCCGTGCAGTTGTATCTTATGAGCAATAGCACGGACAATGTCTCCCTCTATGACTACGCGTCTGGTGCTGCCGCTGCTCCTGCTGCCACAGCCGAGCTTAGTGTACGTTCCCAGTGGCAGACTCGTGACACTACAGCTCGCCTTGCTATCCGCAGTCACCTGCCGTTCGCTGAGCTAGAGCACTTTGGCGACTGCAAAACCGCTAAGGCCCTTTACGACGCTGTCGTTGCTCGCTACTCCTCACCTGCCACAGCCGAGCTTAGCCGCCTCATGCTGCCTTACCTGTTCCCTGAGCTGTCCACCTTTGCTACAGTCGCCGATCTCATCACCCACCTTCGCACTAGTGACGCTCGCCTGCGTGCCGCCCTTCCCACCGAGTTCTGCGCTAAGAACCCCCCTCCACTGTACTGGACGCTCCATTTCATAGTCACCCGTCTCCCTGACACCCTCAGCTCAGTCCGAGACTACTTCCTTGCCCGCTGTCCCACTGAGCTCACAGTCGCCCTCCTAGAGGAGAAGCTGCTAGCAGCCGAGAAGAGCATTGTAGCTGTAGGTGCTGCTCGTGGCGCTCCTCGCACCCCCATCTTTGAGGGGTGTTCTCCCTCTCCCCTCGCTCCCTCCTACGCTACTGCTGCTGCTGTTGACCTCCTTGGCACTGAGTCTGCTGGCGCTGCTTCTGCTCCTGGTGGGAGGCGCCGCACCGGCAAGGGCAAGGGGGGCAAGGGTGGTGGTGGTGGCGCTGGGGGGGGAGGAGGTGGGGGAGGTGGGGGGGGAGGCGGTGCTGGAGGGAGCGGTGGCGGGAGTGCTGGTGGGGGTGGAGGCAGCGGTGGGGGTGGGGGCGGCGGCGGGAGTGGTGGCAGCGGTGGCGGCGGTGGCAGCGGTGGTGGCAGTGGTGGCGGTGGCGGCGGCAGCGGTGGCGGTCGGAGCGGCGGTAGTGGCGGCGGTGGTGGTCGGAGTGTGGGCCTCAGCTCGGGCCAGCCCTCGCAGCAGCAGCAGCGTCCTCAGACGACCCAGCAGCTCCGTGAGTGGCTTGCTCAGCGTGGGACGTCGGGAGGCAGTGGTCGCTGTTCCTATGTCATTCGCACAGGTGAACGCAAGGGGCAGAAGTGTGGGAGGTTCCACACCCAGTACCGCTGCTTCTCCCGCCTTGACGACGCTTGGCGTGAGGAGATGGGCGAGGAGGTTGAGCGCCCCCGCTGGGCTGATCTGATGAGGGCTGGTGTTGATATCTTTGCTCTTGATTATGATGCTATTATTGCTGCCATGTATGCATTGACTGTTAGTGCTGAGGGGGACTGTTACTTGTGTGTGCCGCCTGACCCAGGTATAGAGCCCACTGCCCTAGGTACCAGCGAGTCTGCTCTCTCAGGTACTGTGCCTTCCGAGGCTACTCCCTTCGGTACACCCCCTCCTGCTAGCGAGTCTGCGCTCTCCGGTACTGCGCCCGCTGAGGCCTTGCACACCTTCACGCTTGACTCAGGTGCTTCCCGCTGCTTCTTTCGTGACAGTACTGAGCTCACTCCCCTCCCTGCACCAGTTCCAGTCTCCCTGGCTGACCCCTCCGGGGGTCCAGTTCTTGCACGGTCTACCACTGTGCTTCCCTGTCCGGCGGTTCCGTCTGGCTCGTTGTCGGGTTTCCACCTCCCCTCGTTCTCTACGAACTTGGTGAGCAACGCTGTTATCCAGGATCACTGGGTTGACACCTTCACCCCTGGAGGACAGCGTGTGGCGATCTGTACGTGCTCTAGGACTGGCCGCCACCTGGCTACACACTGACCACTGGCCGTCTCCTGGCCTTCACTCGTCAGCCGGGGTCGAGTCTCTACACACTGACCACTGTGTCTCCTCAGGTCGCTGCTGTTGGTCAGGTGTCTGCGTCAGGTCTAGTAGCCCACCCCTGTGAGTGTCGCTCCCTGTCGCACCAGACCCTTCTCTGGCACCACCGCCTGGGTCACCCCTCCTTGCAGCGCCTTCGTGGCATGCACCGTCATCACCTTGTGTCCGGTCTTCCCCGGTCTCTCCCTCCCCTCCCTGCCTCGCCTGCGCCGCCTTGCCTTCCTTGCGTCGAGGGGCGGCAACGCGCCGCTCCTCACTCCTCCTCGTTTCCCCCGACCGAGGCTCCTCTGCAGACCCTCCACCTGGACGTGTGGGGCCCGGCCCGCGTCCGTGGACAGGGCGGTGAGCGGTACTTTCTGCTGGTTGTCGACGACTACTCGCGTTACACCACGGTCTTCCCCTTGCGCACCAAGGGTGAGGTCCCTGCTGTTCTGATCCCTTGGATCCGCACAGTTCGTCTCCAGCTCCGCCGCCGGTTCAGGACAGAGCTTCCTGTCCTGCGTCTGCACTCTGACAGAGGTGGTGAGTTCTCCTCTGACCTCTTGAGGGCCTTCTGTCAGGCGGAGGGCATCGAGCAGTCCTTCACGCTTCCGGACTCCCCGCAGCAGAATGGGGTTGCAGAGCGCCGCATTGGCCTGGTCATGGAGGTCGCTCGTACCTCCTTGGTTCATGCGGCGGCTCCCCATTTTCTGTGGCCGTTTGCTGTCCGGTACGCGGCGCATCAGCTCAACCTCTGGCCCCGTGTCTCCTTGCCGGAGACCTCGCCCACACTGCGTTGGACGGGGGAGGTCGGCGATGCGTCGCGCTTCCGGGTGTGGGGTTCTCGTGCCCTTGTCCGCGATACTTCCGCGGACAAGCTCTCCTCCCGCACACTTCCCTGTGTCTTCCTTGGCTTTGTCCCTGACGCGCCAGGCTGGCAGTTTTACCACCCCACCTCGCGCCGGGTCTTCGCCTCTCAGGACGTCACCTTTGACGAGTCGGTTCCTTTTTACCGTCTCTTCCCCTACCGCACTGCCCCCCTCCCCCCCCCCCGCTTTTCCTTGCTCCAGGTCCCCCTCCGCTCGACCCCCTTCCCCCTCAGGGTCCTGCTCCTTCAGGTGTCTCTCAGGTAGACCCTCCTCCCGTCGCTGAGCCTGTCGAGGTCACAGGTGACTCAGGTGCTGCTGCGGGTGGTGCTGCTAGGGGTGCTGAGCCTGGGGGTGCTGAGCCTGGGGGTGCTGAGCCTGAGGGTGCGGAGCCTGGGGGTGCTGAGCCTGAGGGTGCGGGGCCTGGTGGTGCTGTGCCTCGAGTTGCTGCGTTTGGGGGTGCTCAGGGTGTTGAGTCGCCTCTCCGGGAGCCTCTCACACAGCGGCAGCTCCGTGAGTGGTACGTCCGGCGCTTTCGCCTTCCGCGTGGTGCAGCTGGAGCTGGAGGCGCTGAGACTGGGGACACTGGTGCTGGAGGTTCTGGCGGTGCTGCAGCTGCTGGTTCTGGGGGTGCTAGTCCTGGAGGTACTGCGGCTGCCGGAGCTGGTTGTTCTGGAGGTCCTGAGCCTGGTGCCACTGGAGCTGGAGACACTGGAGCTGGAGGTACTGGAGGAGCTGGTTCTGCTCGTTGTCGCGGTGCTCCGTCTGAGGGAGCTGAGCCTGTGCTTGAGGGGTCTGGGTGTGCTGCGTCTGGGGGTGCTGAGTCTGGGGGTGCGTCGCCAGTGGAGGCTGCGCCCTGGACTGGCCGCCTTCGTTCGCGTGTTCCTCTCACCTCCCAGCAGCTGCACGACTGGTTCGGTCGCCGTCAGCGTCGCCCTCCTGGAGCTCCGGGCTCTACTGCTGGTGGTGCCTCTACTGCCGCCCCTGGAGCTGAGAGTGGTGCTGGTTCGTTGTCTCCTGGAGGTACTCCCGTCGCTGGTCCCGGAGGTGCTCGTACCGCTGGTACTCGAGCTGCTGGGGCTGGTGGTGCTGTGTCTGAGGGTGCTACCGCTGGGGACGCTGCGACTGGAGACCCTGGGACTGGAGGTACTGGTTCTGGGGGTGCTGCTGCTAGTGGGGACAGTCCTGGAGGAGCTGACACTGGGGGTGGTGGTGTCGCTGGAGGTGCTGGAGCTGCTGGTGCTGGCGGTACTGTACAGTCGCGCCTGTTCTTCGCTCCGCCGTCGCCGTCGTCTCTGCCGCCGTCTGACTCTGTCCTTCGCCAGGTTCTTAGTCTTCCGTCTTCTACTGGTCTTCCGTTACTGCCTGGCTCGCCCTTGCCTGCTCCTTCTCCTTACACTGAGCAGTCAGGGGGTCTTACTGAGCGTCGTGAGCCTGCGTCGCGTCCTGTCTTGCCTGTTCGTTCTGGTCGTTCCGCTCGCCGCGTCTCGCACCAGCGTTCGCCGCCTGTTGCTGGTTCTCGCCTTGTCGTCCGTCGTCCCTCCTCTGTACCACAGTCGGTTCCTCTGCCGTCTCCTCCTGCGTCTTCTTTGCCTGACGTTCCGGACCCTGCGTCTGACCGTTTTCGTGCTGAGCACCCTACCGTCACGCGTCTGTTAGCCACTGCTGTCACTGACCCGTCTTTTGAGTCGGCTGCTGCGTCTGCCCTGGTCGCTGAGCTTGTTGACTTTGCTGCTGTCTGTCGTCTAGACTACACTGCCAGTCTTGTTACTGAGTCTGAGTCTGTCTGTCCTCCGTCCGTCGGGGGTGAGTGTGCTCTTGGCACGGACGTCCTTGAGGACAGGCAGGAGGACTTTGACTCTCTTGCGGCTGCTGTACCTCATCTCGTGGCCTGGCTGCTTGCCCCTGAGGGAGACCCGGATGCACTAGACATCCCCACTCCGCGCTCTTACGCAGAGGCGATCTCGGGTCCCTACTCCTCTCAGTGGCAGACAGCCATGGACGCAGAGATGGCATCCGGGAAGTCCACAGGCACCTACGTCGACGACGTTCCCCCTCCAGGGGCGAACATCGTCGATGGCATGTGGATTTTCAGGGTGAAGCGGCCGCCGGGTTCTCCGCCTTTCTTCAAGGCTCGTTACGTTGCTAGAGGTTTCAGTCAGCGACAGGGAGTTGACTTCTTTCAGACCTTCTCCCCCACCCCGAAGATGACCACTCTTCGGGTGTTGCTGCACGTTGCTGCTCAGCGTGACTACGAGCTGCACTCTCTTGACTTCAGCACAGCTTTCCTGCAGGGCAGCCTCCACGAGGAGATCTGGCTGCGCCGCCCTCCTGGCTTCACTGGGTCGTTCTCTCCTGGTACCCAGTGGAGCCTTCGGCGGCCAGTCTACGGTCTCCGCCAGGCGCCGCGCGAGTGGCACGACACACTGAGGACTACACTTGCGGCCCTTGGGTTTGCTCCTTCCACTGCTGACCCGTCACTGTTCCTGCGCACAGACACGTCGCTGCCGCCGTTCTACATCCTCGTGTACGTCGACGACTTGGTCTTTGCTACTGCTGACACTGATGCATTCTCTCGTGTGAAGTCGGAGCTGCAGAAGAGACATACCTGCACTGACCTGGGTGAGCTGCGCAGCTACCTTGGCCTGCAGATCACCCGGGACAGAGCACGCCGCACCATCACCTTGACTCAGTCACACATGGTGCAGCAGGTCCTTCAGCGCTTCGGCTTCCAGTTCTCCTCACCACAGGCCACACCTCTGGCTACCAGTCACTCGCTCTCAGCTCCACCTTCGGACGAGTCCGTAGAGCCGAGTGGCCCGTACCCAGAGCTTGTAGGCTGCCTCATGTACTTGATGACTTGCACGCGACCTGACCTTGCGTACCCTCTTAGCATCCTTGCTCGTTACGTTGCGCCTGGGAGACACAGGCGAGAGCACTGGGAGGCTGCTAAGAGGGTGCTGCGCTACTTGTGCAGTACATCAGGCATGGGGCTGGTGCTTGGAGGACGCGACAGAGTTGCCCTCACTGGTCACTCAGACGCTTCTTGGGTGGACGACCTGGCTACGCAGCGGTCGTCACAGGGTTACACTTTCAGCCTTGGCTCTGGTTCTGTCTCTTGGCGGTCCACCCGCTCTTCTTCTGTTCTCAGCTCTAGTTGTGAGGCTGAGATCTACGCCACGGCCATGGCTGCACAGGAGTTACGCTGGCTCACCTACCTGCTGACTGACTTGGGAGAGCGGCCTAGTTCTCCTCCAGTTCTGTACAGTGACAACAAGGCGGCCCTTGCCTTGTGTCAGGAGCACAGACTGGAGCACAGAACGAAGCACATTGCTCTTCGCTACTTTCTTGCTCGAGAGCTGCAGCAGCGTGGTCAGCTTCGTCTTGTGTACGTGGACTCGAAGGCCAACACTGCTGATGTCTTCACCAAGGCGCTTCCGCCTAGTGATCATCAGCGGCACTGTACTGCGTTAGGCCTTGTGTCCACATTACCTCATTTGCTTACTGCTTGACTTTCTTTGTACTGTGATTTATATATATCGCTGCTTGCTTGCTAGGTTTTGATCACTGTGTTGCTTGTCTTGTTCTATATATACCTATATAGCTCTGCATGTGAACTTGCCTTGTGGCCTTTGCTTGTGTTCAGAGTGTGGTGACGTTGTGATCCACCCTGGGCTTGCTTTGCTTTGCTGGACTGGTCTTGTGACCCCTTGTTCTCCCCCACTTTGCCTATGGGGGTGTGTTAGATTATATGTAATGTGTTGGTAGGCTGTAGTGGGGTAGACAATATAGGGTACAACCCATTAGGGTTAGGTGCTTGTACTCTTGTTCCTTTTCAATGCACATCATTCTTGCCTAGCATCTTGACACAGCCGCGTGACCGAACGGAAGAAAAACGCTCGGACGAGCGTTTTCATCCCCAAAATGCGGAAGGATCCGCACATGTGCAGAAAATGTAGCAGACATGGTTCATTCGCCATTACCAATGACCGATCATGCTCGTCACCCTCCCACGCTCTTGCTGGCTTGGTAATAGGTCCAAACGCACACAGCCGTGTGACCGAATG